AACCACACGCGTTCACCACATCGACTGGACCCACGTGCCGTTCTGCATTTAGACGGGTAACGCCTATATTTATACCCGCCATGCGGGTGGCAATCTCATATAAATCAATACTAGAATGCCTATGAGGAACGTTTTGTTGATAAATATATCCGCTATAGGTGTGATTGATGTCTCATTTATTGTGTAATGGTGTACGTAACACAATATTTGGTTTATTTAGCCTAAGGGTACCATTTTATGTATAGAGATGTAATGTCTCTAAAACTAACCCATTGAGTATTGAGTGATATATGCTAATAATCAAATTGAAAATATTATAAAGAGGCTGAGTTTGTTTATTTGTTTGAACGCTCTAATCTCAGGAACTACTAATCCGATTTGAAAAATTCTTTTTTCATTACATAACCCGTTTTTCGAGGAAAGCTTATAGGCTATATATCATGCTACTACCCAAAGGAGCGGAGCAGTAATCATAAATGTCAACAAATCGGGCAGACTTCCATACATTATTAATATAATAACAATATATACTGTGTAATATATTGTACGTAAAAATTCAAATAATTATGTAAAAAATAGTGATAGACACACAAACACTAGGAATAGTAATAAGCTCGTTACGCCTAGATTTCGACTCCAAAAGGTGAATAAATCCTTCATGGGCTTGAATATACGCATATATAATATGATTATATAGATTCCACAAAATGTCTTAGATTTACCTTTTCAAAAATTTAAAGATAAAGTTAAAAATATATTATTTTCGTATTTATCATGAATCGTTGAGTTCGTTAGCTGTGAACATAGTCCGTTATAGAGAAAGTATATAAGTAAGTTCTCTAAATTAGCTAAAAAATAATTTTAATTATCTCGAAATAACAGTATGCTTAAAGAATGCACAGCTTGAAAACCAATAAATTTAATTCTTTTAGAACTAACAAAAATAAAACATATACGAGTACATGTGAGAATGCTTTAAACAACTAAAAACGATCACATTCTTTGCGTATTTATAGAATCAAGATATAATCTAGGTTTCTGTTGTTTCTGATCGTTCATTTATTTGAAAGTTTGAATTTGTTGGAAAGCTTGCTCCCATAGAAGCTTACAACTTAGTTTATTAGTAACAAGCGTTTGTTAAGCACTATTAAGTTGTAAATGATTTGTATGAAAGTAGAAATACCTAATTATTTAAATAATACTTAATTAATACTTAGACTTACGCGAATTTACTTCATATTACTTTATAATATATCCTCCATTGAGACGGATATTTTTATTGGAATGTATATTTTTATTTGACCATCCTTGACAACCTAAAATCATTTAAAAGCAATCCTGTCTAAATAGCTATAATTGGTCCATAATTGACGAAGATGTCGCGTAATATACACAAATAAACATACACCCGACCATGTGTCAGATTTTAGTGCATACTTCTTTTCAAATTCAGTCAAAAACAAACAATATACGCGATACGATACATAACATCTGTACAAACAGTAGCTACTAGCTACATTAAATACGCCAGATGATATTTATAAACAATAGGGGATTCTACACTTACGTTTCATTCTGCAAACTTGGGTGCGCGTAGTTTCAAAGATCGCGCAAATGTCACGACCGACCGATAACGAGATAGTGAAGTTCAACGCCCAAAATACGTTTGTAGCTAAGAGATCCATCGAGTGAATGTTTCATTAAGTGTTTTGTAGAATCTTTATTTTTTTTAAATTTGTAGGTGTATATTTCTATTTTTTTAATGTTAATTAAAGATTGTGTGGTTATTGTACGGTAAATTTTGTTTACTTAAAAAAAATTGTTTGGTTAAAAATTTCATTATAATTTATTTTAATATCTATTACATTAATTTTGTTTATAGGAGATTTATTGAGAATACGCTTGCATAAAATTACGACATCTTACTATTTCTACTACATGGATTCTGGTATTTCAAGATATCTGCCAATTTTCTCACGGACTTTGGTCCCGTAAAACTTGTAATTTAGGTAGTTTTCAGTGTGACCCACTTTTTTAATATTATGTACTAGTGCCTTACGTCCCTAGGTACGTTTTAAATAGATATGAATAGTTATTGAGAGTGTACCTTAGGAGAAAGACTAGTGCTATTGCATATTTTTCTATAAGCCTTATTAAGACCTACAATTTTTAGTACAAATCTAAATGTATCTCTTATAGCTTCGCGATCGTTAGACATAAATTTCTAAGAACGATGCTGTAGAACCAGTTATTGTGTTTTCCTGTAAAAATGAAAGATTTTCCTGTAGTAAAACGTATCCTAAATGTTGAACCGAGTAATAAGTTATCACTACATGAAATTTTGTTAAAATCGGTTCAGTACTTTTTGCGAGAAACACGCACATCGATACACTTTCGATTACTTACTCATTGTACCTGTCGTAGTCATACTAATAAATCTCAACTTGTCCAAAACTACTTCTGGCGCTGGCTGTTTATTTTCTGATGATATTATATAGGTACATACATACGTGTCATGCGTTGCACATTGCGTACGACAACTAATCAAAGTTCCATCATAATGTTATCAAAGGAAACTTTACAAACGTACACACACACAAGCGTATTTATTTTTTTACATATAACTCTAATAAAATTAAATATCATGTCAATTTGTGGTATAAGTCCCGTCACGTAATAAGAACGCTGGCCGTTTACCTGTGCACTAAGCGATTTATCGATAAAATCGGTTGTATGAACGGGGCGCAACGGGGGAGTACCTATTATGATTCTACAATAAAACAATTACAATAGCCCTAGTACTTCAAGACGCGACTGCACCAGAGCGCAGACACATCCCCTCCACTGTCGTTCAGCGTTCTTTTTACATGGCGGGACCAATACATAGTGTATTTATATTTTTATTTTCTTAAAATTCCTTTATTGTCTGTGAAGGACAGTTTTTACAAATGTCAACAGTGACATTTGTAAACAAATTATCCCCAATATTGAACCAACAGGACTGGCTTACGAAAATAGTTGATATGCGACGCCAGCTGTCCGTTACCGCGTCGACGAGCGACGAAACGCTTATTATTTACAATGATATGTTCTGAGCAATTGTGGTTTTAGTTTGGCGAAGGGTAGTGCAAAATATGTACACATTATAGGAAACTAGCTTATCTGGACACGTCTTAAAGCCATAAATAAACATACTTATTTTATTAAATATTAATAAAATAAGTACATACATGTATAAGTACAAATATAATATATATTTGTCCAAATCCAAATCAGTTTAACAATTCAAGCGTGGTAGAACTCTATCACGCTTAAATTGTTAAGCTGATTTGGATGAAATTTTGTACATAAATAAACAATGTCCTGGATTTACCATCTTTTTTATCCCAACACAGCTCTTATTCTCATAGGATGTTGCAAAATACTCATCAAATATATTGATGAGCTGTGAAGTATCAATTTATAGACCAAATCTATACTAATATTATAAAACAGACAGAGTTTGTTTATTTGAACGCACGAGCGCTAATCTCAGGAAGTACTAATCCGATTTAAAAAATTCTTTTAGCATTAGATAGCCCGTTTATTGAGGAAGGCTTTATATCATATATTAGGTCTTTTATGGTCTATATATTCCATACTAACTATTAAAACGTACCTAGGGACGAATCCGGGCAAAGCGAGGGTTAATCATGTACACTATGATAAAATAAATAATTCATTAAATATTTATGTATTGTCATATATGTCACAACATTATATGTGTTTTGTAATGTAACATCGTAATTAAATTAATTTTCTATATTAGTAGTAAATTGTAATCATTTATATTATTATGAAATTGAATGTATGCAATAGATAGCATTATCTTATTCATTGTCAAAGGTTTTTATCTGGGCACGAAAATAAGTATGACGTAATTTCGCGAACATGTCGATTTACCTACTCGGTAGATTCTATTTCTTACATTATGTCGAGTTTAATTTATTACTAATGTTCACTATCATAAATAATAAATAACATGTATTTTATTTTATAATTATTTATTATATTTTTTCACTATTACTATACTTGATAGTGTAGTGGACTTAGGTCACAAGTGATAAATTAACAATTTAAAAAACCTCCGACTATCTTGGACCGATTTTCATCAAACATAGCTAAGAACACTCTCAACTAATTCACCTTTCAAACAAAAAAAAATCAAAATCGGTTCATCCGTTCGGGAGATACGATGCCACAGGCAGACACACACACATAGACACGTCAAACTTATAACACCCCGACATTTTTGAGTCGGGGGTAAAAATTTGAAAATACCATAAATCGCTTTCCGGCCCATAAACTATGAAATCAATAAGCATTATTCTCGACACATTAAAATACACATTTTTGTCAATTGTACTTGTTTGTCAAATTATTGTTTGACCTTTGGGCTTTACGATGGATGACACAACTGTTTTGTAAAATCATATTATGTTCAGGACCTAAAGATGGACAAACAGGCAAAAGCATTTTCACACTTTCTTTGTGCTCTATGGTACGTCGGTAAATAGAAACCGTCGATAAAAAGTAACAATCAAACTCACAAACTTTAGTACTAAATTTCATAGAAACAGATTGACAAACATACACACATAAATACAAAGTTGAACATTGACGTTTTGACAATATTTACGACACGTTTGGCTCATTTTGCATTGACCCTACTTGCTGTGCCAGCGGTCGCATGTTCTAGTCCCGCTGGGGACATTCATTTGTGTGATGAGCACGAATGTTTGTACTCCAGTCATGGATGTTTATATTCATAATTTGTATGTATTTAAAATTATATATGTGTAGTGTATCTTGTGTCCATAACACAGGCCTCATAGCTTATCATGGAACTAGATGGTGCTGTGTGTTAATGTTCCAACATATTAGTTATTCTTTAAAGTTTCCCATCTATTATAAATAGTGTTACAGGGTGCGATAACGAGAATGTGTTTTTTTAATTCCAGGCGTCTGGTGTGACAGTGTCGGACGCGTGCAAAACAACCTACGAGGAGATCAAAAAGGACAAAAAACACCGCTACGTAGTTTTCTACATTCGTGATGAGAAACAGATCGATGTAGAGACTGTTGGCGAGCGTAACGCCGAGTACGATCAGTTCCTCGAGGATTTGCAGAAAGGCGGCACTGGAGAGTGCAGGTAATGCTTGGGAAGTTTGTTTTATAGTTAGTTTTGTTATTTATAGGCAGTGGTAGACCAGTGGTAACGCGTTCGCTTGGGAAATGTAGTGAAGCTGGTTAAAATCCCGGGTCTCGCACCTCTGATGTTTTCATGTGCGAATAATTTCCAACATGACTACCACTTGTCTTACGGTGAAGGAAAAACATCGTGAGGAAATCTGTATATCTGAGAGAACCTAGCAAGGTTTTGAAAGACATGCTCAGTCCGCCCGCACTTGGCTAAAAAGGTGGCAAGAATGCTTAAAATCCTTTATCTGCCCATATTAAAGCATATCGACACGAAAGCCAGCTATATTTTTAGTTCAAACTTTGAGGTGTATATAAAAAAACTATCCCATAATTCTATATATAATAAAGGAATTATAAATATTTTTTGGTTGCCATTTTGCCTCTAAATGTACAATTTTAACCCTTGAAATATAATAAATATTATAAATGCGAAAGTTTGTGAGAATGGATGGGTGGATGTTTGTTACTCTTTCACGGCAGGACGGCTGAACGGATCTGGATGAAATTTGGCACAGAGATAGATTATAGTCTGGAATAGCACATAACTTTTTATCACGGAAAAATGTACGAGGTCTAAGGACCAACCTGAAGCCAAGCGAGGGCGATCCGCCAGTAGTACTATGTTAAGGATATAATATTGAAGTAATTAATAATTTAAACATTCGTTAAAGTATATGTGTACATCAATAACCACTCCCTTGTACAGACTTTGTGAATCACTGGTTTCTCGTACAAATTTAGTATGACTCAGCGCTAACCGTAACTAACTAATGATAAAAATTAAGGAAAACAGTGCCTAATGTATCATAAACAAGACCAATAAATCAATTGCGAAAAGTGTTTACATTATATGGTATTTAATTGTTCAAACAAAGTTGGTTCAATATGCTTGATATTTTATAAGCATAGTGAGATTTTATGAATGGTTTTTATTTAGTAAAACCTTTTTCTCGTCTTTTATGTCGTCGTCGGTCTGAACACTTAGAATGAAGGTTTCTGTAACTGGGATTTAGTTCTGCTTAAAAAATACAAAATAACATTTGTATTTTTTAGCAGAACCAAACGCCAGTGACAGATATATAATTACATATTAATTTGCATTTGAAGTGTCCAATTTTGCGCACTAAAAAAAGTTACATGGTTATTATTATTAAGAACATTTATTTCGATAGTACTTTTGAACATTGTATTATTTTTATGCTTTTTAAAAATAAATGTAGTCCTTTAACATTTGTAGCGTTAATTATAGGAAATCATAATTTCCACCTAAAAGTAAGACTATAGACGACGATATGTTTGGCTCAGTTTGTAGTGACCTTACTTGTTGTGCCAGCGGTCGCGGGTTCGAGACCCGCTGGGTGCATTCATTTGTGTGATGAGCACGAATGTTTGTAGTACAAACATTCGTGCACATCACATATGGGTCATGGGTGTTTATGTCTATAATATGTATGTATTTATAGTTATTTATATGTATGTCTAGTTCATCAACTATCTCGTATTCATAACACAAGCCTCGTAGCTTACCGTGGAACTAGATGGTGCTGTGTATTAATGTCCCAACATATTTATAATTTAAATTTATGTTTACACAAATATGTATCTTCCAGATATGGTCTGTTCGACTTTGAATACACGCACCAGTGTCAAGGCACGTCGGAGGCTAGCAAGAAACAGAAGTTGTTCCTCATGTCGTGGTGCCCGGACACCGCTAAGGTCAAGAAGAAGATGTTGTACTCTAGGTGAGGGTCGATTTGTACTTACTCCTTTAATATTTCATTAGATTTGACATTTTCTTTTATTGTTAACGTTATAGGCAAATTTTTGAAAGCTTAGGTTACATTATTGTAATTTTTGTGTGGATCTCTAGTTTCCTTGAAAATAAAATGTAGCCTGATAATGTAGCGTTTGATAGGTGATAGAATTTTTAAAATTGGTCAAGTAGTTTTTTAGTTTATCCATTCCATCCATCCAAACATACAAAAAGAAACTATTTTTTTTCTCTTTATAATATTAGATGTTATAATAATTTTGTTTTTTTTTTATGTTAGTATAAATCTTTTTTAAGTAATCCAACAATCTTAATGATGCAATATTCAAACAATATTTGAATATAAAGTAATTATTTCTAGCAATAATGAATATTTCTATTTAATTAAAATTACTGAGAGATGACAATTTAATATATCCTTCTTGAATCTATACTTTCTTTTGGCACGATTGGAAAAAAATATGAAAATAAAGTTTTTACGATGCGCGCGCACACTGACAGCCAAAAAGTTAACTTCATTCCCTTTACAAACAGAAAGTTGTGACATACGTGATGAATTCTTTAGCTATTTTTGTTCTGTTACGCCAAAGAAGTATAACTTCTTACGTGCGTTCATAAGTACACTCCCACGTTTTTTTACACTTCGACACTCTTCTGACATTTAAATGCTCAATGCTTTTTTCTTATATCTTTCTCACTAAAATTGCCAAATTCATGATATTAATATATCTTTTTAATTTTCCAGCTCCTTTGACGCCCTGAAGAAGTCGCTAGTCGGCGTACAGAAGTACATACAAGCGACTGATCTCTCTGAATCCTCGCAAGAAGCTGTCGAGGAAAAACTACGCGCCACCGATCGTCAATAAGCATTTATACACACTGTACTACAGTTCGAATACTGATAATGTCGCAATAATAGATTGGGAATGTGTTAGATGGCGTCATAACTCGAGTTAACCTGAAGAGCTTTGATAAAACGGTCCTGATTACATATTGATTTGATAACACGCTTGTTTAATTTAAAATGAACATTTTAAACATCCTTAACTCGATACTGACTCGACACAAGTTGTTGTTGCATTATCAAAAGTTCTAAAAACTGTACATTTCAAAACAGATTTTTTTTTATACTTGAAGGGTCTACGCGATACCGCAGTGATATCATTGGTTCTCCATATAAGCTTCAACTGTTCGATTTTCGTCGGAATCTGTACAGATATTCACCCGACGTTTAGAATAAGGGATGTTTATGTAATAATTTAAATTATAATAATTATTATATATATTTTTCCTATAAACTAAAGAGTAAGTTAAGCTCAAACTAAATTAAATTCAGTGGCGTGTTTTTTTTTTTATTATTGAGTACAGGTTGGCCGGTCGCTTTTATACTTAGATGTAAAAAGGTCGATCGCCTTAATTTAATTCTGTGCTAGCAGTTAGCTTGTAATGCTCGGGCCCGGCGGGCGTCATAAGTATTTTGTAACCATTTTATTCAGAAATACACTCGATATAAGTGATTGGTCGTTTCATTACTTATTTACCCTATTTATGTATGTTTCTATTTATTTTTAATTATATGTTTTTTTATCTAAGGGACATAGTAATGGGATATGGAAAAAGGTACTTAAATATTGAAAAGGGCAATATTCCTTTATTATTAAAAATGTTGATAACTGCATTTAATTATTTTAAGAAAAACCTTACTAGAGCCAGTAATCGAACCAGGTAAATATGCAAAAAAGTACAATGTCACTTTTATTTAGGTTATGATTGCTGGGCTCTGGAAATCGAACCAGAAGTCTAAAAAACGTTTAAATGCAGTTATGAATGTTTTAAAAAATAAAGGAATACTCCCTTTGTGTGACTGTTGCTTGATATCTTAATGTTCAAGGTAAATTTTCTTCTACGACCTGTTCATTTGTTTCACCACCTATGTATGTATTTCTAACACAATTGATAAGAGACAAGAATGTTAAATTATCTCAAAGTGTCATAAAAAGATACTAAAAATTAGAATAAATCTATTCATGTAATAAAATTCTGAGTACATGAAATATTTTTTGGAAAATATTAATGAAATAGTCATAATTATTGATAGAGGCCGAATCTTTAGTTTTTAGAATTTTTGTGTCTGTCTGAGAACGCATCACGAGAAAACTAGTGGACAGATTTTGATGAAATTTCATATTTTAGGATAGGTACTTTTACTGCGGGAATATATCTATTCTAAGAAATCTATAATAACCGTTAAAACACCTAGGGACTGGTCGCTAGTGTTCATAATTCTTGTATTATATATTTAAATTATATTTTAACTCATTGTGTGTAGAAATAACAGGATGGCTGAAAAAAAATCCATTGAAGTAATGAAAACATTTAATAAAACCTCTGGCAACATTATTGCTATCACAATAACTACGGATCACAAATAACTACTCTATTAACAATGACAATTTGAAAATTTCAATCCATAAGTTTCCACTACTAAGAAATATGAATACACAAAACTTTATCGATAAAATCGTTAATCACGTTGAGAAATCGCTAATGCTCTTGTTTTTGTTTATTTTATGTTTCATTTCAGTTTTTAATCACGAACAGTAAACACTACTATAGACAATGACATTAAAATCAGAAAATTGAGAAATTTCTTTTTTATTCAGTAAATACCGTTTTTCTATTAATCTTCAACTAGGTTTACCATTAGCTTGCAAAAAACATCTTTTTAGACTCATAGTAAATAGTTAAAAATTTAAGTATTTTTTCAAATGTAAATCAATATACATCGATTTTATATTAGAAAAGTCCACAATATTATGTAATTTATAAGTAGCATTTTTTGTCTATGACATAGAAAACTGCAAAATAAATCGATTTCTATCGTTGCAAAACAATTGAAATACTACCAGTTTCTTTTTATATAAACTACAAAAATCTTTTGTATAATTCATTTAACGTTAGAGATATGAGATACACTCAATCGAAAACTGCTATATGTATTATTTTAACAAATTAGAAAAATATATTTTGGGATCAGTTTTTTTGGGGGTTGATTGAATGCATGTGCTGTGCGTGTTTTTACTTTCATAGATGCATCAAAAAGCTTTCTTTTAGTCAATAACTTAGTATATAATTTTTTTATTGATTTTATATTTACTTATATAAAACAGTACAGATCCAATATTCCAATATTAGGTAAGTTACACCAAAATGAGGAGAATATTTCAAATGTTAGATTAACCCTATTTTATTATAATTCAAAAACTCTTATGATACTTTATGTTTTCGCCCGTGTCATTTCTTCTCGTAATAAAAATCAGTCGTGCATTGATCCATTAGCAAAATTTCAAAAAATTTGGCAAAATATCCATTTTGACAGATTCAAAGATCATTCATTTTAATACTGTTTTATTCGAGATTTAAATTTTAAAAACTTAGACGGTGGCCGACAGGCGCTGTTTACGAATCAATTTGTTTTTATTTAAGTACTTCTCGTGCGTAATTCTTGACGCCATTCTGCCTATATTTTAAAATTCCAGTTCGATCTTCATTAGAAGAGCGATCAAACCCTTATTTGTAAACATTCTTCATTACCTACCAAAGTCGCGACTGATATCATTTTTCACTTTCAATATCCAGGTACAATTTATCAATTCCTTTCCAATATCCATACTTATTATAATATTATTAAAATACAATATTTAGATGTAAATATTAAACTTTGAATATTTAAAAGGTTGTCTTGCGACATTTCGCCGAGAATGTACATATATTATGTACGATTCAATCGTATTATTTGAAAAACCCATGAAATGTTTTTTATACTTAAATACTTATTGTGCTTATAGTGTCAGCGGGAGCAGGGGTCACGTTCGGGTGTTGTATCGCGGGGTCCAGTAGAGGGATGCTATCGGTAGTCCTGCAAGAGAAATAAATTCTTACCAATAATGTGACCTAATAAACTTGGTCACGATGGTCAACCTCATCTAGATTAGCATTTTACTCAGAAGATATAATGCACTAGAGCATTCTTCTCGAGTTCAGAGGTCATTGAGTTATAATTCAGTGCTAGAACCCAGTAATTAGTAATTACACAGTTGACAGTACGAGTATATGCAACAACTGAGTACCAACTTTCACCCAAATCCATTCAACGGTTTTTTATTCAGCCCTTTTTTACGTCTCACTGCTGGGCACGGGTCTCCCTTTAATACGAGGGGGATCAGGCCATAGTCCACCACGCTTGCCGAGTGCGGGCGGATTGAGCATGTCTTTCGAAAACTTACTAGGTTCTCCTAGACATGCAGGTTTCCTCACGATGTTTTCCTTCATCGTTAAGAGAAATGGTAATCATGTTGGATATGATTCGCACATGAAAATATCAGAGGTGCCAGACCCAGGATTTGAACCCGCTTCACTCAGTTTCCCAAGCGAGCGTGTTACCACTTGGCTACCACTGCCGCAATGGTTGCTTCAACGGTTAGTTGCTTCAGCTATTTACTCTTGATTAATTAAAAAACATCCAAATTGGTACCTTGTCTAATTTCTACATTATTTTATTATATTATTAAGATTCACCTGGTTCGTGATATAGCAGGATCGGTTATGATCTCTTCACAAATTATAGCCTTGTCGTTGACTATCGGTAGTGTGCTGCACACCGTGGCCGCCAGGTAGATATGCTTTAGAAATTACATGCAAAAAAATACCTGGTTAATAGTTTTACATATGTAAATGTAGATTTTATTTCGTATATTTTATTAAAAGTAAAACTCGAGCTTATGCTCTACGTCGTCTTAAACATCTTTAATTGTCGCAGTTTTATACTATAAAAATATACGATTAATATATGTATACTTATACATAAATATATATTTATGCAGCTTGACATTGCAATTATAGATTCGTATTATATTATCTCATAAGGAAAATATTTATCTTGACCTGCCGTTAAGGTCACCCACTTACTCATTAACCGTGGCGATTTATTCTCGCAAGACTATAGACTATTTATTCTTTGAACGATATAATAAAAGAAAAATATTTTTGGTTTGAACTTAATCAAATTATGGTCATTTTCCTAAAAAGTTAAGTTAGTAAAACGGATTTTAATTACCGTTACATTAAATAAAAAATCATCAAAAGCGGTTCACGATAGACGAGATTAGCGCGTATCATAGTTAAGTACTCCCAAGTTAGATACTCTCTTCCTTAAAACCCCGCTTTTTCAAATCAATTAAAATTCGAACTTACCATAGACACGACCAGTATAAGATAGATAGTAGGCGTCGACCAATGTGTGGCATTTTCTATAGCAACGACTCCCATCACCCAGTTAATAGCGAAAAACGGCTCGAGAACCAAGCAGAGATTCAGATAAGCTTTGAGAGCATTTCCTTCGGTATTCCAGCTCCACTTCCAAACCAAATTTTCCAAATATAGTTCATTTAGTATACTCTTTTCATTTATTTTGAGACTTTCACTTGTCTAGAACATGACTTATACATAAATATCATTTTAAAAAACTACTGAAATAGTAGAAATATTTTACTAGCAACATTCGTTGAAAAGTTATCTTATAATAATGAAAATCGTTTGATATATACTTTTAAATCTTAGAGAAAAAAACTTAAAATAAAAGTATTAAGTACTTTTATTAAAAATATTGTATTCTTTTTTGATATTGAATTCCTATATTAATTTCATTAATTTAAAACTTACATCCTTTCCATTCTCCATATTGACATCATTATTTGAGTTATTCATAGTACCGTATTGATTATACTCCTCATTATTAAAATTAAACTCTTTCTCCAGAGTGTCGGAACTGTCCGTATTTTTCCTGCTACTCGATGGGGTGTACATGTTGTTCAATGTTTCTACACTTCCCTCGGCATTCTCTTCTACTTTATCATTCTTAGGTGCATTCGAAAAATGATGCTCAACCAATTGTTGAATTTTTGCTGATAAAATTTCCGTTTGCTTTTTATTTACGCTTTGTAAGCCAACAATTATTATAGCTGTGTTGATTAAGATTAATATCATCGCAGGTACCATAAAACCCATAACCATGCCCTTTTCGATAGACATCCAGCAGTAATGTTTAATCTCATATTGTTCCATTGATAAAGCGTAATTGAACTGTGAATTATAAAATATTTCTTGACCACGCAGAAAGTAAAATTCACACTGAATGGAGGATATCCATTAAATTTTTACATTTATTTTGAAAGACAAATTATTTTTTACTATTTTTTGTCATTGAATTATCGATTGAATACTCAATTATGTTCTACTTGATTATTTATTATTTGCATATTGATTTCTTTTTAAAGATAGGCACTTTAAATAGAAGCATAATCCAACGGGGTGTATAATTCATTTTTACCTAAACTCCTAGTTACATTGACTCAAAATGATTTTATACTTTAAGACTTTAGTGCTTTACATTATTATGTTGTAGAAATTTAGGTTAGTAGGTAGGTAATTATTTAGGTTAGCGAAGACAATAAACAACACCGCGCAAATACACGCAAAAAAATGATGATGAATATATTCCTGAATTGAATAAGCCTCCTAAGAGTTTGGAATCAGTTTCTTATTATAATTTTATCATGTAGATGTGCTAGTATGAGGACTAATAAACATGATTATCTATACATATAATAAAATTGTAACTAAGCCGAATCTATACATTAAATATTTTTTTGAAAAATCTTATTGAAATAAACATAATATTCGACACAGAGGCCGAAGTTTTTAGAATTTTTAGAATTTTTGTCTGTCTGTCTGTTACCGCATCACAGAAAAACCACTGGAGGTATATTGATGAAATTTGGATGGTGATAACTGGTTATCCGGGTTAACATATAGGATACTTTTTACCGCGGGAAAATGTCTCATTTCTGAGAAAAAATATAAAAACTGCAATGTAAGAGTATACTAATATGTAAAACCTAAGATTTTGTTTTTATGGTCATCTGAACGCGGGCGGAGCCGCGGGCAATGCTAGTTAATAAATATTAATAATCAAGTTTATTAGTGTAGTATTCGTGTACATTTTCATATAGTAGTAGTGGTGTAGTTTAGATTTTGATATAGTTACCATCACAACGATAGCTGGAACTCCATAGGCCAATAAGTAGTTATATTTCAAAGGCAAGAGGGTGTCACACACACAATATTCTGCAACAGCAGCTGCCAAAGCCACAATCCACATCGCGCAAGAAATATGTGTGTAATGCAAAACTAATGCAATCCTTTCACATTGTGAGGGAGATGAAGCCCCCTGTTTACAATATTAGCGTTTGTAATTAAGTAAAGGAAGTGATATAATATATTTTTATTTTAATAAATAAATAAATATGTTGTGACATTATTATTAACACACAGCACCATCTAGTTCCATGGTACCGAAGGACTCGAACCCGATATCGCTGGCGCAGCAAGTAGGGTCACTACAAACTGAGCCAATCGTGTCGTCAAATATCATATGTTACTTTAAAAATACTTACCACGATGGCTTGTATGTAAATTAAAGTACACGCCACTAGGCAACAGCATAAATTGATGATAATTGGGTAAAGCTTGCTGTTTCGTCTAAATGTAGCAGCATATTCACTCCACATTAACCACATTATTGCTGATACAGGCAAGATTATTGCTAATCCACTTGTGATGAAAATCTATTACGGAACAAAGAAATAGCTAAGAATAATGAATATTTTAAATTTTATGTATATGATATATCACTACTTATTTATAAAATAAAGTCCCCCGCCGCGTCAGTCTGTCTGTCTGTCTGAACTCAAAAACTACCAAACAGATTTTCATACGGTTTTCACCAATAGATGGAGTGGTTCATGAGGTGTATAATTCATTATGATTTTGCATAAATTAATTGAAATAAGACAATGATTGTTGAAGATGTCGGAAAAAAATCATGACGACTGGGAGCTTTATTAGCGTGCGAGTTAACTAATAAAGTTATATGAAAACAATGTATTACAGAATTATTCCACTTTAAAGAGCTTCCTATTAAACTGTAGCAACGCTTTGTACACGTAACTAGAGGCTTAAGCGAGCTTAAATCACTAGTTACATGTTAAAAAAAGAGTAGGTATTCAATCCACTATAAAGATACAACATGCGAAATCCTATAAAAGCAGTAGTAAAAACAGTGCCAATGAACTATACGTTTTTTGAAAAGAATATAAATAATACTCATAAATATGTGTATATCTCTCTAATTTTTAACTTACCAATATCATCCATTCGTCTCTGACTCCTTGACAGTTATTAAATCCATAAACATACGTAACACTATCAATAATATTATGTTCTTTGAGATCGCCATCAGCTAAAGAGCCATCTGGTACTTCCACTTCCGGTTCAGGTATTTTATTTTCCATAAACTTATTAATTTCTGCTAAAATAAACAACGATTTATAAAAATATAATGTAAAAAAATATTAACAAAACCTACTCTTTTTTTAACATGCAAAATTAATTTAGTATTATGTATTCACATTTTGTATTTATAAATATTAATATTTAAACGAGTATATAATTAATCTTTTAATATAATTTTAACTATTAATAAATAAAAGCTTTATGAAAATATAATAATATTTTTTCTATCATTAAATACCTTGATTGCTTCTTGTTAGTATTTCAGGATTCGGATATAAAGGTGGATTATCATCATATATTGACGATGTGAAGTTAGAAACCACTCCTCCATATTCATTATCGTACGAATTAACATCGTAATCTGTTCGATCTTCTGCTTTTGGATACAACGCTTTGTTATAATTAATTGATACTGGTTGAAAAGAACGATATGTTGCGATTTTCTTAAAAGAATTTTCATCGATACTAGGTCTTCGTATGTGATGAGAGCTTTTGTTTTGTTGAAAAGCTGTTGAGTAAATAAAATTAACATTTTTGAAAGAAAATATAAGAAATATTTTTTGTATATATATAATCTTACCTTCCGAGTTCAATATAAAAAATAAATTTAAGAAAATACTTAGAAGAATAATTTTACTGTATATTCTAATCATTTTGCTTAAGTAAATTATTATGTTTCACTTAATACTTTAAATAACAGACAAACTTCAAGGAAACTCTTAAGATATAGCACTTTTGTTTATTTTTAGGGATATCGATAATATTTAAAGATATGGCCCGAGAAAAAATCAATACTACAATGTCGCTCCTTTGGACGCATAAATTTTGTTTAAAGCAAGAAATCTATAGCTCTGTTCCTATTATTTCTCGATTATTTATTAAGAATAAAAGACGATAATTATATTATGATTATATATATAGTAATGGCAGAAAAATTGAATTTCTAATTTTAATAGTAGAAAAATTAATGTATAGCATGGTAACATTTTAAAAGTAAATAAAAAAATATCAGGTGATTGTCAATGTCACTAACATTTTTCAAACGCAGTACTCTAAACTCTTTAATCACAGCAAATAGCAATGTAACCAAAAATAGATACAAAATGAGTGCAATTTTAAAATTCATCCGTGAAAATCACATATTGGCAGTCATAGAACAAGCTATTGCGAAAAAGAAGTCACGTTTGAGTTTAAATTCATTTGAAATCACTGAAATACCATCGTTATTATACACATGTATGGATGTAGAGCATCTTTATTTACATCTAAATAATATAACGACGATCCCTGTACAAATAACACAATTGCTCAACTTGACTACTCTGACGTTGGACTATAATAATATAAACACTCTACCTGCGGAAATAGGTAATTTAAAAAACTTAGTTAACTTGAACATAAGTTACAATCCACTAGGTGTGTTAATACCTGAAATCGGTGATTTGGAAAATCTTGAAGCCTTTTGGTGTAATAGGATAGGATTGAAAGAAATACCAAAGGAGATTGGTAAATTGGCAAAGTTAGACACATTTGGTGCTAGAGGAAATGAACTTCAAACTATTCCTGAAGAAATGACAAGATTGACAAAGTTGAGGTAAAGTAGTACTGCTTTTAATTACATTTATGTGTGATTTCTATATTCTTTTAAATGAAGAAAAATTGTAACTTTCAAAGAAAAAAAATATAATATTCCTTATTTTGTCTCTAGATGGTTAACTTTAGAGTACAATGAAATAGACGCTCTACCAAACACAATGAATAATTTGGAGGCTTTAGTTCATTGCAATTTGAGGCACAATAGTCTTAAAGAGTTTCCCACATCCTTACTCAAATGTGGCGATCTTATGTTCTTACAGCTGAATCATAATCAGGTAATTATATAAATATGTTAAATTAATTACCTACTCATAGCAGGGGTGCAGCTATGCCATTGCAATCAATGTGGTTACATGGGGTCCCTGATTCAATAGGGCCCCAGTGGGCCAAAAATGACTTTACGTTCAACACTCAGCAATTTGTATTCATTTTCAGAATAGACCTTTGTCTATTCTGAAAATGAATACATACCCCTCTTTAGGGGCACTTATTTTTTTTGCATTGGGGTCCCAAAAAGGCTAGTAACTCTATTGATTCAAGATTTTTATTTAATTATGGAAATGTCTAGATCTATAAGAATGGAATGTTAATATTAAATTAGTAGGTATTTTTAACAAGTTTTTCAATGACAATTTATTTTGCATTAGGTTAAAAGAATATTTAAGCCATTGTACAATAATGAAAATAAAGCTAAAGAAATATAATTTATTGCACCCATCTTTTGAATGTTTCCTTAAAATTAATAAAAAAAATATTTCAAAATTTTTTTTAATGATTAATTCAGACTAATTTCAATTATTTTTTTAAGAATTCGTCCCTGTGGGTGTTAGATTTTGTGACTTCAGTCAAAGATTATTTTTCAATAATAATCTGTTTATTACATTACAAAAGAGTATGTACATTATTTTGCTATCTGCTCCATTCCAAATATCTTCTAAACACAATTTTTACTTTTTTTATCTTCATTATCTGTTTTATAATTGTATTTTTGTGTTTTTAATATGATTATTTTATTTGATTTTACTTCCAAGCTAATATTACCTAGCTCTTTTGCTTCATTGTCATCCATATATTAAATTGTTCTGAATTGTACTTAATTGATATACAGAAATTAACATACAATAAAATTAGTTAGCAGGTGGATATATACAAAGTAATAAAGTAAATCCAACAAATCTAACTTAGTATATTTGGTATGAGAGTGAATAAACAAGTACTATTATTAATTTTTATATTATTTGAACTATATATTATTTGAATAGACATCCAAAATTATGCTTTTATTGTATAAGTTATAGGTATTGATACCTCCACGACCGCGGACACGTCGGCGTTACAGTTAACAATAGATTTCTTAGAAATTTAATTAATTTCTTAGAAATTTACCTGGAGATGTTATTTTATTGTATAAGTAATAGGGAAGTTTAGAAATAAAAAAAATTAAAAATCGAAAAAAAATTATACGATATTTTTGAACCAGTGATCAAAATAATATCAAAATTTACCAGGAACCTTTTGAGAGGTACTAAAATTACCAAAATATTAAGAAAATTAAAAATAAAATAAATAAATGTTGAAACCTTCCGATTTGACGTGGAATGCCCCGTATATATATTCATCTATTCAAAACTAAGCGTCAAAACGTATCTAGGGATGAACCCGAGCGAAGCGAGGTTGAGTCGCTAGTAATACAACGTAGTCTAGACTAGTAAATCCACAGCATGAAATGAGTTTAGAGTTATATAACTGACACTTATAGATAAAATAAGGTCTGCATACAGTCAATCTTAGCTAACCACTATAACTGAATTACATACTGTAATATATTTTTTATCAAAATATTTGAAGTTTTTGATACATTTGAATATTTTTATATTGCCTTTTACTTTTTAGATAGCGAGTATACCTGAATATTTTAATACAAATGCATGTCCTGTGCTCGAAATGATTGATCTCAGGCTGAACCCTATATGTGAATTGTCTCATCAGGTAAGTCATATACTTTATTATGAGTCTGTTTTTTACATACTATTTTGGCTTACTATATGGATACTATACTGCTTGGCAGTTTCGGTAAAGATATAAAAATTGCATTTCTTCAGACACCTATATAGATGAACTTAAAAAATCTTATCTAATTACAAAATTTGATCCAAATCGTTAAGATCCGACACGATACACGAAATAAATTTATAGACATACAAGAATTGTTCATTAAATATTTTAATCTATTTTAAATATTTTTTTTTGATTTTTGGTTCCCGTGACCATGATTGCTGTAAAGAATTCGAAATGTTGGGAAAAAAATTAAAATAATAAAAAAATCCGAAAAAATAATTTAATTTAAAATATGTAGACTATAGATTGCTAGCAATTTGATACAAAATAAAAATGAATATTTCTAGGACCATCCCCTAATCCGTTATACAGAGGAACTACCCCAATCAGATGCATCTCTCATCTCAAGTAGACATCACGCTGCCCAAGCCCTGGCAGTTAACGCTACAGCACTAAGGTTGCCCGCTGTACCTAACCATAGACATGTTGGTCCAGAACCACCAATGTTAGGTGAGTGGGAATGTATTTATTTATTTTTAAAGGCTTACCAACTTAATTTATATAGAGAGATGAGTTTACAGTTACACACAACAAATTTTTTTTTTTTTATATATTTAAACATTGTGGGTAAATATATATTATATGATTTACAACATTATGAAATTAAAAAAATATAATACATTTACAGTTGAGGCAATTTTAAGGATAATAATTTAAAGCATGAGCAACAAACGAAAGCTAGTTTAAAATAAAAATAATTATATATATAATTTATTGCCCCATATCTAATCCTATTCTTAATATATGATCCTATTCTTTATATCTGTAGAGGTTATAGTGAATTAAAATGTATGTTTTATCCTCAGATATTGAACTCGATGCCTCGTCCATAGAATCGTCCGAAGACTGGGAGAACAGTGTGAACAGTTCGGAACTAGACGTGCAGTACCAAAGCGATGATGAAAGGGCCGATAATGAGGTAATTGTTTATTATTATTTTGTTAATCTGTATGTATATTGTATATATTATGATACAGAAAAGTATTATCTATATTAAAAAAAGTCTGTTTTTTTATAAGCGAGATTTATTTGAGTTTTTACTAAGAACATTAATGTACCAAAAGGATGCTGACTACTGAAATTTTTTCTATAGTTATCTCATATTTATATTTTATGTTACTTATTTGTGGACCTGAAATTATAACCTGTAAGCTGTAAAAAATATTTAAAAAAAACTTTCCCTTTAAACCTAAAATCCTTATTCTTCCCACTTGTGAACGGTATATAAAAAAAGCTAACAGATTGCTCAATTTTTTCAGGCAGTCGGCATGGTGTTGCCAGAACTCTCGCGATACGCTTCTACAGCCAGTTAAATTAATGGCAACACTACTAACTACTTCAAATTTTTTAAACGCCAAATTTTTTTGATTTAAAAAATAAAAGTACATGGGCTTTAAAAATAATTTTAATACAATTCATGTTTAATGAATCTTAGATTAATATGCTTTTTGACCACAGCTTTTATTATTTAATTTTTTATTTTGTGTGTTTTCAATGAATGGAGAATAAGTAATGGATATTGGTAAAATATTATTAGTTTAATTTTTTATTGGCAACAATATTTTTTTATAAAAGTACCAAAGCTGAAGTAAATAAGGATTCTAAAAAACGTAAAATATTATTTTAATCAAACCAAAGTGTAATCAAATTGGCTGCATCCATTTGGATCTTTACCACTTTTATACAAGACACATAAAAATAATAATGGGCAAAATAAAGCTAGCTTATGTTATACAAATTTAGAGAGCATAGAAATTTAAATAACATTTTCTGTCTCTGTTTATCAATTATCATTAAACAGGGATAGAACTAACCACGAAGTTCCTCGCCTCTTTGAACATTAGCCTATTATTGTTTTTTTTAAACATACCGTATATTTATTTAGTTATTGCCATTCTAAATATTGAAAATATACCAATTCTAGGAATGCCGTAACGTTTTAAATTCTAAAATAGCAACTACAAAATTACAATATAAAATGAAAGATAAAATTATAGCTACTTTGTTTTGAACTATAAAATTCTGTAAAATGTCAATATGAAAATCAAAGTATTTGGACAATATTTAAATCTTTTTGTGATTTTAAACATGGCAACATTTTTACTTTGAGTATTTAATTCCTAATTTCCGTTATAAATGCGACAATAATGTTAGTTTTGTTAAATATGCACAAACTTACAAGTAAGGCTTTAATCCCTTTAGATATTAGTCTTCAAATTAATTATTACTACCTTATAAGATTTATTTTCTTTATTATTTTTTGAAAGGAATGTACTTTTTGGCGATATAGATGGGAAATTTATAATCATGTATTATAAATAATATACATATTTATATGAACGAATTTATTAATCTTTTGGTAGGTGGTCAAATATTGGTGTGCTAACATTTTTTAGTTTATAGGTAATATTTGTTATAGTTTATAGGTAAATGTTAAAATTAATAAAATAGTGGTATGATAATATTAAAAAATAATGATAAATCCATGCGTAATTCCTAAATTAAATTAAAACTATGTATATTATTTTGTCCAGCCATTTTAAGAGCCTTAACGAAATTTAAAACTTCTACATTTCTGTATATTATTTTAGAATGAATAAGCCAATGTGAAATTTATATATATTATATATATAATCCAAAATTTATGTAATCAAAGACCTTTTTAGTAGCTATTCCTAATATTCTATACAGCTTTTATGGTCATCGTCTTAGACAAATATTAAAACTAACACTGCCATTAATATCATCTGAAGACATTGTATGGCATATTAAAAAAAATAATATATATAAAATTAAATTAATCAATATGAAATCATAAAAAATATTGTACAATAAAACAAGATGTCTTCATTTTTGTAGTACTAATATCTATATGTTATTGAAATTATACTCATATCGGATCAATAACGATAATATTATGGCCTATTACTTTAAATGAAATGTATACATTTTTTATTTACTTAAATGCACAATATTCACTAAAACTGTATAAAAATATGTTAAATATTTTGTTAACACCTCCAGGTAAATTTCTAAGAAATCTATTGTTAACTGGAACGCCGGCGTTTTCGCGGTCGTGGAGGGATTAATTACATAGTTTTTTTATATATATGTATAATAATTTTGAAAAATGTATTTTCCTACATATCGCTGAGGTTACTAAAATCAGGTAGAAACGACTAAAAATATATTTCTCAATGAGATTTGTCGAAAATCGATAATTTATTATCAATACATCGACTGACTCGATTGTAATAACATGTTATGCTGTGGCCAAATTATTTATATGTTAATTAAATTTACGTTTTTTTTTTTCATTTTATTTGGTATAAAATAATTTTATTTAATAATTTGGCAAAGTTTCACAGTTTTTATTTGAAATAGACAATATTTGTCTAAAATATACATTATAATGTGTACGATTAATAATGTAATACTATATATGTGCTACATTCGTCGCAATGTATTTAATACATGGTTGTATTGATTGCTCATGGTTTTTGTAAATAGGTTTTTCGAATAAAGGGTATTGTATTGATGATGAATTTCATTAACCATACCATAACCAATTATTAGGTATTAAATAAGTATTATTTTATTTATTTGTACACTAATGACTTTACTCGCCCTCGCTTCGCTCAAGTAGTAAGAAGAGAGATAAAAGATTGTTATTGCTATCTCACCTCCTCCACATTACCAATTTTTAAACCCCATTTTGCTTCACTTATAACTAAAGATGTAATTAAACGTATAAAATCGATTTTTAGTTACTTCTAATTAAATATCTCGATTTTGTACGTCTTGTCTGTTGTATATCTTTGAAAAACATACGACAATAGAAAAAATTACTATCGAAATTGTAATTTGAATGAGCTAAAAGGCGAATAGTTGTGTATTATTGGGTAAGTAAAACGAAATTTATAGTCCCCTGCACGATTGACAGAGACCCCCATTATTTTCATTTATTTGACCAAATCGTGTTTTTTTAAACCACATATACTTTATATTATTTTGTATTTCTTTGTATATCTATTTATTACTCAATACATTATACATAAGTCTAATTTTTATTTTATTGTTAAAAATTAAAATAATTGAGCTGTTTCAAATTAAAAATATCAGAAATAAAACAAATATAAAAATCAAATTATTTTTATTCCCATTTTAAAATATAAATTACTTCAAATTAACATATTTTGTACAACATTTAAAACATTTGGTATGATATGACGAGATACGACGAGCGGGGCAATCTACCGTCTACACAGCGAACGTTAAACAGACAGATAGCACCACTATTATTATATATATACTAAGTACTATAAAACAATTATTTTCTACAGATTTATAATATTATTAGTTAATAAGTAAATGTAAAAATAAATAAAAATACGAGCGAAGCTATACGCTCGAGTGCACTTTGTGTTTATTATATAACATAGTGAAGTCCGCCCACACTAGGCCAGCGTGGTGGACTATGGCCTGATCCCGCTCGTATAGGAGGGCCCACCCGCAGCAGTGGGACGTTAAAAAGGTTTCTAAATATTACATACTAAATACTACATACCATATACAAATTACGCTACCTTTAAGCAAATTCAATATTATCAAAATCCATCAAACTGTTCTTTAGGAGTATAATAGAGTAGTATATTAGAGTATAAATACATGAACTTTTTCAAGCGCTGCACACAAAAAAATAATAACTACGTATTGAATATAATTAATTTCACCATTAACATTATAGAAACAAAAATAAATACAAATTAAAATTTCATTATTATTGTCTATTGAATAGAGAAAAAGTCAAGTATGATCTCGACTATTATAATTGTAAATGTACTTTTATGACTTTGTCCTTCTGTTACATAAGAACATATTGAAGTTTTCTTTGAGTGACGAATACAAATTAATATCCCGGATATCATTAAATCTGGTGAAAAAATTATTTTGATGTTAGTTTCATATGAAAAAAGCCTTATTACCAAAGCATAGAGTTGAATTTAAGCACGCAAAATTTAAAAACTTAAAATTTTATTCTCAACTTATAATAAATAACAAAGAAAAAAATCCATATGTCCATATTGTAATTATTCTTATGGAAAAAGATACAAAAAACCTATCAAAAGTACAGTGCTAGATTTTATTATTTAATTTAAATTCTTTATTGCACTTATTATTATTTATTTACTTATATTCATAAAAATAAAATTCATAATGTCAAATTTTATAATGTTCCGAATTATATTTTATATTTTCATCTAAATATATATTATTGTACTAAAACAGTCCACTGGCCCGATTAATATGTAAAAATAAATAAAAATACCCATTTATACGAACTTTGTTAACATTATCAGTCTTTTATTCCCCTAGATTTATGTTTCCAAAGTCAAAAACTTAGAATAAATTACGGCAAACAGAATAAAATAGCCTCAATATGGAAACATATAAAAATTTTGAAAAAATAATAATATGGAAAATTAAATACAATAAAACTTATTTATTATTTACAGTTCTGTTTTAATTTATGTAATTAACTTTAAGTAGTAGTGGAAACACAAATGTTGGAGAATCTCTCTTTAAGTCTCTTTCTTCTTTTCTAGACGTTGGAACTCTTCTAGAAGGGATTCTTCTTCGATGAACGGGAAAGAATCTGAATAAAAAATTGATGTACATTTTCAATTTATAATGTACACAAAATTTTATTGAAAAATAATATTATCTGAGCCAAAATATCAACATCCATACTAATATTATAAATGTGAAAGTGTGTTTGTTTGATTGTTTGTTTGTCCGCCCTTCTTTCACGACGAAACAGTGACGGATTGGCGTGATTTTTGGTGTGAAGATGGCTGGAGAGTAACATAGTCTAGTTTTTAACCGCGGGAGATTATCTCATTCCCACGGGCAAACACGTTATAGTACAACCCAAAAAAATATTTATGATCAGGATTAATTACCAAAGAAAATTGGTATTAATGCTTTTCATTCAATACAATTAATAAATACGTGTTTAGCATTTTTCGAAGTTCATCTTTCAAAATAGAGGATAAAAGTTTGTATGAAATTACCTTTTTAGAGTTTTCTTTGTAGTTTTAGCGCGAGTGAAGCCGCGGGTTCTGCTAGTACATATTGAAATAAATAGGACAATTGAAATATTTTTTTTAACATCTTTATAACAATGAAACATTCAATTATGAATCTTTAAAAACTAATTTATATTTCACTAGCGGCTCACCCTCGCTTCGCTTGGGTTCGATTTTAGAAGGACAACAACAAATCCATCCCACCGGAACTGTACTTTTTTCCGGGATAAGAAGTAGCCTATGTAACTATTCCAAACTATTTCTAATCTATCTCTGTGTCATACAGATCCGTTCAGCCGTTCTGGCGTGATTGAGTAACAAACATCCAAACATCTAAACTATCACATTTATAATATAAGTAAAATGTATTTTTTTATCATTTCAAAATACACAATTTAAATAAAAATTAATAAAAAAATTACCTTCTCGTTCCAATTTAACTTTCCCAACCAGCTCTTTGTTATCCTCTTCTTCTTCACTCTTTATATCCATGCCTAATTTTTCCTGAAAAAGTATTGTCTTTCATTATTGATCTATACTAATATTATAAAGAGGTAAACTTTGCGAGTTTGTGACGTTGTAAAGGGCAATCTCTGGATCTTCATTGATACACAAAAACTCAAGATACAAATTAGCGTCCCAAAAGTGTCCTCAAAAGGAAGTGCACAATTTTCAAAACTCTTTTGGTCATTGCTTTTCTGATGAGAAAATTAAAACGCACGTTGATTCGTTTAGAAAAGTACTTTATGTGGTGGGAGTAAATTCGAATTTGTGTTAAGACTATTAGAACTTACGATTTTGGAATTTTATTATTTTTTGTTCGACCTTCTTTTTTGTGTTATATTATCTGCATTCAGTTTGACTATAAGCAGATTGTGTGAGTTGTCTTTGTTTGACTTAACGTGACATGTCGACGCCACTCTTTGAAGAGATATTTGTTAGGAAATGTGTATCTATGTTTTTATATATCTTTTACATTTATTTTTCAATATAAGGTTTACAGAAATTTAGAATGCAAATATGCTAATTCAATAAAATAAATTAATTCATTTTTTAACATTATCAGTCTTTTATTCCCACAGATATATAAGTCTAATTTCAAACATTAGAATAAACAATGTATACAATAAAGCATATAAGTTTTTAACCATGTGTGTTAAAGGGAAAAAGGTTTTTTTTAATTTCGACTAAATAAGAAAGTTACAACTATTTTTATTAGAAATAAAAACAAATTTATAAAATAAATACCTTTAAAAACTTTGGCAGTCCATCTTGTAAGTGATACCAGCTCAGTATGAACATGAGCGAGACGAAGAATAGATTTGAACATATACCTAAAAAATATAAAAAAATATATATTAAATACAAAAAACATTCTAATTTTGTCAAAAACATAATTATTGATGGCATTACAGTTCAAAATATAAAAATGGCAAAAAAAACAATTTTAAATGGAGGCAAAATTCATGTTCATGAAATCGTTCATCTTCATGCAAATTCCAAGATATAAGCAAGATTTATTATGAATTTATATAAATTATAATTAAAAAAAAACGAAAAAAACACGCTTTAATAACAAAAATAATTAACTAAATAATTAACCGAACTAAAAAGTAAAAATGAAAAAGTGCTCAATGTCAGTTGTTATAAATATTCCATTGGTATGATTTCTAAAGGTAGTACAGTAAGTATAAAAATATTATTCAAAGCACCCCACGCTTTGTTCACAATAACATTAATTTTCTCGTTAAACACTTTGTTATTATACTAAAAAATATTTTTTACTTTTTAGTTCGGTTCATCACTGAAGCGTCTTTTTTAGTTTTTAAACTTTAATTTATTTTCCATTTTTTAGTTTGATTTGGTATAAAAAAACGTGTTTTTTATTTTATTTTTTTCATTATTATTATTTTTAATATTTTTTTTATTATTTATTATATTGTAGTCGGTTCTTAATAAGCACGCTTGTCAAATTAATATGACGTTTTTGGGTAAAATCTCATTCAAAGATTCCTTTACATATACCAATAGATACTGGTGAAGCTAACAAAAGCGTGTTAGAAAAGCGGGCGCTAAGAAAAACGTCCCTTTGTATTTGAATTGGTAAAAAGTGTGAAAATAGATATTTATGTAATTATTATAAAATATTTTTTATTAAGTATATTTGACTCAAAGGCAAAAGCTTTCTTAGTTTTAATATATCGATAGAGAGGAGAAGTTTGTTACTGTGATGTTAGTTTTATAACATTTTTGTCAAATATAGTAAGATAAAAAGGTTTGCGATTTTTATGATTTTAAATATTTATTATTATTTTTTATAAATTTGTGTTGAAATAAAAAAATAAAAATTTGAATGAGAAAATAATTAAAAGTGAAGATGAGATAATACTGAACGTACAACATTAATTTACATTCAAAGATACATAAAATCAAAGAATATTTTAGATTAAAAAAACTAAATAAGATGATTGGTGAACAATACAAAAAAAGGTCGAAGTCCATGCGTTATCATGCATTGCTGAAAAATGGCGCCAAACACAAGTGAGTTTGACAATATATTTTTGTAGTTATACTTCTTTTGGACACGTTTGGAAAGAAATATGTGAGTAACATTTTTACGATGCGCGCACACACCGACAGCCAAAAAGCGACATGATGAAGTCAGCTGCACCTTTACAAACAGAGAGTTGTGACATACGGGATGAAATCTATAGCTATTTTTGTTCTGTAACGCCAGAGAAGTATAACTTCTTACGTGCGTACATAAGTACACACAAACAATTTTTTTTAAATGAATGATAATGAATATAATGATCATGCTTACTAAATGCTTTTACCAATGAGGGCGGATGTTTTGGGCCAGTAGTACATCGCGTAGCGGAGGCCGGTGAAGTGCGCCTCGATGTGTAGCTCGCACGAGAACAACTGTACGAACCGCGATTGTAACTCTACGTACGCGTCTGTTACCGGTAGAGCCTGGATTTAAATATTTTTGTATTAATTATCTACATCTACATTTATTCTTTTTTTTAATTTTGTATTACGTTGTGTTATTTTGTTTTATAAGGTAATAAATAAATAATAATATGTTGGGACATTAACACACAGCGGCATCTAGTTCCGTGGTAAGCTACGAGGCTTATCTTATGGATACTAGATAGTTGATTCACTAAAACACATATATCTTTTTAAATACATACATATTTTATAATAAACACCCATAACTGGAGTACAAACATTCGTGCTCAACATACAAATGAATGCCCCCAGCGGGGCTCAAACCCGCGACCGCTAGCACAGCAAGTAGGATCCCTACAAACTTCCATTGATTGTATCATTCCAATGATCCATTGATGTATGAAAAATAGACAAACAGACTTTCGCATTTATAATATTAATTATTAAGTAATGATTTGATTTAAGAAGCAAGGTTTAACAACTACGGTCTACTATATATTTGATTGAGTTTCATTTAATATTTTTTCCTTGCAAATATTGAAACTGTGATTTAATTATGAGTGATTTTTTTTAAATATATATCAGCTCCTTATAGTATTATATATATAGTATTTTTTACTTGTAACTTAATATTTCTATGTTATAGACTGTGTAACTTCACAATAACTATTAAATGTACCTACTTATTAAATTCAAATTTAAATTTAAACAAGTAAATTTGTAACCTGATCATCTTCAAAATCACTGAAGAGCTCCACTTGTATGAATTGTTTCTCTTCATTTATGCCTGATAGTAATAACGGTGCAAAGAATAAAGTCCTTATTATATGATGCAAATTCGATCTGGAAAAAATAAACATATTAATTTCCTAAACTCCGTTTTGTTATTGTAATATAGTAACCAATGTTGCCATATTAAGTATATTATAGGTTGATTCCCCATACAAACTTTCATCCCCATTTTCCCCCTTAAGGGACGATTTCAGGATAAAAAGTATTCTATGCCCTTCCCAGGGTCTCAAACTATCTTCTTACTAAATTTCATTTAAATCGGTTCAGTAGATTCAGAGATTACCGCCTACAACGACACAAACTCACAAACTTTCCCTCTTTATAATATTAGTATTAGATTAGTAATGTTGTAATAGAAAGTAATCAGAAATATAATAATAATATTAAATTAAAATACAAAACAGTCAAAACTATAGCATGGGGTCTCATCATGAATAAACAAAAGTTTCAATAGATAGAAGTTCAAAAATATGTCAATAGACGACGTTATATGTATCGATTATTAAAGTTGTGTTAAAATAACAAAAGATAGAAAAATAAATCCCAAAAAGTTGTATAATTGTTTAATAAAATATTCTAAGTGAAGGGGAAAGAAATAATGCGCCTGTAAATCTAATTTGCATAATTTCATTGATTATTGAAATACCAGCAATCAGATGATGGGTTTGTAGTGTATATTCAGAGATGGCGCTATTACTTTTTATGAATTATTTATTACGGTTAATATTTGTTAAAAACACAGATTTTTTTATTCGAATGCAGAGTGAATTTTAAAATATTTACCATACATTAGTTTCCACATATTTATAAAATAATACAGTTTGACGATATATTTGCGAATCAACGACATCTATTATCATATATATTCATGCAAACAAGAATAGCCCGAATTAGCGCTGTCCAATTTCTTTATATGGGATGAGGCATCTGTACTAGTATAGTATTATGTGATCTGTGGCTATAGTAAATAATGTTGACTGTTTAATAAACAAGTAACATTTAAAAGATGTTATGATAATTAATCATCTAATTCACACTCACACTTCACACTCAAACTCGAGTAAGGCGAAAGGCAAAGGACCAACGGTTTTGTGCTCTTTGAAGTCAAAACAGCTTAAAAACACTGTCAACTTCCCAACATCTGGCTATTACTGAGAATATCTTGACAGAGAAACTAAATAACTTAACTAGCCCGACCCAGAACTAAAACCCAGAACATGCCAGCCTGTAGACCGCAGAGTGAACAAATGGATAGAAAGGTCATAAAGATAGTTTGAGAAATGGAAATAATTGCAAATAATTAAGAGTTTAAATGAAAAGTGAAAGTATTTACCTATGTCTAAGCATTGCAGATCTACATGATGAAGAGACGAGAACCCCTCCCGTGGCACGCAACTGAGCACACACCATAAACATGCCTAAAATATAATAAAATTTTCCTTTAACTTATTTAATAGCTATATAATAGCAGATTTTTCAACAGATAAAAAAGATAATAAAATTGGGGAGTAATATTTGAATATAAACTAATATTAATTCATTTTATTTATTGTTATTGTCATAAGATAATCATTCCTTCAAAAATGTTGCATTAGTTTTAAATTTGTTAATATGTTTTTTGTTTATATATACTAGAATCTTTGTTCACCACAAGTTTCAGGTTCGCCCTCTTTTTCTTATCAGCTTAACATATTATGAAGGGAATCGGGTCATAATCCACCAAGCTGGCCAAATGCAGATTGGCCGACTTCACATGTCTTTCAAAAAGTTGCTAGTTTCTCTCAGACATGCAGGTTTCCGTGCAATATTTTTCTTCACCGTATAACAAGTGGTAATCATGTCAGAAATGATTCGAACACAAAAATTTCGAAGGGTACAAGAACCGGGATTTGAACCCACTTTACTCGGTTTCCCAAGCAAACACATTACCACCTACTATCTACCACCGCTTTTTTATTTAATGCTTAGTGACAATAACTAATATTAATAAATAAACATGTTTTATATCTTTACATACCTAAATCTTTATTAATTTGAGACTCAGGGACTTCTAAAATAAGCTTTATTCTGTAAGGTTGCTGTGACATCAACATTTGTGTTCGCCGAGTTAACTGTACATGAGCTGATGGGAAAGAGCAGATGCCCATATTTTCATCACATGACCTAAAACAATTGAAAGGTTCTATATAGTTGTATTGTAAAAATTCATATTTCAAAACTGTTTATAAATTTCTATGAATGAGTATATTTTGAGTATGAGTATTTAAAAAAGATAGAAAAAGGTACACTATAAAGATTGATAAATTTTTTCTTAAGGCTCTTTTAAATTAAAACATCACGATGCTAGATGTAATATTATAAATGCGAAAGTTTGGATGGATGTTTCTGACTCAATAACACTAGAACAGCTGAACGGATCTGGATAAATTTTGGCACAAAGATAAGATTCAAAGTCTGGATTCCAGACTCTGGAAAAGCACATAGGCTACTTTTTATGAAAAATGTATGGTTCCCATGGGATAGATTTCTTTTTGTTTTTGACTAGGTACGAACCCAAAGCTTCAAAGCGAGGTTGAGTCACTAGTTAGTAATAATGATATTATTAATTCAATTATCTCTATAGAAGTTCAAAGTTCAAATTATAAATTAATCTATCTATAGAACAATATTAGTGATTTAATAGAATAATTTAATCCATTAGATCATTCATTAAACTACTGATTATCATAATGAAAGTGACTTACTTGAACTGCAAGTGTACGGGTCGCACGTGGGTAACATTAGGCATGTATGTGTAATAGAAAATAACATATAAAAATATTGAGATCCACAAAATCGCTGACAATAACACTGCAACTAAACCAGCTCTGTACAAAAGCTCTTTTACACTCGTTATACTTTCGTTTGTTTTCTTCTTATATCCCGTATATTGGTCGCTTACAAACGTTTCAATAGGATACTTGACGAAATCACGAAAAACTTTGAAAGGGCTTAAATAAGCTAAAATATCCATCTTGTATTAAACTTATCGCACCAATAATTATTTCGGTTATTCTTATCATATAAAAACAAAACGGTCAAGGAAACGGACCTAGACTGTAGGGTAGATAAGTTTGATTTAATATAAAACAGAGATAATTTTATAAGATAAATTTCACAAGTTCCGAAGGGTATGCTTGATAATGATAACAGTATCGGTGTATTCAGCATTTACATTTTCTTAAATTATAATAGCTCTAAAATATTTTTTTGTTTTAATAAGAAATTTAAATTGTAACGTCACAACGCTGAAGAATATCAAAGAGCGGTACAAAATATTTTTATTTACTACCTATTTTTTTAGTCAGTCAAATTAACAGCTGACTGCTGACATTGTTTGACAAATGTATGGGTAAATTCCGTTTACCTTAAAAATAAATGTATATTATTTGTTAAGAGTTATTTGGTATCATTTGGAATGTTTAACAAAAACTCGTACAATTTACATAAACACGATATATTAGAAAAACAAAATAAGCACAAAAGACATCATCACCTTTGGATGCAATAAATAATTATAATTTATAAGAAGTAAATTATATTCATCTGGCAGCCCCAATTTCAAATGTCAACAATAGTTAAACTTCAAATTTCAAAATAAAATGTTTGAAAATATTAAATAAATTATGTGAATTAAATTGACTGAATTAAACATTTTATAAAATACATATTTACTGAAAATGTTAAGAGCTAGCCAAACTCATTCTATATCTTATCTGGCTAAAAGATTTTTATCGAGTACTACTCGAATAATTCGTAAGAATAACTTACCAGCTACTGCATATAAGCCAGAAATTGTAGAAAAATACAAATATGACGAGTGGGAAAGGAAGGGAATCTTCAATGCTCATAGCAAAACAGATAAACCGACATTTAGTATAGTCTTACCACCACCAAACGTTACTGGAAAATTACATTTAGGTTAGTATATTATAGTTCTAAATATTCCTATTTTTATTTAGAATTTAAATTAATATTTAAACAATGTAATTTGATCTGTACAACTCTAATTTAATCTGTACTATATAAAGATCTTTTATATAATGTTGACAAAACTTTTGAAAATAAGCTTCCAATGTGTTTTAAATGTATAAATATTTAAATATTTTAGGACATGCTTTATCATGTACAATTCAAGATATTATTGCTAGAAGGAAGAGATCAATGGGTCTTAATGTACTCTGGTTACCTGGTACAGATCATGCAGGAATAGCTACCCAGGTATTTTACATATTTTATAGACATGGAATATTCAAAAACAAATAAATCATTTTTATTGACTAGTTACTCTACATCTATATCCTTAAGTGCATAAAAATTTTGATACTCCTTTAAAAATGATATTCAATTTGTAAATTAATATTATTTACAGGGTGTTGTAGAAAAACATCTTAAGTCCAAAGATAACATAAACCGCCATGACATTGGCAAAGAGAGATTTAATCAAGAAGTATGGAAATGGAGAAAGAAACATGGAAACACCATATGCCAACAATTAAGACTATTAGGTTGTTCTTTAGACTGGTCTCGTGAAATTTTTACAATGGATGAAAAGTACACACATGCAGTCAGTACTGCTTTCATAAAACTATTTCAAAAAGGGTTAATATATAGAAGAAAAGCTTTAGTTAATTGGTGCAATGCTTTAAAATCAACTGTATCTGATATAGAAGTTGAAAATATTACAATAAATGGTCCTACAGAAATAACTGTGCCTAATTATGAAAAACCAGTAAAGTTTGGGCTCATTTATAATTTTGCATATAAAATAGCTGATAGTGATGAAAAAGTTTTTATATCTACGACAATGCCAGAGACAATGTTAGGTGACACGGCATTGGCAGTACATCCTGATGATGAAAGGTAATTTTGATTATATTTTAATTTGTAAAATTGTTTATTTATATTATTTTGTATAAAGAGATTTTATTTTACTTATTTAGTTCGTTAATATCAAGTTAATTGTGCTGCTGAATGAATTTTTGGGAAAATTATCTTGAATCAATGAAACCTTTTTTATTAACTTCTATACAATACTTTAAGTTTTTTTCTATATCCTTCTATTCTATTCTATATATTTTTAAAATTGTAAATGAAATCCCCCCCCCCCCCAAACGTGCGTTCACCTTGTCGTGGTGGGGGGGCTCAGTAGTGCCCGGCAACCCAACCGGGCGCGAAGCCAAGAAACGCACAGGGAGGTAGCCCACTTCGGTGGGCGGTGGGAGGTGGCCCTCTTCGGTGGGCGGTGTACCATGTGGGTTTCTCCTGGTACTTCTCTGATAGCAGAGTGGACCTTGGAGCCGATGGTTGTGGTGGTCTGCTTCGGCAGACCTGCCGTCGGGGCGTCGTAGTTGAATGCGTAAGCGATCCTGCGACGCCCCATTAAGACGGTGGAAGGTTTTGTTGGGTTTTAGTGGGTATTACTGCCTTTATTACGCCGGTGAGTCCCACACCTCGTGCGTAAATGCATTTCCCAACGTTAAAAAAAAAAGCAAGTCACAGAACTAACTTCAACCAATGTACTTGTTATAAAAGTAGTTGTAATAGGTAGAACTGTTAACATCAAATAAGTCATTTTAGAAACGGCTTATCATTAGTTCTAAAAACTGCCACCTAATCTAATCACCAGCAATATATTATTCACTAGTGACTTACCATTGCTTTGTTTGGATATGTCCCTAGGTACATTTTAAATCTAAAAAAAAAATAGTTATTGTGAGTGTACTTTAGGTAGTATGTTCCCCATATATTATTCGCATCATAGCCTGTGTCCTCCAAGGTCCCATTTATCTCTATACCAAAATTCATCAAAATTGGTTCAGTGGTTTGGGTGTGAAAACGTAACAGACAGACAGAGTTACTTTGGCATTTATAATATTAGTTTGGATTATAATATTGTAATATATTTTATGTAGCAAAAAAGTTTATATTTATGACTTGGTTTTCATATGATTCAATTACTTTTTCAGGTATAAACATCTTAAAGGTAAAAAAGCAGTTCATCCATTTAGAAATGAGATGATACCGATAATTTTTGATAAGTTCGTCGATGTAAAATTTGGTACAGGTGTAGTCAAAATAACACCTGCTCATAGCAAAATAGATTATGAAATTTCTAGACATCACAATATACCTTTACTACAGGTAATAAACGAAGATGGATGTATACAAAATTCTGAAAAATTCGACAATATGAAGAAATATGAGTGCAGAGAGATATTACTTAGCGCTTTAGACAACTTAGGTCTTCTAAAATCAATTGAGTCCCATCAAATGACATTACCTGTTTGCAGTCGAACTGGAGATGTAATAGAATATATTCCGAAAGAACAGTGGTTTTTGTCTTGCACCAAATTAAATGAGAAAGCCAAACAAGCTGTTATAGACAATAATTTAAAAATAGAACCAGAAAAGTTTGTTAAAAATTGGCTCAATTGGACAGAGGATAATCGAGATTGGTGTATTTCTAGACAACTTTGGTGGGGTCACCAAATACCCGCATATAAATGTAGTTTAGATAATCTTATTGTTTGGGTAGCCGCAATGGATGAAGAAACTGCTAAAATAGAAGCATCAAAATATCTTAGATGTTTGCCAATAGAAGTTAATGCGGAAAGAGATCCGGACGTCCTTGATACTTGGTTTTCATCTGGACTTTATCCATTTGCATCATTAGGATGGCCTGAAAAAACTCAAGACTATAAAAAATATTATCCACTAAATCTAATGGTCACAGGTCATGACATTTTAGGGTTCTGGGTACATAGAATGGTTATATTGGGTCTGGAATTAACAAATAAACTACCCTTTAATAATATTCTTTTACATGGAATAATTTGTGATAGTAAAGGTGCTAAAATGTCTAAAAGTAGAGGCAATGTAATCGATCCAATTGATGTTATTAATGGTATTTCTTTGGATGATCTAAAAAACAAAGCGGATGCCATGAAAAGAGATGGAGTACTTAATGCGGATGAACTAAATAGAGCTTTAGCTTATCACAAGTCAAATTTTTCTAGTACCAATGGTATACCAGAATGTGGGGTCGATGCATTACGATTCACTCTTCTATCTCAAGATATCAAATCACATTTCGTTAGTTTCGACGTTTATCAATGCAACGCTAATAAATTATTCTGCAATAAAATTTGGCAGAGCATTAAATACACTCAGTTATCTTTTGCAAAATTAAAACAGATGGATCATGAAATAACATATAAAGATTTAACGTACTTTGATAAATGGATTCTAAGCAGACTGTCTAATATGGTGGATATTGTTAATAAATCTATGGATGAATATAATTTTCATTTAGCAACAAAATCTTTGAAAACTCTGATTTATAATGAATTTTGTGATATTTATTTAGAAGCAACTAAATCGGGTTTCGATAGTGGGAATTCTAAAATAGCATACGCGCATTCGCATACGTTATCCGCCGTATTGAATACTTCGCTTAGAGGCTTAGCACCATTCATGATTTACCTTACAGACGAAGTTATACCAAAAATACCTGCATTTGAAATTAATATCATCCACAATTTTAATGATAACGATAGAGATTATTACGATTTTCCTCAAAGTAATGTTTTTAAAATATGGAGGAACGAAAATTTAGAAAAAGAGGTCGACAAACTCTTAAACACTATATATCTAATACGTGAAATAAAAGGTTTTTACAATATTCCTAATAAGATAAAACCAGCAATTTATATAAAGACCAATGATGACACGCTTATATCAAACTTACAAAATAATGGTATAATCGTTAAAAATTTATCTAAATGTGGAGAAATCAAAATAAATATAAACACAGAAAAGAAAGTAATAAACGCCATATTGGACAAAGATACAGAAATAAGCATTGAAGTGACTAGTGACATCGAACACACAATTTTAGCTGCAAAACAAAAATTGCAGAAGAAAATTAGAAAAGTGGAAGAAAATCTTATTAAATTAGAAAACAAATTATCAAGTAATCAATATATTAAAAATATACATGAAAGTATCCAAGAGTTAGATAAAGAAAAACTAGTGTTAAAAAAAGAAGAGTTGAATCGTTTGAGAAGACTGAAACTGTAGGTTAAGAAAAAATAGTATTTACTGTCAAAACTTATTTTAATGAGAAAGTTGACAAGCTGTGGTTAGAATCGTACTAATCGATACGAGGATATTAACGTGACTCAGGAATTTTTTTTTACCAGGCTGGCGAAGCCTAAAAGCTAAAAAGGCGCGACGCGATAACTGTTTCACTTTAATCTATCTTTGCCATGGTATGACTTTTCAAGATCTCTACGTATATTTCTGTGAAGTGGAGTATAATTTATGTTAATAACAAATGCATCGTTTTTGTTCCAAAAAGTCATTAAAAATTAATTAAACATACTAGCGTGCACACTTTAGTAGACACCCCGTTCAAAACATATTGCCCTTTTTTTTATTGTATTAAAAAATGATTTTAATTAAATACGCTATGAACATAGCAATCTTGCAGCGGGATCTTAGTCCATAACGTAAATTTTTTTAACACAATTTATCTATGTCCTGTTTTACACTTGCCACTTGCCAGCCTTATAATTATGCAGTCAGGGTATTTTATTTGTTTTCATCAGTTAATTTTTTGACAGCTATTGAATTTTTGGTCTTTTAGATAATTTGATTAAGTTTTAACAATATCTTTGTCAGTTCACTTTCTGATATATTTGTAAGAATTATAATAGATATAGTATTCATGAAATCAAATAAAACATATTACAACAAACAATATATTTATTTATTTTTAATTGACTAAAAATTGTAGTGGGTCTGATAATGAGAGGATAGAATCGCAAATACATTCTTATGTCTTAGTCTACAGGGGGTACACTTATTTTACTATGAATTTCCATGAAACTTTTTGTCAATAAGGTCCTAATACTTTGAAATTCCCTTAAATATAAGACTTACAATATATCCGTGTATTAATGCACTATTATTACATCTTTTTCAAATAAAACAACGACTACAATTTGGCAATCAACCTGGACTAATAAATAATGAAGACCACACCACTTTTCAAAAGTTCAATTTCAAACAATTTTCAAATTCAACTACAACTAAAAATCTTTAATAATAATAAAAACATTAATATTGACTAACAAATATTAACTGAGATATACTTATATGGGATATTTAAATACACATCTTATTATCATTTGTGTAAGCTGCATCAATTTCAAAATGTTTTGAAATACATATAAGCATTTGGAATATAAAATAATATACAGGGTGGAACTAATTGATGGGACATGGAAGAAAAGTACCTTAAATATTGAAGTAATCAAGATTTACTCAAAGGAAACATTTCATTATTTTTAAAAGTAATAATAACTGCATGTTTTTTTTAAACGCTTATCTGAACCGATGAACGATGAAATCTTTCACATTTTGAAAGATTTCATCTTTTTCTTTAATTCTAAGACGCAATGTTTGTTCGAGAGTTTTTATCCTTCCCATAGACCCTATCAATTAATTCGATAAAATAGTGACAGTGTCCATTTTTTATTTTTTATTCGGTTCGATTCCCAGTTCAGGTAAACATTTAAAAAAAATGCAGTTATTTTTATTTCTAAAAATAATGAAATGTTTCCTGTGAGTAAATCTTGATAAATTCAATATTAACATACTTTTCTTCCATGTCCCATTGATTCGTTCCATCCTGTATAGAGTATCTATGAAAATATATCCATGAATTTTATACCATTACATCAAAGAAAAGTTTAGACATGAATATAAAATATATAAATTTTATAATAAACAAATATTAATTATAAAATTTAATTACAGTTATAATTATTCAATTGTTGGTTTAATTTGAAATGAGATTTCCATAAAATAGATACAGACACACAGTATTGTACTTATTATATTGGTTTCTATAACATACACAAAAACCAAGAATGTAGTTAATTTACCCTATTATTTACTTACAACATCAAACATCTACATACACTTACTTGTCTGTTTAAAAAGGAATTATCTTGGAAAAGTCTAAATTCTTGTTGCAAGTACATTAAAATGTATATTTATAATGTATATATATATATTTTAATTTACTTACTATATGTAACTTACATAGCTATACAACTAAACATCAGGAATTCTAAAAATGTCTTATTACCTTGGGATATTTTATATAGATACAGCATAAAAAGTTTTACTTTAAAGTAGAATATTTTATGTAAAGGGCTATTCCTTAATGACATAAGGATCCTGAGGGGGACATGTCCTTATATCGGGGGAAGTGAGGAAGGTCTTTGATTTGTGTCAAATTTAAGATTTGATGCAAATCAAAGATGACTGACTTAGTTCAATTGATCCTTTTCTAAAACCAAGTAAAATCTAATGTAAAATGGGGGAAGGTGGACTTCGAGAAATCTTATGTGCTCCCTACATTGAGGTCAGGGGAGTCAAAAATGGCATAAATTGTCCTTACGTAATTGATGAATGGCCCCTAAAATATTATATGTAGAAAAAAATTGGTTAAAAACAATAATATATTCTATTATATTATGTTTTACTATATAGGTAAAAACATTTATATTTTGTGCAGATCTCAAACACTTCATTCATTGAACCTTTTAAATAAATAAGAACTTAAAAAATATAAACCAAACATTAATAATAATTATTCTACTTAATATTATAATAAAAGTCTAACTTTTATATTTAAATGGTAATAAAAAAAACTTTTCTGAATCTTATTTTTTAAATAAATAAAAGTAAAAAACAGAGACTAAATAATATTTGTTTAACCTTTGAAATGTTTTTGGTTTTCTTAATAATTTTAGAAATGTTGATAGATAAAATATCAACTTTTTATATTAATTATCTATATTTATTTAGCAAATTCTAAAATAGAATTTTCCTTAAAAGATTCAAGAATCTTCATTTTAATAATAAGCTACTTAGTTCTCAGTAATATTAATTGGACACTGATTAACTATAATAAGTAAGAAGAAATGCTAAATTTAAATTATGATTTCTTTGGTACCTTGTATTTTGATTTTAGTTTTGATATAACTTTCTTTTTGTTCGAATTCACATTGATGTATTTATTTTTTGGAGGAATGCCTGAAAAAAAAATGTTATCATTATTGATATTACAGCTTCGAAAATTTAAACTTTACATAGGTTTATTAAACTTCTCCTATTATTTAATCAGAAAATAATAAAACAATAAATAAAAAATTGATCAAGTGCCAGTTGAATTCGCACATGAAGGGTTCCATACCATCAACATGTATTTTTATTAACATGACTTTTACTGTATGTATGTAGTATATTAACTTTGATATTCAATTATAAACATTAAAATAATGTTTCTTGTATTTTTTTTATTTTCATTATTTGTTGTTATAGCAACAATAGAAATACATACTTCGTGAAAATTTCAACTATCTACCTATTATGGTTCATGAGATACAGCCCTCTAACAGACGAATGATAGACAGCAAAGGCTTAGTAATAGGGTTCTGTTGGCACCCTTCGGGTATGAAGTCTTGAGAAAAAATTCACTTACTTCTTTTGACTCTCGGTCTCTCTGGAACCTCTCCTATGTATCTCATTAACTTCTCCCTTTTCTTTTGATCTTCATGCCATTTAACATGTTTGACCAAACAGAAAAGAAACTTAAATCTTTGTGGACATTTTGCACATGCATACATCTTATCATCATCACTTTCAGCTTCCCCACTCTGGCATATGCTTGGAATGGTATTATCATCATACATATAAGCATGCTTAATAACTCCACCAGGTAATATTTCTAATGTTGGCCAACTATCAGGATTTTGTTTTACTGGTTTTCCCAGAGCTACAGTCTAAAAGGAGAAAATAATGTTATTTGTTAATTTAATATTATTTCTACTTCCATTGCATTTACAATACATTAAAAAATCCCTATAATATATTTCAATACACTATATGTATATGTATACAAACCAAAGGTTCTTCTTTATTTTTTAACATCTCTGGTATTGTAATTTCTGTGCCATCTTCCACTGTAATTACCTCTTCTGATCGTATAGAAACCATACTTCCAATATTAGAGTTCTCTTCGCCATTACAAACGTTATAATCTTCAACAACGCTACTGGCTTCCAACTTTATAGTACCTCCTGAATACATATCAGAACTTCTATCTGGTTGTACATCTGCCATTCTGACTAGCGGAATATTTTCTAGATCTTCATTACCTTCTAATGCACTTGTTGCGGACATTTCAATGTATTTGACAAGGATCAGTGTTGTTATTTTTTTAGACGTAAATAAGATGTTACGGCTTTTTAGTTTTGATTGAAATTTTCCTGTTCTTTTATATTATTTAGGAAATAACAATAAAACAGACAATAGTAACGTTTATATTATTACTGTTGAGTCAATAAAAATAAGCCAATTCTATTGAAAATATTAGTGATTGTAAAATGTAAGATCCATTTGCAAAACTGTCAAACTGACAATCACTGATCACAGACCGAACAACAAGACTGCTGACTGCTGACAATTTTTGTCGTGACTTTTTTTGTTTTAATAATCTCAGACCAATATACTTTTTTAGCTTATAGGTACTTTTTACTTTAAAAGTTCATAATACAAAAACAATGTGTAATGGTTTTCGTGTCTGCAACTCCTTGCAAGGGTTAAAAAAAATTGTTAAGTGTTTTTTCGCAATTACTCGAAAACGGTCTCGAAAAGAGCTTAAAATTTTACATAGAAAAGGATCAAGACTTTCCCTGCGGTCAAAATTAATCGAGTTAGGGAGGTTTAAATATTTTTTTTATTGTTTAAAAAAATATAACAATTTAAATTTTGTTATTGAAATTCAATACTTAACAATTTATGAATAGATAATTTATTTTTTTGCCATATTTAGATTCCTCGTGAAATTTCAGACCTCATTTGACTGAACTATTATAACTTGTGGTAAATTTAAATATTGTTATTTTATTTATCAATCGCTGAATATTTTGAAATAATATGTTATAAAATAAATTCATAATGTAAGCCTAAAGGTAATATACCTGAACTAGCAGCTTATCCTTGCTTCGCTCGGGTTTGCCTCTACAAAAGTACAAACAGATATATCACATGGGAACCGTTCATTTTTCCGGGATAAAGAGTGACCTGTTGTTTGTATCAGCATGCCAAATTTTACTAAATTAGGTGCATAAGTTCTTGTGTACTAAGCTGTATAAGTTACTATAGTTTTTTAACTATCCCACGGGAACTCTTTAATATTCCGGAATGAAAAGTATCTAAAATGTTGACCGGGGATATAAGGTAGGTACGTTATCGGGATAACCCATTTATCCTGATAACGAGCATGTAAGATTGTATTTTTGTATATAAGCGTTTTAATGAAATAATCTGGGGGCACGGTAGTATTCCTACCAAGTCGAGCAAAAGGAGGCACAGCCGTAACATCTTTTTCTGGAAGGCATTCAGGTCATTTTTGACCCCCCTGTAACTTCGTTGTGGAAAAAGCTAGACGCCGGAATTTTCAGTGACTTAGATGACGCAATATAATTAGGTATAAATACACATATATAAATATACATTTCCTCATTTTAGTCACTAGTCCTATATAATAGATATGTGATATATACGATTACAAAATTAACTTTGCAGTTCATATAATTTATCGTCACTTAAACTACCCAAATTGATAGATAGGTAAATAGTGGATATATAGTACAGTAAGTCACAAACGATGTTTAATAATACATATATCTATACTATACTTATAAATCGGCGCAGTGCACCAAGGTGAAGGCAAGGGATGAGATTGAGATCTTACCGATCTTATAGCAGGCTAAATTCAGTTAGATATACGCACAAGATATAGTAAGTATACAGAAGAGAAAAAAGGGAAAACTATAATTTACAAAACGAAATGAAGTCCTATTTTAAATAGTCCTAATTGAAGAAAGCGCTAGCGGGTCAAATTTATGCATACACAAACATAAATAATTCGCTCAGGCCACTAATATTAGGTAAATTTTATTATTTGTAGATTCATATAGATAGATGGCCAAGTCATTCTATTTATTAAAGAAATAAAGATGATATTGATACAGTCAGATAGATGTTTCCATAGACAGGTATTGAATAACTTAATCGACTTGGTTTTACATTATATCTTATATTTTTTTGTGGTAGAAGAACTGCGTTGCGTGACTTGCATTTTTTTACATGTTATGTTTTTGATGGATACGTTTCACTAATTTGTAATGATATTTATAGCATTTATTTACATATGTGACCTTGCACGAAAGTAATGTATTTATAATCAAATAAAAAGAACGCGGATTATTTATTCGTAGATTGTAATACAGTAAATTGTTATTAAATATTATAAGTATAACTCGCATCATCTAAAAAGAACGCTGGCTGTCAAGTTGCGCGGAAGCGCTTTATCGGTCAAATTGGTGGTAAGAGGTGGGGAGTAGGGGGGGACACGCGCCGCATGCTTGCCGGCACGCTATTGGTTCGTCAGTTCGAAATACCATCGCGCACACAACAAATTTTAATTACGAAATGGTTTTATAAATAGATAAGAGAAAAATTTTTTTGACGTATATAGTTTTACAAAGAGAGAGTCTGATAATAATTGTTTTAAGATGTGTTAATAAAACTATTTCTTACTTGTTTAATATGTATTAATAAACTATAGTTACATGTTCTTAGTATTATTAACTCTAAATCTAATTTCACAGCTTCCTCCAGTCGTCTCTTTTTATAACTAACTTCCATAGATATTTTACAGATAATATTATGTCCACTCCCACAGATAATCAATAATAACATAACTGTTCTCTCAACATCTTTCCCTTTTTAATTTACATTAAGAAAAATATATAATATATAATCATAATCATAAAATTGCAATTGAAGTCAATACTCATATATATTATATATGAGTATTGATTGAGATAACAAAATTTAATTAACAGGATTTGAATATGTGTAATTATAGCATTCTTAAACAATTTAACACTCATAATCATCTAAATATCTAGGTCGTCTAACAAGTCTTTTCAGATCTTCTTTGAACTTGCTCTCCATTATTATTTATAGATTCATCCTCCGCCGAGCTTGCTATATCTGTATTGATCAATATCTCATTTTGATCTGAAAACACCCGATGACTGACCTTCAGTATTATTATAACCCCCACTACAAACATCATCAAATGTAAAAAACTTGAATCCCCATACGATGGATTACAATCAATTGCTTTATTCAGATGCCATCTATTTCGTCTATATTTCCCTTTACTGGTACTTACAATAAAAGACCTAGGTTCATCACATTTTTTTATAATAGTTCCATAACACTTTAAATCGGAAACCCACAAACTTTATCATTTAACTTTAATTCTGATATTTTGAGACCCTATGCCTTTTATTGTAATAAAAAGCACTTTTGTACTTGCTTTCATCTGTTTGTTTTTTAAATTGTTTATGTATTATTAACAGGTTGATTTAACTTATTTGGGACTATAGGCAAAACATCTCTGAGCTTACGATTAAACATAAGTTCTGCCGGGCTATAACCCAATTCCAAAGGTGTATTTCTATATACTAGCAATGCCAAATATATATCTGTATTCTTTGATAATAGTGTTTTTGCAATCTTAACTCCTGACTCTGCTAAACCATTACTTTGGGGATAATATGGAATACTTGTAATTAACTTAAACCCATATTCTTTAGAAAATACATTTAAACTTGGATCTAAATTGTGTTCCACAATCCGTTCTCACAATCTCTGGAATGCCATATCTTGAAAATGCTTCCTTACATTTAATTATTACTGTTTCTCTGTCATATCAGTCAGTTTGGCAATTTCTAGAAATCTCGAATAATAATCAATCATTACTATATACCAATTATCGTTAAATTTAAATAAATCCATTCCTATTTTCTGCCAAGGTCTATCTGGTAAATGAGTCTATTATCATTTCTTCTTTAGGATTTTTTAAATGTTCTAAGCATTTTGTACATGATTTTACTTTGTTTTCTATTTCTTTAGACAACCCTAACCACCACACTGACTGTTTTGCTCGCTCTCTACATTTGGAAATTCCTAAATGACCCTCATGAATTTTGTTCAGTATATCTTGTTGCATTGTTTAGGTATAACAATCCTTGAATTAAAAAGAAGTAGCTCTGATTCAATGGAAAAATTTTCTCTATATTGATAATAATCCTTAAAAATTCCTAATTTATTTTTGCTTGGCCACCCTTGAATTATAAATTGTTTTTAATTTACAGCATATTTCACAATTATTTTGTTCTACCCTAACCTTGTTTAATGTATCATATGACAATGTTTCACTAACAAAAAAATTTAACTCTAATTCTGAATCTATAAACTCTTTAGTGTTTTCACTAGGTAGAGGTTGTCGTGATAAAGCATCTGCTACTGCCAAGTCTTTACCAGGAGTATATTTTATTTCATAGTTAAATTTACTTAACTTTAGTCTTAGTCTCAATAACCGTGGACTCAAGTCATTTAATTGTTTTTGTTTGTAATATTTGTAAGAGTGGTTTATGGTCTGTTTCTAAAATAACCTGAATCCCTATAATATAATCTTTAAATTTTTTCTGTAGCCCATGCCAAAGCTAGGCATTCCTTTTCTATTTGTGCATAGTGTTTTTCTGCTTCTGTAAGAGTTCTACTAGAATACATTACTACAGACCTTTGGCCCTGCCTATTCTCTTGCATAAGTGCAGCACCTAACCCGAAGGAACTACTGTCAGCTGATACAATGATCTTTAAACTCGGATCATAATGTGATAAAGTTGGTGCTGATTTAAGTTTTTCTTTTACTTGATTAAAAACTTGATCTTGAGTTTTTTCCCATATGAACATATTACTGTCTTTTAATAACATATATGCAATGGTTCTAATAAATGAGATTTATTTGGTATAAATCTACCTACAAAATTAACCATACCGAGAAATCTAAGAAGCTCTTTTTTATTTTCTGGTACTTTAAATGCATTTATTGCTTTGAATCTTTCTGGATCAATTTTAATGCCCTTTTCATTTATTAAATGACCTAAATATGTCACCTCTTTTACTCTAAATGCACACTTTTTTTTCTGTTAATTGTTAATCCTTCATTTTGTAACCTATTTAGTACTTCCCTTAGTATTCTATCATGTTTTTCTTTAGTTTCTTCAAATACTAAAATATCATCCATATGTATAGCTACTTTTAAATCTTTGAATAAGTTAGAAAATTCATACTAAAATACTCTGGTGCACAATTTAGACCAAAAGGTAAACGATTATAAACATACCTACCAAAAGGTGTTATAATAGTAGTAATTTTCTTTGACTCTTCGTCTAGCTTGATTTGATGGAACCCTGAGGTAGCATCTATTTTAGAAAATATTTAGCCCCCTTCAGCTTTGCTAATGTATTTTCCACCTTTGGTATTGGGTAAACCGGTCTTAAAATACTTTTATTAACTTCAGTATAATCTCCACAAATCCTAACTTTATCATTTTTAAATACTACTACAATTGGTGAGACAAAATCAGTAGGTTCTTCTATCGGACTAATTATTCCAAGTCTTTGTAATCTATCTAGTTCTGCTTTAACTTTTGGTAATAATGGAATTGATACATTTCTAGGTGTAGCATGTACATAAGGTTTTGGATTTGCAACTAATTTGATATGGAATTCGTCTTTAAATACTCCTAACTCATTAAATATATTGGGATATTCTTTTTCAATTACTTCACTTATATTATCATCAGAGTTGAAACAATGAGAGATAGCACTTATAGTAAGTATATTCATATTTTCAATAGAAGGTCTCCCTAAAATAGCTCTACTTAAATTTTTTATAATATAAACTTTACCTTCATATACATTTTCTTTATACCTAAGCTTTAAATTAGTAGTTCCCAAAACCACTAATTTTGTCCCATCTGGTCCTTTGATCACATCATCACTTTTCACTATAGAGAGTCCACATCCTTTTATAATATTGTCTGGTATAGCACTTATGTCTGCTCCTGTATCAATAAGAAATTTTACTTTACTTATAAACTGGTCCTCTTGAAAAACATCTACGTCTATTAAATACTTTTGTTTTGACTCACAGAAACTAACCTCATATGTAGTTCCTATTTCTTCCTTCTCAATATTTTTTACTATCTTGGCTCTGCACAACCTAGCAAAATGCCCCGTTTTTCGACACTTGAAGCATGTTATATTTGATGCTGGACATTTGCACCTAGGATGTCTTTTTTGTCCACAAAACCAACAATTTCCTTTTAATTGTAGTTCTTCGTTGTTTTCTTTGTGCTGTTGTTGTTCCTACTTTCACCCTATTTATTTCACTTTTCTTCCTTATTTTCTCTTATAATCATACTCTCTTTTTTTTGTATTTCCGCTTGCTTTCCCATTTTGAATAGCCTCCTCAAGCTTTAAGTCATTTTTTAAGAGCATCCTGTCACTTATATTTCTATCCCTTATGCCAATCACTACTCTATCTCGTATAAGTTCTTCTTTTAACAAGTTATACTCGCATCCCTCTGCTAACTTATGCAAATCCGTGACAAAATTGATCAAAATCTTCCCCTTCCTTTTGTACCCTTGAGTTAAATTTGAATCTTTCGTAAATTACATTCTTCTTGGGAAAGAAAATTTTGTCAAAACTCTGAAGTAACTCTGTATAAGTTAAATTTTTATCAAATTGAATAATTATGTCTTCTGCCTTATCTCCCATCGAGTATAACAGAAAATCTATTTTACTTTTATCACTTAATTCTTCATTTCCCGATACGCTCATATACCTTTTGAATCTAGTTATATACTTCGGCCACTCTGCTGGCACGAAACTAAATGTTCCCGGAGGCGCCATTTTGAGTTGTTGGTTCCTTTCAGAATCGGGCTGTCGGACTGAGGAAGTTTGTGCTTCGTCTGCCACCATGTTTTAAGATGTGTTAATAAAACTATTTCTTACTTGTTTAATATGTATTAATAAACTATAGTTACATGTTCTTAGTATTATTAACTCTAAATCTAATTTCACAGCTTCCTCCAGTCGTCTCTTTTTATAACTAACTTCCATAGATATTTTACAGATAATATTATGTCCACTCCCACAGATAATCAATAATAACATAACTGTTCTCTCAACAATAATGCAGTTAATAATTAAGAAAAAACGTATTAAACGTAGATTAAACATTCTACACTGAATCAAACATATTTTAATAATTAATAGAATTCTATTTAATGATATTCTATCTAATATATTTTTCAATGTCCCTACCAATAACTAATATATGAATCCGCGAGCGAAATGGTATAAAAAATATAATAATAGGCTTAGTACTTTTGTGCGCGAGTATACCAATGTGCAAACATACCCTCTCCACTTTCTTCCAGCGTTCTTTTTAGATGACGCGAGTTATAAATTATGTAACTCATTATTTTAAGAGCAAAGGATGTACCGATGATTATAAAAAAATTAAGTAAATGTTGCAATAGTACTGAATATAAGAATATATGCAAGCAATAACTTGAAGTTTTATTAGTGTGATCCTACAATATTATAAAATTACAGAAAACCATGAAATATTACAATTCGCACACATCGTTTAACTTACTCTTGTGCTATGCATTCATCGGAGGAGCATCAAAAGAATATGGCCATTCGAGAGAACTCCGCATTGGAGTGAGTTTGGCATATCAACATGCTAATGTACTCAAATAGCTATGTCTAATGTTTCTATGTTAACATGTTGGGGCCAATATAATATTATATATTTATATCTAAGTTTAAAATGTAGAACTTGCACTGTTAGATCTATGCCCTCCCAAATAAGCGAAGAGTCATATTAGGTGTTGTGATTAAGCACACTTAAATGTAAAGTCAAAAATTAAAAAAAAATGTTTATTCAAATATTTTGCAACTAATTACTAGGTTCATGGATTACAGTTATTTTCATGAATTGGGAAGTACATTTGCATTAATGTTTCATAGATATCAACATCTATTGGCATAAATGTGCAAAATATAACTTTTTCTATCTTTTTGTTATTTTCAAGGAATTTTCTAGCAGTCCGTAAAGCAATATGAGCAGCTAGACGATTAGGAAAACCATAAATCCCAGTAGAAATACAAGGGAATGCTATAGATTGTAACTGTAATTGATTGAGACATTCAAAACTCTTTTCATAACAGGACTGCAGGTTTGGAGCAGAACCATTTTGTGGACCAACAGTATGAATGACATCTGCAACAAATGTTCTTTTAATAGCCTATGCACAAAATATTTTATAATTAATAAAATGTACCTCTTATTTTTTATTATCATCACTCTAATTAAATATTACTAATATGTAATGTAAGAAATAACTTATGCTTACATTTAGCAGGTAGGTTGTATCCTCCAGTGATTCTAGCCTCTCCCGTAGGACATCCTCCAAGAGTATCACATTCTGCCTAATGATTGACAAATTATTTCAGTAAGTAATAAAAGACAAAAATTTTACATCATATAATTTAGCAACAGCTTTTTTAATATTACACCCAAGAAATATTACTTACTTGGAGTAATGGTCCTGCAGCACGATGAATAGCCCCATCAACACCACCTCCAGCTTTTAATCTCGAGTTAGCAGCATTTACTATTGCATCAATCTTGAATTTAAGGAATGTATTATTAAAACAACATATTTTTATTTTATTTATATTAGAATAAGTTTCAACTTACCTCCAACTTAGTAATGTCCCCTTTAAAAATAGATACTTTGTCTATTAATTCTTTATTTTTGTCAGCATCTATTTTTATTTTGCTGAATTCACTTAAATCCTCTTCAGTGTGTTTTTTGTCTTTTACTCCCTCATTCCTTACAAAGTATAAACTCCAAGGGTCAATTTTATCAACAATTAAGTAATCACCAGATTTATATAATTTTCTCTTTTCTTCTAATGATAAAGATAAATTTTTTGTCTTTTCAGCTTCCCATTTGGCTTGTTTAGACATTTTGAACACTGAATAAAAACAATTTTGTTGAAATTTGGTGGATAAAGAACGAGCAATTTTAAGAAAAGTTGTTGTAACCGGCTCCGGCAATAACATTTCCCTCACTATTTTATATATGTAGCAATATACTCTATGCTCACTATATTATTTTACAAGTTTGAACTTTGAAGTTTGAACTTCAAAGTTTGAAGTTAGTTACATTTCAATATTTGACATTGAATGTTGATTTTTCAACTAGGTAAAAAATATCCGAGAAAACTATGTCAAAAATATCCAACTTTAAAGTAAAGCAAAATTAAATTGGTCTTTTCTATTGAAATTTGAAAATAAAACAATTTTCACCGTATTACGTTTCGTTTGTACAATATGTAACTTATATTTCAATATTTCATAAATATTCAGTTATTGTTATATTTTTTTTGTTTAAATTGATTTTTGTTAAGTAATCGAAATAATAATTATTATGATTATAATACTTAAGCCAAACATATTTTATTAATGATTTTAATATTACATAATATATAATATGTATCATGTATAGAATATTCGCATGTATTTTATATATGTTTTTTGATAGCAACATTCTTACATTTTTTTGATATGAAAATTGTCAAACGAAATTCCTCCACGTAACGTAGGCGTGCGTTTAGTCCGTTTAAAAGCAATTATTTGTATTTAATTTATCATTTTGGAGCGATGCTTTTGTAGAAAAATACACATAACATCATTTCACAACTATTGGTTGTAAAGAAAATATTTAAAAGTGATCAGGTATGCAAGAGAACTTCTTGTAATTCTATCGCTTTGTGAGACCGGTCTTCGTGTTAATTTCACGTAATAGATGAATTTTACAAATAATATTATCTTTTGCAGGATGAAGGCCTTTGGTCTTCTTCTGTTTATCGTTATTAGCGGCTGTTTAGCCGTTGATAGAAATAATTTCAAGTCTTGTGATCAGTCGGGCTTTTGCAAAAGGCTTCGGCCGCTAAAACCTGAAAAATCTCAGTATTCACTGAATTTAGACAGTGTAATTGTTCACGGCAATGTTCTTTCGGCGGAAGTAATCACAGTAGATACAGAAGGTGAAAAGAAAAATGTATTGGTGAGATTATTCTCGTATCTTTATAAATAGACCTTTTTATGAATACCATATCATTTATTAGTACACATTGACGCTTCATTTTTTTTGTATAGTTATCAAATATAATATATAAAATATTTAGTTTACCTATATAATATGACTAATCTTTTTTATTGTGTGCTTCTTAATCAAACGATGAAGGATTAAAAACTATTAATTATATTATATAAACAAAGGAGGCTGATTGTGTCTTTTTTGTAAATTACTTAATGTTTTTAATTTTCAGTGTATGTTATAATGGTTATACTTCGTAGTTAATACTTTGTAACATATTTATTTTGGAACTCTGCCCATTTGGCCAAATATATCATCACACAATAAAGTTATTAATTGCTTATTATTTTTACATTGGTAGTATTGAATAATTTATTATACGTATGTCACCATCACAAATAACAGTAAGGGAGCCCAAGAGGGCATTTAAGGATTTATTTAAGCATGGCAGATTAACATAAGGGGGGTGGATACCTTGCACTCTATTGAATACCTCTTCCATATATAAGTCGTCTGTCTAAGGTCTCGTGTCTAGGGCAGCCTAAATATTCTTAATACTTTCTTAGATTTACACGAAAATTTGACTAAAACTATCTTTTCGGATTTTGTCGCTTTATTTGGATTTTTGTTTCCCGACGTTTCGAATGCTTTACAGCATTCATGGTTACGGGAGAGACTGAGGTGTTACATGTCTCGAAGGTATAGTTCATCTAAATATTCTTATTGGTATTTCCCCTTATGTTAATCTGCCGTGCTTGAGTACAACCCAAAATCCTTTCTGGGGTCCCCTACTAAAAGAAAGAAACAAGATTTATATGTTACACAATTGCAATATTGTATATTCTAAACCCGCAATTATCTTAACTTTCAGTTGCATGATGTTTTATTTTTGATGCCTTTTATATAACATAATTATTTTTATAATTAAAGACAGTTTACAATCTCTTGCAGTTTTGTTTATTTTAATATTAACATAAAATCATAATCTATTAATGATTCACTTTAAAATTAAATTCTATAGGTTGTATGTTTTTTTGGGCATTTTTGATTATATCATATTGTATTTAAGTATGTTAATTTTCATTCACCTTCAACAGTGGCATTATGCGTTGAAATTATCTGCTATCACTGATGGCACATTCCGTGTGGAAATAGATGAAGCAGATCCATTATACCCTCGGTATAGAACACAACTGGCTTTGGATGGAGAACCTAAAGGGGATGGGTAAGTAAACACCTTTATATTAAAAATTTATAATGAAGATCATACTATCATCATAGTCAAAACTCATTAACTATTTATAATCATTATTAGCGCTTTACCCTCGCTTTGCTCAGTTACCTCCCTAGGTATGTTTCATTTTTTGAGAGGAAAACTTATTCTTTTTCTAAAATTAAATCGTTATTATCGTATTAAAAGTAATTTAATATTTATATTATCATATTAAAAGTAATTGTGTGTCCACTTCTTACAGCAATTGATTTGACACTATATAGTCTGGACAAAAAAAATAGTTCATAAGTGAGGTTATTTCTGTTTCCATTATAAAAAGTTATCGAACATGTTATCTTAAACTGAAATAGAATATTAGCAGTATGCAGTATCAAAATTTAAATTAGCTTTGAATTGCATACTTATTAATTTGTTTGAAGGTCACATCCAAACTAACAAGGAAGTAAAATGTGTATATATGTGAATATTAACTTTGTATTCTACTTTTGTTAACGAATTGCTTTATAATTATTATGCATGTATATACAGATTGGATTTTTTTAGACGGGACAGTAAGGACAGGTACCTTATCTGCTATAGTTACAGGAAAACGTTTTTGTGCCAAACGTTCCTAGGAGACCATCTATAACTTTTTGAGATATTTTGAACTGCATTCACAGATGTAGTTTTTGGACGCAAAAACTCCATTTGGTCTCACATTAAGAAATAGGACCGTTTAGCAACAAAGAATATTTCGAGTTGATTAATCATTTTTCTGTACAAATCGTTTTTCCGTACAAAATGTATGGGAAAAGTCTTTGCCGATTTCTGTCATTTCTAGTACTCTTTTGATCCCTACATGAAATAGGATCGATTGACATATTTTTTTTTATTTTAGCATTTTTTTCGTTAACAGTAAATTTTTTCCAAAATCTGTGAATGTAATTCAGGATATCTCAAAAAGTTATGGATGGCCTCCTTGGAACGTTTTCTTGTAATTTATTTAGTATAGCAGTTAAGGTGGTCTGCCCTTACTGTCCCGTCTCAAAAATCCATCCTGTATATTTGTGCATTCTAGTAAAAATCTATACAGATAAATAAAATTGAAATGTCTGTTTGTAATGACAAAATAACAGCTTTTTACTAAATGTACAACCATAATACACAATTAGATATAGTACCTACTTATATGTAATAAATATTATTTTTTTAAATTTTGTCTGTCTGTTTGATCCGGCTAATCTCCGAAAGGGCCTATTTTGATAGGACTTTCACTGGCAGATAGCTGACGTTATAAGGAGTAACTTTGGCAAACTTATAGAAAAGGGATCAGGGTTCCGCTCAAAAAATATATGAAATTGTGACAAAAATCCGCGTACCTAATTAATAAAAAAAATAAAAAGTAACTAGGGATGCACCCGAGGGATGCGAAGATAAGACGCTAGTATGGAGTACTTATGTTTTTAAATTTTACAGTATTTTATCATATATCGTATATCGATTTACGATACGCTAGTAGACAGTAGACAACATGCAACAGTAGGCAACATTTTTAATTAGTTTTTAGATAATTAACAAAAAGTAATATAAGATTATGTTAAATGATCTAAAAACATTCGTTAAATATATATAAAAGGTTATGTATAAGATACAAGATAAAGGACTGCATTCACATTGCAACAATAATTTTAAATAGAATTTATTTTTCCTATTATTTATTTAATTTTAAAATTTAGCTAGGTTCTTCAAATAATAAGGTTTTACCGTACTACATTCCTTGGAAAGATAAGAACCTATGAAGGTATTCTATTATATAAAATTTCTAAGAAATCAAAATTACGTGTCTGAGTTAAGATTATTTTTTTTATTTAAATAATAACATACAATAATATTTTATATTCATAAATTATTTGTGTATGTATTTTATCTATATATATGTAACTGTCTTAGTTAAATCGTGTCAGCTGTCAATACACGATTGAACAAACGGATCATAAAATCTTTTGTTCTAATAACGATTGATGACACTCTTATTAAGAAATATACACGGTAAGGATTGATTGCGAATGCATTTACATTCTGTATATACAGAGATATCGAGCCCTTTTTAAGACTTTGATGGTTAACAACATTCTGAGTTATTGTCAGTTGCTGCATATATAGCTCTTTATATTGGCCTTCTAAATGGACACATTCTTGGTTCATTTCTATTGCTAATATTATAGAAAGCGAAGAACGATATTACTTACTCTTTTTTAAAGTTGCATAGGGCCTAAAAATTTAAAGATATTGAGTTTATATTAATAAATAACTAATCCGACATGCGTTTCTGCCCCAATTTCGATTTTTTTTATTTTTTTTTGAGATTATATAAATATTGTACAGAAAAAAGCTTTTCCCAATTTTCCAAAAAAAAAAAAAACCAATTCGATTTATTTTTCCTCACATCTCTTTTCTGTTCACAGATTAAAATTAGTATCAAACGAAAGCGGCAAAGTAACTCTAGTTAACACACAAGGCCATAAAGTGGTCATCACAGCGGAACCCCTCAAATTTGAGTTCTTGGATCTAAATGGCGATACGGCAGTTATTCTGAACGACAACGCCCAGCTGTTTGTGGAACCTTTGAGGGTACGGAGAGAGAAGATTGGTGATGATGATGAAGGCAATGTGGTGGAAGCCGTGAGTGTTGCTTTTGTATATGTCTCTTGTGGGGGGGGGGGCAGCGGGGGGGGGGGTTTATGGGTAAGTTTCATGGGAGGTAAGTTAATTGTCGGGGGTAAAAGTAAAAAAATACCGAATTGTTTGTGATGCCTTTGGAAGGTTTCAAAGTAGAATATCGGTTATAATGAGGGTAATGTGGAAGTTGGTGTTGCTTTTGTTTGCTTATTTTGAAGGGTAATGTTTTTTTTTTCGTGTAAACTAGCAAACATTCAATTGGTCAGACAATCAAAATCGGTCCAGCCGTTTTAGAGGAGAAGGATTATGAACATACGCTTACCGAAATTTCATGTATAATAATGTTATCATCAATAAAATAATTCTCAAAAAACGAATGATATCAAATAAAGTGCAAAAATATTAAGAGAATTTGTAAACTTTTCTCTTCTTTTGAGGGCATAAAGTGTGATAATGTGTTTTTTCTATAATGAATTTATGTTGTTTTGTTAAATTACGTGTTGTTTGTTCAATGGTTGACAATAGATTCTTAACGCCAAGTTTATATGTATATGAGTAATGTAATCAGATATTTACCGTAAATGACATAAATATGAGATCATATAATACTTATTTGTAAGTTCAGATGTTTTTAATTAAAAAAAATATGTCAAAATGATAACGTAAGAATCTAACAAATATATATTTTTTATTATTTATAGACTAAGTTTACTCTGAACTAAATACTTAATTTAATATTTTGTTTTTAAACTAAATTATTTATTTATATGTAAATTATCAGTAGTATATTATGGATAAAATAAAATATATATTTATCACTAATCTTATACAATTATGAACAGTACAGGTTTGAGGTTTCATATATCACATTTACATTTTTCTTTCTTTGGAATCGATTGACAATATTTCTACTTTTATTCCCTAAAAACCTTATTCAGACTATTACGAACAATTAAAAAAACATAATATATCCAAATCTGGCCAGTCGTTTTCAAGTGCTGTGCTTACCGAAATGCGCGAACAGTATTTCCTTTTTATTACTATTTTACATACTAGCGACACACCTTCGCTCCGCTCGAGTTCGTCCCTACTTCTACGTTTTTTTCACTTTTAGTATGGATTTCTCAATAACAGCCAGAAGTCGCGACACTTGTAAACTCTCAATAAGATTAGTGTTGCGTGCTGGTTCGGTAAGTTAAACACAACATAAAAAAGAATTTATTATATTTTTAGCAAATTGTAATTATATAGGTAACTTAAAACTCAGACAAATAAAAAAGTATAGACGGAGCCGTTGTAAACAAACGCGACGAAATAAGTGAGGCAAAGTTTTGGCTTTCTGTGCGTAACTCTGTGTAAGATAGCGTAGATTTGCGCATGTGTGCTAGAGAAAAATGTTGCAAGCGTTGTGCTTACGACTCCCAAGTGCGAGAGATATACTTTGGTGAAAAGTTTTATTATAGGTAGTATTGTTTTTTATTTGCCTTGGTTACATGAAATGAAAGGTAAATTAGTTTAATGAGTCATTTATTCTTATATAAAAATAATTAATAATTTAACAATAAGACCACACAAAACTTACATATATTAGAATAATTATAACTAATTTGATGCGTTTTTATTTTTAAGGCTTTTAACCTTCATACTAAGTTGTTGAGTTGTCTGAGTTTATTTCTTTTGGGAGTGTCAAATATTGATTCTAGTTCGGAATCACGTATTTTATAAATACTTACGTTTAATAATATATCTAATATCCTCGAAAACTAAAATACAATAATAAGATTTAAAAAAAAAAATAAGTTGTAACGTGAACAAAAATCACAACTTCCGTTACTTTTGGGAAAAAATAATGTTCTTAACTTGCAACATTGACACAATGGCGTCTAGAATTCGTGTTTGGAGAATTATGTTAAATATTTTTGCGATTTTGTTTAAATTATACAGAAAATCAGTTACTTGTGAAAATTTATCCTAGAAGACTTTTTTTGAAAACATGAATTGTTTTTGCAGCAGTTTACGACACAGGACGGCATAATTTCGTAATTATTATTTCACCAAAAATACGTCACGTGCTCTCACTCACTCGCGGCAGACTACCGGGCGGCCGTCTTTATATGGCTGAATCGTCTTCATATTACTTGCTTCACTTTCTGTGCGCAATGCTCTGTCTATACTTTTTTATTGGTCTGAGACTTAAAATAGGAAAAATTGATGGACACGTGAGCTAGCTACCGCTGTTTGACGTAGACTCAAAACTCATTCGAATAAATGAATATATTAACAACATGATATACATATAAATATCTATCTACCGCTAGGTACAACCCTATGTGTCTTATAAAATTAGCCCTCGTGACCTAAATTGGTCAGAAGGACATAATTATTAACGCCCTTTATGAGAAAGGGGTATATCAGAAAAGAGCGCTAAGAACTCAATAAAATCCCTCTAAAACTGCAGTTTACTTGCTTTTTAATTAATTTTATTGTTCTAAATTTGCCAAATTTTATACTATAAAGTATAATATAAGCTTTTAATCATTATTCAACAGTTCAAATGCTGACCTCGATATGTCAAAGGTTTAACGTATTCTTTGTGAATACACTCGTGTCTTTAATGTCGTCGATCTGTCATTAGTCTCTGTACGTGACAGATAACGTTTAATGTTTATCTCAAGTGTTCCTATTATAATGCATACGATGTACTACCGTTTTCACCTATATTTCGTATACATACTTTTATTACATTTTATGGCTTTTTCGCAAATCGCACATTTGTTTCCACAATGTAATAGAAATGAATTATAAATCTATATTCGTTCTATAATATTAGCAATTGCTTAGCTACCTAATATTAATATAACATATTGTAAACCTAAAAACAATAGTACCTTTTTCAAAAAATCCATATTTCTCGTGGCTGAAATTTTGATTAACTACGTTTTTAACCGACTTCCAAAAAGCAGGAGGTTATCAATTCGTTGGAATCTTTTTTTATGTATGTTCACCGATTACTCGAAGACGCCTGAACCGATTTGGACTTTTTTTGTTTCAAAGGGTATATATACTCCTCAGGTGGTCCCATATAAATTTTATCGAAATCGGTCGAGCGGTTTTTTAAATAATCATCAATAAATTATTTTTTAAATAAATTGTTTCTTTTTCCGATTTTGAAAATATCTGATTAGGTATCTATTCTAAATGAAAACCCCCGTTTAGTAATTTTTGACATTTTAGTGCCTGGAAGTTGGTTTTTTTTTTAAGTTTTTGTTAACCTATTTTAAAGACGTTACACAAAAGACTCAAAATATCGCTTTCGGGAAGAACAAAGAAACTTTGTACCTCAGTATAGATGTATATGTATATTGTGTTATCCATATACTAAGAACATCATCTTTAATGGCTAATCTTGTAGGCGGTATCACGGTGTTCGTTCATGAGAACAATTTAATCAGGGAAATCACAATGTTATAAACTTGAAATGGCAATTCTAATAATTTAAATCTGCCGCGCTTGAGTAACTACAAAAATCCCCTCTTGGGCTCCTCTACTATTAGTGGGGCAGCGGGTTCACAGGCACCGATTATCGATTTCCAACTATAATATCAAACATAACTGTCTATGAACCATCAAGATTAACCAACCTTACTAAACCATTTATCTCCAATGAATGTCATGATGGCGTGTCGAACTCGCTCGAGACGTAATCTGTGCTCTAAATTTAAAATCACTTTAAAAGCAATAAAAACTAAACTAAATAACATAGTGACTTTAAACAATAATTAGGTTTTATTGCAGAAAAAGGTAACTAAATCCTCCTCTGTCATATATTTTTTTGTTTTACGTTGATCCTTTTCCCGGTTGAATAGAAGAAATAGCTCAATCGAGATTGCACGCTTAGCAATAAGGTTACTATTCCATATCTGTTTGGATAAGCTTTTTTCTTTTTTTTCTAAATAGAAATAAATAGTGTATAATAAAGAATTTTTCATTTTTAACTTTTTTTTAATATTTAAAAATCAATTGCAACAGCGCAGAAATACCGAGCTACAATGTTGTTCCTTGCAGGATGAAAAATAAACTTGGTATTGTCAATTATATAGATTTAATTTCTAAAATCCCATAGAACAAGGTGAAACCGATATAATTTTTTTAATAACAAAATCAAATTTTGCCATCATGCAAATAATGAATCAGCCAGTGTAAAACTATAACTCTGCACTGACAGACGTCGCTTGAATTTCATTTCTAAATATCGATTGTATTGATCGATGATATTGTATCGTTATTTACACGCTTTTAATAGCTTCACTAGTAACAATGTAATCGTATCATGGAAATTGATTTTAACTCACTACTAACTGTAGTACGCAAACGTGTTTGAAACTTGAATGGAAATCGGGTTCATAATATAATTATTTCATACCATCGAGCTGATTGGATGATAGAGCCAGGAGGTTGATAATGAAACCCTTCATTGACTGCTAGTGAATCTTTGAGTTTGGGCCAATTTGATTTGTTTCGACGATTTTCATACATTAAAGTTGGTCAAAAGAGATATTTTTGTTTTTTTTTTAAATATAACTAGATATATTATTGTGTGTTTAATAGAATTCGAAACTTTATCACCTCCAGATAAATTTCTAAGAAATTAATTCAATTTTTAAGAAATCTATTGTTAACTGTAACGCCACGCCGCGCCGGCGCGCGTGTCCGCGGTCATTGAGGGATTAATTATAATTTATATATTATCTTTAGCGTTGCTAATAACATCTTCATCATGCCCTGCTCATTTCCCAAATTACTTGAGGTGATCGAAGTACGCCTTCCTCTTCCACTCTCCCCTCACTCTTCCCTATTACTGGTCAAATCATTACTCACCCCCCTTTCTCTACCATGTCCTGTCTTACATAATCTATCCAATGATTTTTAGATTTCTTGTCTGTCTGTGCGTTTGTGCGCGTTCATCTCAGAAACGGCTTAATCGTATTGATGCGGTTTTCACTTATGTATTGTGGTAAGCTTCACTTAATGTTTAGTATTTGTTTAGTAATAAACATATTTATGTACACTTCCCATAACAACGCAGAAACTAAAATATATATTAAATTATAAATAAACAGATAAAAATTAGTTATTTAGTTTACAATAATAATAAACCTAATTACATTAGTAATTAAATCTATATTTGTTTACAAATTAGCCGTTAAAGTGTTTAATGGTTTATGTAATTGTTTACGTGAGGTCGAATACGGTTTGTCGTTCGTTGTTATCAATAATGCGTAATAACTAGTTATATCCTGAGATGTTCTTGCCCTTTTACCTTTTAAGGTGATATTAAATAAATGGTTATGAAAATGTAAACGAAAAAGAACGTATCCTTTTTGTTGACAATGATGTTGAAATTTCCATATAGGTAATATTACCAAATAGTAATAATAGTTGCCAACCCGCACTTGACCAGCGTGGTAGACTATGGTCTGATCCCCCTCGTATTGAAGGGAGACCCGTGCCCAGCAGTGGGACGTTAAAAAGGGCTGAATACAACTAATTTATGTTTTGAGAAAACCGTCCCGTTTTTGTTTTATTAAATCCTCTTACCAAAGGTCTGGTAGAGATTGCTTTTATCAATAAGACCGCTGTGCATTAATATATTTTTGTTTGTATTTTTTTGTCCTCATATTAGGATGTGTAATAAAGATTAATGAAAAAAAAAAATGTTTCAGGAAGAGGAAGGTACATGGAGTGAAAACTTTAAATCTCATCACGACAGCAAACCAAGAGGAAATGAAGCTATATCCCTCGACATTGCCTTCCCTGACGCTGACCACGTGTATGGTATGGGATGCCTTTTTTATTTATAATATAAGGCCTAACTACTTGGGCGACCGGGCTTCATTGGGTGTTTTGTAATATCATGTCTTTTCAGAAAAGACACCTCATCATTTCAGAAAAGATGTATCATCTATACATAAAATGAAATTGTAACTAAGCTGAATCTGTACATTAGATATTTTTTGGAAAATCTTATTGAAATAAACATTAACGATACAGAAGCCGAATCTATAGTTTTTAGAATTTTTGTCTGTCTATTACCGCATCACAGAAAAAGCACTGGAGGGATATTGATGAAATTGGTATCGTGATAGCTGGTTATCCGGGTCGAAAATAGCTCATTTCTGAGAAAAAATACAAAAACTGCAATTAAGAGTATACTAATAGGTATGTAAAACCTAAGAATTTGGTTTTTGGTAATCTGAACGCAGGCGGAGCCGCGGGCTATGCATTATATTATATAAACATAAAAAGCAAAACCTTATCTTAATATAAAATTTGGTCCAAATCGTTGGAGCCGTTTCCGAGATACCCACACGAAACAAGTTCATATACACATATACATACAAGAGTTTCCTATTTAATATTATAAGATGTACGCCTTTTGGCAAATTTTATTACTTGCAATATCCTATGTATTACTCCAGGTTACAGTTTTCTGAGTAATAAAGTTCATCCAAATTCGTCCAGCTCTTTTAGCGTTAAGACGTAACAAACATACAAACTTTCACATTAATAATAGTGTAATTTAATAATAATAAAAATTATAAACAGGTATACCCGAACACACGGACAATTTCTACCTCAAGACAACTACGTCGGGTGAGCCCTACCGGCTGTACAACTTGGACGTGTTTGAATACGAATTGGACAGCCGCATGGCTATATACGGAGCTATACCTGTGTTGTATTCTCACAGGTATGACATTTTAGATGGATAAAGAATAATATTACATTATGACGACACGTTTGGTTCAGTTGGTAGTGACCCTACTTACTGTGCCAGCGGTCGCGGATTCGAGTCCCGCTGGGGGCATTCATTTGTGTGATGAGCACGAATGTTTGTACTCCAGTCATGGGTGTTTATATTTATAATATGTATGTATTTAAAGTTATATATGTGTAGTGTATCAACTATCTGGTATCCATAACACAGGCCTCGTAGCTTACCATGGAACTAGATGGTGTTGTGTGTGAACGTACCAACGTATTTATTTATTTATTTTTATGTCGCAGTGCAAAACGTAGCGCTGGTGTTTTCTGGCACAACTCCGCCGAGACGTGGGTGGACGTGATCAACTACGCGGACGGCACGGTCGTGTCGTCTCTCGTCAACCTGGTCACTGGTGGACAGAAGAGACGTGTTGATGCCAGGTATGTCGGTTGTTGGTTTAGTGGCTAGCATGTACGGTTGTAATTAGGAAGCCCAAAGGTCCCGGGTTCGAGTCCCAGATCAGGATTATCTATTGGGTTTTATTGTTAGAAAGTCTTTATAACAGGTAGGCATTAATTTACGGTCTTTAGATTTACTTTCTTACAGGTCGTGTCGAATTGTCGTCCTACCAAACGATAGCATTTTTTTTATTGAACTCAATGACAATAGGAAATATGCGTGTGATTTAAATAAAGGTGAAATATTTTTTTATAATTATATTATAATTGCTTTTGAATTGAGCCTACATCAATATTTTTAATATAATTTCTTTTTGATTAAGAAAACAATTAATTATTAATAAGTGCAGAAACAGGTGGGAAATTCAAAGTAGATAAAACGAACGCTATTGGTCAGACGAAAAATGACGTCAGAGTATATCATAGCAGAGAGATTGAACCGTCATTTCTCTGTATATTCCTCAGGGATCTATTCTGGGTCCTGTCTTTTTTAACGTTTTTATTAATAGTATTGCGTCTATATTTAAATATTCTAAAGTCTTTATGTACGCAGATGATCTTAAATTGATACACAAGATTAAAACGTACTCAGACGTCATGTGTCTGCAGAAAGATTTGGACGAACTATGTAATTGGTGCAATAACAATAATATGTATTTGAATGCGAAAAAGTGCTATCATATTCAGTTTACACGAAAAAAACATAAGTTAAAAAGCGAATATTATATATCTGGTGCTCCTATTTGTAAAGTTGACGTTATTCGTGATCTGGGTGTCTTTTTGGACTCCAAATTACAATTTGCTGCTCACATTGAGCATATAGCGAGTGCTGCGCTCAAATCATTGGGGTTTGTTCTTAGAAATGCAAGAGAGTTTAAAAAAATCTCAACTGTTATAACACTCTTTAATTGCTTTGTGAGAAGTAAGCTGGAGTATTGCTCTGTAGTCTGGTCACCTCATTACAGTGTTCATGTAAACAGAATTGAGAAAATACAAAAAAGATTCGTAAAATTTATGACATACCACTTTAAAATACCTCAGTCATATTGTAGTTATGAAAACAAATTGCAATCTTTGGGTCTACTCTCGTTACAGTCGCGACGTAAGGTACTGGATATGATGTTTTTACATAAAGTTTTAAATAATGCAATTGACTGCCCGCCGTTGCTCGCTTTAATCGACTTTAACATACCCGTAAGGATTCCAAGGAAACATGCCCCTCTCTTTCGTACTAAGAGGCATAGGACCATCTTAGGAAAAAATACGCCTCTAAATAGGTTAGCACGCACATACAATGATATATCGTTAAAAAAGGGAATTGACATCTTGCATGATAGCCCCGGTAGTTTTAAAAATAAAATTTTGAGTATACTTAATTGAATGGAATGTTATGAATTTTTCATACTCTTTCTTTATTCCTCAATTATATAAATCACATTCATCGTATCGCCCTATATGTAATATAATAAATTCACAATTTAATCTATAGTATATTTAATTTTTAATTAATTGTTCTATTTTATTTGTCACAAAAATTTATTAACTGTGTGTAATTGTATATATTTTTATTGTCCTATAAGATGTTAATGTTGTACTAATTTAATAGCATGCTGTAATTACCTCTAATTAAAAGTGCAATCATCATGTTTCTATAGTAACAAAATTATATGTAATTTATTATTGTAACTTTTGTTGGTAATTCTAAATAAATAAATAAAATAAATAAGTATATAATCATGACGTCAAGCCAAGCGCGCGAAATAGCAGGCGTTTAAAGTGTTTTTTTTTTATATTTGTCTTTGAAATTAATAAATTAAAGAAAATATGATTAACAGGTTTATGAGTGAAGCGGGTGTCATCGACGTGTTCGTGTTGATGGGCGACAAGCCGGGCGACGTGTTCCGCCAGTACACCGCCCTTACCGGCGTCGCGCCTTTGCCGCCGGTAAGTCATCATAAAATAATGAATCTAATATAAAAAATTCTCGTGTCCGTAGTGTTTGTAACAAAACTCCTCCGAAACGGCTTGACTTTAAAGTATATGTGACAAGGGTGGTCCGCCCTAGAGACGAACCCGAGTGGAGCGAGGGGGAGTCGCTAGTATATTTATAAAAAAAGACTCGTTCTCTAACGTATTTGCACGAAAATATATATGTTATACATTGAGATACAAAAACTTAAGATGAACCTATTTTTTTCAAGTATTATTTACTTAATTAGTGTCTCAAAAGTGTACTCAAAAAACGTGCCCAATTCGAAATAATGCGCTTTCTCTAAATCTTTTTTGGCCATTGCTTTTCCGATGATGAAATTAAAACGCACGTTGTTTGTTTAAAAAAGTACTTTATGTGGTGTGTTGATAAGTTCAAATTTGTGTTTAGACAATAAGCACTGTCGATTTTTTTTTAATTTTGTTCTTTGGTTTGAGTTATCGTGACATGTCGACGGCACCTTTTGAAAAGATATTTTTAGTGAATGTGTATCTATGTTTTAATTTTTATATATCAATGATAAAGTGCCTCCTTGTGATCACCTATACATATAACAAAATTGTAACTAAGCCGAATCTGTATCCGAATCTTAAATATATTTTTGGAAAATCTTATTGAAATAAACAATATTATCGATACAGAGGCCGAATCTATAGTTTTCAGATTTTTTGTCTGTCTGTCTGTCTGTTACCGCGTCACAGAAAAACCACTAAAGGGATTTTGATGGAATTTGGTATGGTGATAGCTGGTTATCCGGGTCAACATATAGGATACTTTTTACAAATCCCTCCAGTGGTTTTTCTGTGATGCGGTAACAGACAGACAGAGAAAAATTCTAAAAACTATAGATTCGGCCCCTGTATTAATAATAATATTTATTTCAATAAGATTTTTCAAAATATATTTAATTGTACAAATTCGACTTAGCTACTGGTAATTTTATTATATGTATAGATTAGATATAGTCTATCTATTACACACTTACCCGTTAATATAAATTTTATATAATAAATACATTTATGTAACCCAAGCCACCATCCGCAGAGATTCTCCCTCACCTACCACCAGTCGCGCTGGAACTACGTGGACGAGGCGGACGTGCGCGCCGTCGACGCCGGCTTCGACGCGCACGACATACCCGCCGACGTGCTGTGGCTGGACATCGAGTACACCAACCAGAAGAAGTTAGTGATGAAAGTTATTTCAAATTTACGCGTATGTGTTTGCGTTACGAATTTAATAATTCATATGCTATCGCGCCATTTAATTTTTCTTTGACATCGTTCTTTTAACAATATGGAGAACTTAAAATATCGCATTATTTACGAATACGAGTTCCACCGCTGCATAAACAGCTCGAATGATTAATGATGTGTATGGGGAAGCTATTATAAAAGAAAACATAGTACTTTTTGGTTCCTACGTCTCCTTTGTGGGTACAAACACATAAGCCTAAATTTAAAAACGAATTCTTTCTTTTTTTGTGCCAGAGACCTTCCTAGGCGTACACTGATCAACTCGCCAAAGTTTTATCAAAAGCTGATGAATGATTTAGGAACTTATAGAGGACAAACATGAAAAGACACATTTGTTTTTGTTTTTTTTTATTATAAGTATTTTTGTGTTTATAATATTTTGTACGTATAGCGTCATCTTTTGATCTTTAATTACCAATATTAGGTAGCCATGTATTATTCCAAAATTGGCTATCACCAATGGTTTTCTCTAACCTATCATCCATGTACCAACTAATATCTACCAAAATATTTTATGAAATATCATACATACTAATAAATATAAATAACATACAATACCATCTAGTTCCATGGTAAGCTACGAGGCTTGTGTTATGGATACCAGATAGTTGAAACACTACACAATATTTAAATACATACATAACATAAATATTAAATATAAACAACTATGACTGAGTACAAACATTCGTGCACATCACACAAATGAATGCCCCCATCAGGAGTCGAACCCGCGACCGCTGGCACAGCAAATAGGGTCACTACTATCTGTGCCAAACGTGTTGTCAAAAAATTGCAGATATTTCACATGGGACCCGGAGAAGTTTGCGCACCCGGCGGATATGGTGGCCAACCTCACGGCGAAGGGCCGCCGCCTCGTGGTCATCATCGACCCGCACATCAAACGGGAGGCCGGATACTTCCTGCACGAGGATGCCACAGAGCAAGGACTGTATGTGAAGGATAAGGATGGAAAAGACTATGAAGGTATGCCTCCGTTCAAAATAATTTTTTAGTTATGTATTATATTCAGTCCTTTTTTAACGCCCCGCTGCTGGGCACGGGCCTCCCTTCAATACGACGGGATCAGGCCATAGTCCACCACGCTGGCCAAGTGCGGGTTGGTGGACTTCACATGTCTTTTGAAAACTTCCTAGGTTCTCTCAGACATGCAGGTTTTCTCACGATGTTTTTCTTCACCGTTAAGACAAGTGGTAATCATGTTGGAAATGATTCTCACATGAAAATATCAGAGGTGCGAGACCCGGGATTTGAATCCGCTTCAATTGGTTTCCCAAGCGAGCGCATTACCACTGGGCTACCACTGCCTCCTTTTACATAAATTGTATATTATCTACCTACCACAAAAAATCCATACTTAATATTATAAATGTGAAAGTAACTGTCTGTCTGTTATCTTTTCACGCTTAATCAGCTGTACCGATTTAGATGAAATTAGGTATAGGAATGGACAGTTTTTATCCCTGAAATCATACATTAAGGAGGTGAAGTTTGTATGAGTAATAAATCATTTCTCAAGTAAGGGATACAATATATATAGTCTATATATTCCATACAAAGCGTCAAAACGTTTAGTACCTCTCGACCTGAAATCGTACATGCTAGCAATTAGACCTTCAGGTTTCATACACTATACTAAAATCATAATATTACCAGTACCAAATGAGGAGTAAAATTCGTACATTTAGAACTAAAATGAAAAAGCTATTTTTAAGGAAAATAACAAAAAAAGATAGAGTATATATAGGACTAGTCAAAATATTTTTTTAATTAAGTCTTCGGTTGGTTTGCGATTTTTTTATGTTAGTACCAAATTATTTGCTATAACTTGTAAAGTAAATGTTTTGTTTTCAATTCTCTTTCAAAAACAACATATTTTTTTGTTTCTGGATAAATGGGAAATACATATTTTTTCCTTTTCACTCTTTTTAACGACTTCCTTTTGGACAATTTTTGTATATTATAATTAAAAAAATATTTCGAATAGGTTGGTGTTGGCCGGGGTCGTCGTCGTACTTAGACTTCTTCAATCCTGCTGTCTCTAAATACTACTCTGAGAGATACAGCTTTGAAAACTTCCCGGGGACCAGCAAGGACGTTCACATATGGAACGATATGAATGAACCTAGTGTAAGTATTTTAAAATCGTATTAATTAATATTATAAATATGGAAGTTTGTGAGTATGTATGTTTGTTACTCTTTCACACGCCAGAACGACTGAACTGATCTGGATAAAATTTGGCACAAAAATAGATTATAGTCTGGAATAACATATATCCATACTAATGTTATAAATGAAAAGTGTCTTTGTTCGTTTTTTTGTCCTTCTTTTACGTCGGAATGACGGATTGGCGTGATTTTTTATGTAGAGACAGTTGGAAGGCTGGAGAGTGACATAGACTACATTTAACGCGGGAAATTATCTAATCCCCACGGGAAAACACATAATACAATCCAAAGAAATATTTATGATCAGAATTACTTGAAACTTCTTTTCTTTCTTCTTTTTCGTTCTTCAATAAAATTAAATAAATACGTGTTTTAGCATTTTTATAAATTCATCCTATAAGGGGGTAAAATAAATTTTTTTATGAAATTCAAACTACCTTTTTATTAGAGATTTTTTTATAGTATAGCGCTAGCGAAGGCGCGGGTTCTGCTAGTATATAATAAAGAAATAACATAAACGGAGCCTGCCAAAAAATTCAATCGTGGTCTACGGGAAAAACTAACTGTGACCATGATCGATGTGAAGTATTCGAAACGTTGGGAACCAAAAATTCGCGTAAAAATCAAAAAAAGATTATTTAAAAATTTATAAGATACTATAAAGTAAATGACATGAATTTAGTGGTTCTTTATTTATTTTTTTAATATTTTTGTTCAGGTATTCAACGGTCCAGAGATAACGATGCCCAAAGACTGCCGCCACTACAAGCCGCCTCAGGACGGACAGGACGGGCTCGCCTCATACTGGGAACACAGGTATGTTATACTAGCTTATTACTTACATACGGTTAGTATGAAATACAAATCTTCGAATTTCTCGTCTTTTCTGTACTATAATATTGCATGTATGATACATATAAACCTTCCTCTTTAATCACTCTATCAAAAAAACCGCATCAAAATCCGTTGCGTAGTTTTAAAGATGAAAGAATAATGACAGACAGACAGCGTGAAAGCGACTTTGTTTTATACTGAAGTGTGATTCAAGGGGAAGGTTATGGATGTATAATGCATATTATAGTACCAAAACACCGAGAAACTCAAACATTTGTATTTCATACTAACTGTTAAAACGTACCTAGCTAGTTACGCTTCTTATATTTATATTATGATAGAAATATTATATATTACCTTCAACAGACACGTGCACAACGAGTACGGGCTATGGCACATCAGGGGCACCCATCAGGGAATTCTATCCAGAGCAGAGGGACGCTACCGGCCATTCATACTTACACGATCGGCCTTCTCGGGGACGCAACGGTTTGTTATGTTTCATTTGTCTAAATATAAAATTAAATTCTAATTGAGTCGAATCTGTATATAAAATATTTTTTGGAAAATCTTATTTAAATAGTCATTATTATCTATACGGAAGCCAAAATATCTATAGTTTATCAGAATTTTTGTCTGTCAGTCGGGGAACGCATCACGAGAAAACCACAGGACAAATTTTAATGAAATTTGGTATGATTATAGTTGATTATCCGGGACAACTTATAGGATACTTTTTACTGCGGGTAAATATCTCATCTCTGAGATCTACATAGTTATATACAAGTATTTATTATTATATTTCAGTTTCGCAGCAGTATGGACAGGTGACAATGCGGCAGAGTGGGGCTACCTGCAGGCGTCCGTGCCCATGTGCATATCTATGGCCGTTTCTGGCATTAGTTTCTGTGGATCAGATGTAGGTGGTTTCTTCAAGTATCCTGAAGCCGAGTTGATGACTAGGTGGTATCAGGTTAGTTGTTATTGGTGATAAATATGTTGGGACATTAACACACAGCATTATCTAGTTCCATGGCAAGCTACGAAGCTTGTGTAATGGATACCAGATAGTTGATACACTACACACATACATACATATATTAACTTTAAATACATACTTATTATAAATATAAACACTCATGACTGAAGTAATCATTCGTGCTCATTACACAAATGAGTGCCGCCAGCGGGACTCGAACCCGCGATCGCTGGTACAGCAAGCAGGGTCACTACAATTGAGCCAAACGTGTCGTCAAAATATAATACTAATGTATAAACTATCTACTCCATACTAACCGTTAATAAACGTTGTCCAAAGGCAGGTGCATACCAGGCGTTCTTCCGCGCGCACTCGCACATAGAGACCAAGCGGCGCGAGCCCTGGCTCTACGACGCGGCGACCACCTCGCGCATACGCGACGCCGTGCGCCGCAGATACGCGCTGCTAGACTTCTGGTAACCTAGTGCTTTGTTTGTCTATTTTATAGTTAGGAGGTGGTCGTGCTCTTTAAAGCTATGTCCACACCAGTGCGCTTTCATGTTCATCTTGCGTTTTGACGCATGCATAAAGCACTTATAGCGCATGCAATAACGCATGCGCTACAACTAGTTAAACAACAGCGCATGCCCGTTGCGCACGCTGATCCGTCACTGGTGGGTTCACATTCAACATTCCGAGTGTTTTACATGACAATATGTCGTATTAAGTATAAATTCGCTGGTGGCCTAGTTGTTTGTTTGTCCATTGCATATTTACTCCAGTCCAGTTAATATCTAGATTTACGCGAACATTTGACATTTAAAATGAAACTATCTTTTCGGTATTTGAAATGTCGGGAAGCAAAAATCAAAATAAATCCGAGAAAAAGTCCGAAAAGATAGTTTTATTTTAAAGATGGACATGTTCTTCTAGACTTAGCTGGTAGGTAACTTACTTTATACTTGAAAAGTTCAACAGTTCTATTGTTTTACATAACGGAACTGTAATGTAAAACAACTAGGGGTTTTGTAAAACAGCAGATTTGATAATCCATCGTGATACATGACAGACTAAAATAATATTTATTTCATACTAACCCGCGGCTTCGCTCGACCTAAAACTACAGTAAAAAAATCTGTAAAAATGTAGTTTCATACAAACTTTCATCGCCTATTTTACTTCCTTATGGGTGAGTTTCAAAAAATGCTAAAACACGTGTTTATTTAATTTTATTAAAGAGCATTAATACCAAGTTTCAAATAATTCTGATCATAAATATTTTTTTGGATTGTTGGATTGTATTATAACGTGTTTTGCCGTGGGAATTAAATTATCTCCCGCGGTCAAAAGTAGTCTATGTCATTTTCCAGCCCTCCATCTCCACACAAAAAATCAAGCCAATAATAATAATATAATATGTTGGGACAGTAACACACAGCACCATCTAGTTCCATGGTAAGCTACGAGGCCTGGGTTATGGATACCAGATAGTTGATACACAAGACATATATAACTTAAAGTTATACATACATATGTCTTGTGTTATACATACATATTATAAATATCCAATCCGTCGTTCCGCTTCGACGTGAAAAAAGGACAAACAAACATAGTTTCACATTATAATATTAGTATGAATATCCGCCAGGTACACTCTGTTCTATGAGCACTCCATCGACGGTCTGCCCGTCACCAGGCCGCTGTTCCAAGAGTTCCCCAAAGAAGAGGAGACTTACACTATCGATAATTCATATTTGCTCGGTAACTATTTTAAATTATTACTCAAATATATTTTTTGCCTTTAAATGTAATTATTGTTAGTATGAATTATGCTTTTTTTAATGGTCAAATGTATTTTATTTGTAATATTTATTGCATTTTATTAGTAATAAAGAAAATATTAACTAAACATTTAGTAAATAAAGGTAGACTTTTTCTAAAACGGACCTCTTCCTGTCAAACCCATGGATGATGAATGTAGTGCACGAAATATATTATATGTATATAGTAAAGGCATTGGCAAAGGAGAAAAACACAATCCTGTACACATTATAAATGCGCAATTTTGTATGGATGGGTGTTTGTTACTCAATCACGCCAGAATGGCTGAACAGATCTGGATGAAATTTGACACAGAGATAAATTATATTATAGTCTGAAACAGCACAGAGGTTACGTTTTGTACTGGAGAAATGTACGGTTCTTGTCTTCGCTAGTATAAAATAACCATAAATAACAATCTATTTATTTGTTTTTTTTTTGAAAATAGCAGTTGCAACTTATTATTATTTTGTACAGGTGACAAGCTCTTAGTCCGGCCCGTGCTAGAAGCGGGGGCGTCGAGTGTGAAAGTGTACTTGCCGGGAAGAGACACTAACACTATCTGGTACGACGTGGACTCCTACCAAGCGTACAGAGCCAGTGGGTATATGAATGTTGAAGTTAATATTGCTAAGGTATGTAATATTATTATTTTAATTTACACTAGCAACTCACCCTCACTTCGCTTGGGTTCGTCCCTAGCTAGCTTTCCCATACAAAATTTCATCCCCATTTTCACCCCCTTAAAGGATATTTCCCGGATAAAAAGTATCCTATGTCCTTCCCAGGGTCTCAAACTATCTTCTTACCAAATTTCATCTAAATCGATTCAGTAGATCCAGAGATTACCCCCTACGACGTCACAAACTTACAAACTTTACTTCTTTATAATATTAGTATAGATTAATTAATTAAAAAACAGTTATTCCGTGTTGCGAGATACACAGCAGGAACGAAGGTCCTTTCGTTGTCTGCCCTTTGCTCGATACCATAAACGACAAGCAATCTAGAGCCCCGTAATAAGAATGTGTACAACAACTGCGATAAGGAACTTTGTTTCAATAAAAATTGAAGACGAAATGGTCTTTGAACAATTTGTAAATTATAACCGACGTATGTTACTATAGGGTTCCTTATATCGTCCTTAAGAAGGTTAAAGAAATATATACAAGTGTCAACGCTAGATTTCCCTAACATGGACCCTGTTGCCTTTAACATAAGGCGCTTTATCATTTACTAGCGGACCCGACAGCCGTTGTCCTGTCTACACGTCTTTAATTTGAAAATTTCAAACTTTTTTTAATAATTTTTTTGATGAAAATTATTATTCAAATTGTGAATCTAAACCATTTCCAGATCCCCTTGAACACACACAAAAAAATTCATCAAAATCGGTCCAGTCGTTTGAGAGAAGTTCAGTGACATACACACTCACAGAAAAATTATATATATAAAGATTAAACCGGGGCTCGATCAAATTGTTGTTATATTTTGTCGTTTTCTTCCAGATACCTGTATACCAACGCGGCGGCTCGATAGTGCCTCGCAAAGAACGCGTGCGGAGATCTTCCGCGTTGATGCTTAATGACCCTTACACGCTGGTGGTTGCTTTGGACTCCAATGTGAGTGAACATGTGAATGTAGACTATTAAGTATTATTATAAAAGTGAACGTTTGTATGTCACATACACATAGTGATTAAGAAACACCCTGACTGAATGACTCAACTGATTTGCCACAATTTTTTTAACAGCTTCGTTATATTTTAATTAAAACTGTCTTATTGGGTTTTTCGGGGACTTATTTTGATTTTTGTGTGATCATCCTATGACTGAAAATGTTTCGTATATATGTTCCGTTTATCGCAACTGCCGCTCTAACAAATATTTTTTCAACAATAGCTTTAGGACGTTACTTGCCAGTGAACAATAGCACTTGTTGCAGTTGCAACAAGTAATCTAATGCTATAACTAAATTCTTTTCAGAACACTGCTCACGGCAGCCTCTATATGGACGACGGTGAGACCTACGAATACAAATCAAACAAATATATATACGCCAAGCTGACGTACGAGCCCGCCGCCATTAAATACACGTGAGTATTTATGATTTTATTTATGTATCATATGGTCATTTTCTGTAATTTCTTTTTTTTACACAAACTTTAGTGTTTGTATACTCTATGAATCAATGAAAACTAACGTGTTATTTCTATCAAAAATTACTTCTTTTTAAGTTACTTTTGGGACATCTATTATTTATTATTTAGGTATATTATAAGAGCTATTACTTTAAAAATGTAAATAATGTTTATATTAATATAGGTAAAGGTGTATATACTTTGTTTATTCAAGAATTATAAAGACCTATTAAGGTCTAATAATTGTTTACTTCAATAAGACAAAGGCATTATTAGCCTTTATCTTATTGAAGTGAACAATTATTGCTAAACTAGTAGGCCCTAGGAAAATTACAATTTAAATTAAATAATTCAGCCCTTTTTTACATCCCACTGCTGGGGGTGGGCCTCCCTTCAATACGAGGGGGATCAGGCCATAGTCCACCACGCTGGCCAAGTGCGGGTTGGCGGACTGCACAATTCACATGTCCTTCAAAAACTTACTAGGTTCTGTGGTGAAGTTTCCCTTTACTATAAGCAAAGTTGTATAATTTCGAAAAATGTGTGGCACAATAAAATATTGGGGGTGTGAGCTCCGAATTCGAACTCGTTACACTTGCATTTTCAAGCCAGCATATTACCAATAAGCTACAACTATTTATAATATATAACTGCTATATTTATGGGCCACATATATATGGGCTAATATTATATGGGCCAATTTGCAATTCCTTTATTAATATCCAAACGCGTATGTTATAGTTTCGTCAACGAGAACTCATCATATCCAACACGTTCATGGGTCGAAAGGATAGTCATAGCTGGTATCAAAACACCCCCCAAATCTGCCAAATTGAGTCAAGGGGGTAAAAGCACCCCCCTACAGATGACACTACATCGTGGAAATGACGTCCTCGTAGTAAGGAAGCCGGCCGCCATGATGGCGACTCCATGGGAAATACAGTTCACGTATTAGTAGCGTACAAGTGGATGTTTTGAAATAAACATGTGGAACTTTGTCGTGTTTTTGTTATCAGTTAGACATGTTGTAGCCATTTTACATATTACATTACTTTTACATGATTTTTTAAAATGATGAACATTTTGTATCTCATTTATATATATAAATTGTTAAAGTCAAAACATCCACTTACTCTTAGACTAAGAAGTATCAAGTTATTTATAGAGTTCACTTTATGATGTTTAAGTGAAGTATTTCATAGACACATAAAGCTAGTTAAATGAATAAATAAATATCAATACAAATTACACACTGTCTCTACATATTGATCATATTTCTAAATTTAGTTTTGAAAAAAATAATAAAAAATACTCTTTACATGAATGGGTGCGTGTAACCTTTACGCGCTGTTGAAGTAAAACTTCTTTGTCGCTGTGGCATAAGTTAAAACAAATCATAATATTTTTCATAAAATTATTGGTATTACTAGCAACTCACCCTGGCTTCGCACGGGTTCGTCCCTAGGTTGCTTCCCCATAGAAACTTTCATTCCCTTAAGGGATGATTTTCGGGATAAAAACTGTCATATGTCCTTTCCAGAGTTCCAAACTATCTTCTTACCAAATTTGATCTACATCGGTTCAATAGTTTAGGAGCCTATTCAGTACAAAAACAACAAGCAAACAAAAAATGAAATCTTTCCTCTTTATAATATTAGTACAGATAAATATTGATTTTTATACGTAATAATTATTATAAAAATATAAACATAATATTTTTTTCTAATTATTAATTACAAATTTGACTCTTACTTCCGCGACAATCATATTCCCAATGTATCGACTTGCCCCTCAGTCACGCCTAAAGACGTTTTACTTCAAAAATATTTTCATCTAATATCATTGTATCATATGTTACTTATAATAAGGCTTATGGCTATATTTTATTAGTCATAATAATGTTTAACATATAGCCTCAATATGTAGAAAACAGTATAAATTTACAATATGTCGACAATTTCAAAATATATCGATTGATAAGTGATATATTTATAATTGCAAATATTTACAGTCACAACTCTTTGGAGGTTTATGGTAAGTACATTGTATAAGAAAGTATTTTTACTCGGGGGTCATTATTTATTACCAGTGCAGTGTTTGAAATTTGAACTCGCTCTCATTTGTATATTTGGGTTTAGAACATAGACTTAGAGAATGGACTGAGCAATACTCTCATGAAATTGACCACTCTCTAGAAAGAGAGGAAGCAAACGTGTCGCCAATACCTGACTTTTATTCCAATTTGAATTTATAAATGGTATGTTAAAAAATTATAATATTATAATGGAATGTAAAAGTTATAAATATCTATCTTCATTAATCATATTTCATTTAACCTTTCAAAGCACGCGGAGCCACAGGTGAGCCAGTTAACAATTAATTTCTTGTGTTAATACAGAAGACTACTGGCCGCACATTCGTGTTGTCTCTGTCGCGCCTTTCCTTTATTTATAGCTGACAGCTGACAAAGGAAGACTCAGTCCATTATGTCTAAGGTGTTGAAGGACAAAATTTCTATTTGAAATACGTTTATAAATACAATTTTGTATTACATCAATATCTAAATTTATTAAATATTTGTTTATAATCCTAATTATGTGAACAATCGATCAACTTTAACTGTGCTTTATTTACTATGATACTGAAATATCTAATCTGTGCTTGTGTTCAATTTGAAATCATACTGAAATAACTTTATAGTTATACAAAATGTTTATTAGAAATAAGCGTTTCGAATATTTTAATAATCGATTTTAAAGACTTTATATCTTAATCGATTAATTTAAATATCGATTTATTTATAAGTGTAAGTTGAACACGTTAAGATCTAAGACAATTGACTTCTTTTTAGGTAATTTTGTGTCATAGTATTTACAGTGCATGTTTTAATTGCAAACAAGTATTTTACTTTTCAAAATGTTTAACGTTTATTACGTCTTGTGATAAATAAAATACAATTTTAATACATATGCCGTTTTATTTACCCTATATTTATTATAAAGCAACACCGCTGTAAATATAACTTATTTATTCAGGCACTGTTCAACAAATTAACCCAGCATTAGCAGGTTAACAGACTAGTTTAAAACACAATCACGAACATTAGTGCATTCATTGCAGAAGAAATTCAGGAAATGATTGTTTTTTTTTTTAAATAATTGTTCAATGTATAAACGTTTTATTATCTATTCTAATATTAGGAAGAGGAAAAATTTGTTTTTTGTTTGTATCGAATAGGCTCCGAAACTACTAAACCGATTTAAGATAGCTTTTATCCCGGAAATCATCCCTTAAGGGGCGAAAATTTCTATGGGGAAGCTACTTAGGGAAGAATCCGAGCGAAGCGTGGGTGAGTTGCTAGTAAATCCATATGATTAAAAATCTTGAACAAAGGAAAATTTATAATGTATGAACAAAAAATGTTTGTTATAATCTACCTTTACAATAGATTGAAAATGACATTAGACAGTGCGAATTTCACACAAAAAAAACTATGACTCGAATTACTTCTGCGATATGTACAATATCACTTATATGTAAATTATTCCTAAAACAAAAAAAAACCGTTACACTCCAATTGTTTATATAAAAATAATATTTAGCCAATAACTTTATAAAAGTAAATATCTTATTATATAAGATAGGCTTAATCTATAAAAAAATCTAAAGATCAAGAATGCACACTGCCCAAAACTCCAATCGGATTTTTATCAAAATAAATGTTTCAAAAATAAAATATATTATCTTTTTATAATTTGAAATGAGCATCGATCAAAAAAGTACTAGATGTACAATCAGCGACATAAAATATCCTCACCTAATAAGCGCTCATTTGAACATTTGGGCGTGCTTTTAATATATATTTTTTTCATGAAAACAACAAGGTTCAATTTACGTTGTTGTATATTTACTTCAACTAGAATAATTGCCTAAACACAATTTGTGAAAGTTTTAATTTTTGGATGGGATTGTGTATCTAGTACTTTTTACATTGATGGAAATGAGATAATTAAGCTTTGATTAATAAAAATCTGATAAAGAAAACAATGGAGTATAACTATTTAATCTATAAAATAAACTACAACAAAACAATAGGCAAGATTTACTTAAAGAATATTCTAGTAGGTGTGTCTTCATTGGGGAATTCAATGAAAGGGTGTGTCTGTTTGTGTTTCAACATGTACTCTTCACTCGGGAACTTATCACCGCATACATCACAAGTTGATTCCCTCTCATCACCTGATGAAGAACTACTATGTTTTCTTTTTTTCTCTTTTTCATCACTTTTTTTATCACTTTTTTTAGATGTCGACTGCTCTTCAATTAATGGCTTCCCAGTTAGTAAAAACTCTTTCATATTCAAATGTTTCAAAGACATTTTATGTTGCTTCAATCTGTTCTCAGAACTGCACTGATATTCACATATGAAACAAACATATTTCATATCTCCTGTGTGTAGTTCTGCGTGAGCTTTTCTCTTTTCTGGGGTTGCGAATCTAAAGTCACAGAATTTGCAAGGGTACTTTCGGTCCAGTGAATGTAGACGCATATGTGAGGTTAACGCGTTCATATCCTTACATATCTTCCTGCACTCGACACACATCACACCCTTTTCTACCGACTCAGTTTCTTCTGTACTGCCAGTGCTGTGATGTATCCGTTTGTGGGACGTCAATCCTTTTTGACTTACAAAAACTCGTCTACAATCAGTACATTGGAACTGTTCTTTTGCTTTCAAATCTGGACTATGATTTTCGACTTGGTGTTTCGCAAACTTATCCGCTTCGTGAAATTGTAGATTGCACTCCTCACATTTCCAAGCCTGAACCAATTTTGAGAACGCTTCGAGCACATCCAAAACAGATTGACCTTCGACTTCGGGGTGGTACGTCTTTGTATGATTGCCAAAATCAATGATTTTTACGAATTTTCCATTGCAATGCGGACAAATATAGGGCTCTTTATGGTCGTCCATTACGTGAGATTTTAATTCTGATAGGTCTGAAAAGCTTTTCGAGCACATAAAACATTTTAACTCCTGCTTCCCTTTTACTACTTCTGATATAACTTTGTACTCCATAAGCTGCACTTTCTGATGTATTTGGAGATGCTTGAATAGTTCCTTCCTTGTACTGTAATCTGTAGGACAAAATTTACAGGGAAACCGCTTTCTATGGAGTCGTTTTCTGTGTAGTGTTAACTCATTTATGTCTTTGAACTGCTTGGAACAAGAAATGCAAGAAAAACAAAAATCTGCGTCTTTACATTCATCGTGTGACCTTAGACAACTCAACATTCTTATTTTCCGCTTATAAACTTCGCCGCAAGTGCATTCGTAGCCTTCTTTTTTCACTTCTTCCTTAACACGAGTTCGATTTTCCAATCTCTCAAGTCGAGAGTTCTTTTTGAAAGTATCACCTATATTTTTTACCTCTTCTTTGATATCTTTGCATATTTTTTTCTTCATATTTGCCATACGCGTTTTCAAGCCTTTGATTAGACCCATGGCACGATTTTCTATTGAAGTATGCACTCTCATATGACCTTTTAAATAGCTGGATTTCTTGAAAGACTTGTCGCATTTATGGCAATTGTATCTTTTTTCTGTGCAGTGATCTGCTTTAAGAAGACCATATGCTTCTTGCTCTAAAGATAGTACATTTCCAGTTATTGAATTGAGTTGGAAAGACTCATCATACTCTGAAGCTTTGTCATATTCAGAGTTGAATGTTGGCAATATTTCTTCAGGGTTTCCCATCCTGCCTAATGTCACTCCGCCCATTGGGTGAATTTCCATGACTAAAGTTTTAGTTGTTTGTGACTGCACAAGTCCATCTTGAGGGTTTGTTATAGTTGATGTGGTATTGATTACTTTGTTTGATATTAAATGTGTTTCAGTGACTGTTATGTCCATTTCTTCTTTGATTATTTTATCGATGTCCTCTTTGGACTGCTCCTAAAACAATTTAAAGAAAATGTTACATTTCACTTGCCTGTAGAGTTTCAAATCCTCCAAAGTTTAAAATAACTTACAGTGTGTATATATGAAAATATTATATATCTTTGAATTTAATATCATATTACAGCCCATACTTGTATATAAACTTGAAATTTCCGTCTGTTTATTAGTGTAACCATACCAACATAGAGCACATATGCTTATATACATGATTCAAAGGCCAAAAAACCATTAAAAAATCAAATAAGAGAGTAAATCTGTTTACTAAAGTCTAGAATTACTTTTTACTAGTAGGATAGTGATGAGATTAATAAAGGCTATTTTTTTGCCATAACTAAGCAATGAATGTGCTTAATTACTTCTTTGTCTTTTTTGTATTCAACCCTTTTTTTTTTAACATCCCACTGCTGGACACGGGCCTCCCTCAGTACGAGGGGAATCAGGCCATAGTCCACCACGCTGGTCAAGTGCGGGTTGGCGGGCTTCACACGTCTTTTGAAAACTTGCTAGGTTCTCTCAGACATGCAGATTTCCTCACTATGTTTTCCTTCACCGTTAAGACAAGTGGTAATCATGTAGGAAATGATTCGCACATGAAAATATCAGAGGTGCGAGACCCGGGATTTGAACTCGCTTCACTCGGTTTCCCAAGCGAGCGCTTTACTACTGGGCTACCACTGCCTTTGTCATTTTTATAAATTGTAAAATTCATAATTATTTCTGATGATGATGCTGACTTTAGGTCAATGAATTGCTAAATCTGAGTAAGTACTAGCACACAGATTGTCACAGGACATTAAAACAAATTTGATACAATAAAAAAATATGGTTTCTAATCCTGTGGTTTATGTGTATCATAGATTTAAAGAGATGTTTTACAATAATAAAATTACAATAGTGAAGGATATAGACATAAAATGTTGTATTTAATTATATAAGAAGTCATTATGAAATTAAAAAAATATCAATAATTAACATCTTTTACAATAATCACTAAAGTATATACACTATAAACAATTTTTCAGTTGAATTACTTACCCAAGTAATTGTGTTGTTCAATAAGTGGAAAGAATTGTGATATATAACATTAGCAAAACATAGTAAATTAGTTTTCAAATATTCTGTTTCTGGTACCTAGCAATGGATGTGCATAGTATTTTTTTTCAGATAATGGTAATAGCAATAACTATTGGTTAAGTAACGATACCTAGATAAAACATTTTCAAGCATAACAAACATTACATTAAATGTAATCAAAAAGTTACTGGAAACCGACTCATAACTATGTAACAGTTTTTAAAACAGCTATGACTTTAGAAACACATGCACATATTACCTCATAGATTTCATGTTTTATATTAATCTCATCTTGTAAACAAGCTTCAACATTATTGAGAGCAGTGGCCTCCTCACTGTCCATACTTCCATCATCAATACTTGGATATTCATATGGCATTTCCATTTTTACACTATCATCTAAATTTGTATCATTAATTTCTGTTACTATAAAATTTTCAGCCTCATCAACAGGTATACACATATTTTCTTTATCATCTTCACAGTTTGGTGTTATAAATTCCTCCTTAACTTCTACTTGAACATTTTCAAATGGATTATCATCACTAATAATATCTTCTTTCTCTGGTTTAATATCTAATATTAACTCATTAGTTTCCTCCTCTTTAATTTGCATATTGTCAATTAAACTCATTGAATCACTTGTCTGGTATTCAGAGCTTTGTGATGACATTTTGAATGATTTAAGTGACAATCTCAGTTTCTAGAATATTATGTGTGTATAAATCTGCAAAAAATATTAATTCACTGTAAGCACATTGGGAATTTATTTCATTTATTTATTATTTTAAGCATACCTTAATTAAGCAATTACATATACCACCATAATTGCCCACTGCGTTAATGTAACTTTTATTCAATGATAACCATGTCGTTTAGTTCACTGAGTACCCTTAATGCATTGAATTATGAGAAGAAATAATACTTATTGTTTTAACAATAGCTAGCCCGATGTTAATTAATGCTGTTAGACCGAGTTATTTTATAAACCTTAGTTACAACGATCAATCATTATGCTAATAAGCATTCTGTATGATACGTAAGTATATCCCAATGTGATTTTCTCTTCTTCGATTTTCATTTATACAAGAAAAATAAATAGAATAAAAACGTAAACATTAATTCACAAAGTTATGTTATTTTTGACGGCTACTTTTTAATTTAATTTTCATTTTTTAAATTAGTTTTAACATAGATAATATATTAAAATAGTCAAAGAGCTTACTTAGTCTTGAGTCTTGACGGAGATCATTTTTGTTTCGTTTAGCAAAATACAAAATTAAGTTGTAGGTTTGATAAATTATTCTATGATTTAAAAAATAGTTTTTCGAGTTTTGAACAGTTCCTACTTCCTTGATTCAGAAGAAAAGAATTATCGTTGTATTATCGATAAATTTATCGAAAATGTCTTTGTGAAATTAATTGAAAATTATTTAATTTAATATCACTTACTTAATTTTACACAGTTAGATTTTTTTGTTATTAGTAAAATATACTTATTGCATTAAAAACAATATACCATTATTATTGAACTCTGAACTAGTGACACGATCAAAATGTAAAAAAACAAAATATGGCGTCGACTTTTGAATGAACCTCAACTTTACTGCTTAAGTCCAAGAACGCATCGGTAATTTATCTTTCATTCACTTCAGTGGTAGATTCTTAAATTTGACTTGATATTTTTGAAATATTCATTTAAAATTTAGGACTAAAATGGTTAATGCTGTGGTATTTACTGAAAGATTAATTTACAGGACACTTAAAAGAAAATGGCGAAGACTTTCGACTTACAAAATCTCGTAAAACATATTACAAATGGTACATTTGAACAAAAATTTTGTAGGATATGTCTCCTTCCAATAAAAGATTTATACGAAGATATATTTACCACTGTCTGTAAAGAAAATAGTCAATTTTGTGTAGCAGATGTCTTGGAACAGCTATGCAATATACAGGTATTTAAAAAAGTTATAAAAACAATAAAATAATATTTAAAATATACTATTATTGTAGTAATGAATTATTGTCATTTACTTTATAAATTTTATATGTATTTTACAGATTTGTGAAACTGATAACTACAGAGTGTGCTCTAAATGTTTTATTGCTGCTTCGGAAGCTTATAAATTCTATTTATTAGCTATAAGAAGTGAAAAAATTCTCAATAATTGCATAAATGAACTCCAAAATCAAGTAGATGTTTTATATTTACCACAAAAATTATCAGCAGAAAATCTTTGTATAACTTTGCCTGAACTGTCACCATCTTATGACGATGAATTGGATCTAAATAAATTTCCTTTTCAAAGCATTGGGACTAGTAGCATACAAGTAAATAAAAATAAAATGGTTGAAATTGATGTTCCTAAAATAAAAGTGGAGAATGAAGAGGATAATTTTGAGGAAAATGTTATTATTATAATGGGTGACAATGGAGAACCTACATTTTATAAACCACATAAAGATGGAACTTTATTTTTTGGGAAACCGCTTTTATTTATTGGGAAACCGCTTTCTATGGAGTCGTTTTCTGTGTAGTGTTAACTCATTTATGTCTTTGAACTGCTTGGAACAAGAAATGCAAGAAAAACAAAAATCTGCGTCTTTACATTCATCGTGTGACCTTAGACAACTCAACATTCTTACTTTCCGCTTATAAACTTCGCCGCAAGTGCATTCGTAGCCTTCTTTTTTCACTTCTTCCTTAACACGAGTTCGATTTTCCAATATCTCAAGTCGAGAGTTCTTTTTGAAAGTATCACCTATATTTTTTACCTCTTCTTTGATATCTTTGCATATTTTTTTCTTCATATTTGCCATTCGCGTTTTCAAGCCTTTGATTAGACCCATGGCACGATTTTCTATTGAAGTATGCACTCTCATATGACCTTTTAAATAGCTGGATTTCTTGAAAGACTTGTCGCATTTATGGCAATTGTATCTTTTTTCTGTGCAGTGATCTGCTTTAAGAAGACCATATGCGTCTTGCTCTAAAGATAGTACATTTCCAGTTATTGAATTGAGTTGGAAAGACTCATCATACTCTGAAGCTTTGTCATATTCAGAGTTGAATGTTGGCAATATTTCTTCAGGGTTTCCCATCCTGCCTAATGTCACTCCGCCCATTGGGTGAATTTCCATGACTAAAGTTTTAGTTGTTTGTGACTGCATAAGTCCATCTTGAGGGTTTGTTATAGTTGATGTGGTATTGATTACTTTGTTTGATATTAAATGTGTTTCAGTGACTGTTATGTCCATTTCTTCTTTGATTATTTTATCGATGTCCTCTTTGGACTGCTCCTAAAACAATTTAAAGAAAATGTTACATTTCACTTGCCTGTAGAGTTTCAAATCCTCCAAAGTTTAAAATAACTTACAGTGTGTATATATGAAAATATTATATATCTTTGAATTTAATATCATATTACAGCCCATACTTGTATATAAACTTGAAATTTCCGTCTGTTTATTAGTGTAACCATACCAACATAGAGCACATATGCTTATATACATGATTCAAAGGCCAAAAAACCATTAAAAAATCAAATAAGAGAGTAAATCTGTTTACTAAAGTCTAGAATTACTTTTTACTAGTAGGATAGTGATGAGATTAATAAAGGCTATTTTTTTGCCATAACTAAGCAATGAATGTGCTTAATTACTTCTTTGTCTTTTTTGTATTCAACCCTTTTTTTTTTAACATCCCACTGCTGGACACGGGCCTCCCTCAGTACGAGGGGAATCAGGCCATAGTCCACCACGCTGGTCAAGTGCGGGTTGGCGGGCTTCACACGTCTTTTGAAAACTTGCTAGGTTCTCTCAGACATGCAGATTTCCTCACTATGTTTTCCTTCACCGTTAAGACAAGTGGTAATCATGTAGGAAATGATTCGCACATGAAAATATCAGAGGTGCGAGACCCGGGATTTGAACTCGCTTCACTCGGTTTCCCAAGCGAGCGCTTTACTACTGGGCTACCACTGCCTTTGTCATTTTTATAAATTGTAAAATTCATAATTATTTCTGATGATGATGCTGACTTTAGGTCAATGAATTGCTAAATCTGAGTAAGTACTAGCACACAGATTGTCACAGGACATTAAAACAAATTTGATACAATAAAAAAATATGGTTTCTAATCCTGTGGTTTATGTGTATCATAGATTTAAAGAGATGTTTTACAATAATAAAATTACAATAGTGAAGGATATAGACATAAAATGTTGTATTTAATTATATAAGAAGTCATTATGAAATTAAAAAAATATCAATAATTAACATCTTTTACAATAATCACTAAAGTATATACACTATAAACAATTTTTCAGTTGAATTACTTACCCAAGTAATTGTGTTGTTCAATAAGTGGAAAGAATTGTGATATATAAACATTAGCAAAACATAGTAAATTAGTTTTCAAATATTCTGTTTCTGGTACCTAGCAATGGATGTGCATAGTATTTTTTTTCAGATAATGGTAATAGCAATAACTATTGGTTAAGTAACAATACCTAGATAAAACATTTTCAAGCATAACAAACATTACATTAAATGTAATCAAAAAGTTACTGGAAACCGACTCATAACTATGTAACAGTTTTTAAAACAGCTATGACTTTAGAAACACATGCACATATTACCTCATAGATTTCATGTTTTATATTAATCTCATCTTGTAAACAAGCTTCAACATTATTGAGAGCAGTGGCCTCCTCACTGTCCATACTTCCATCATCAATACTTGGATATTCATATGGCATTTCCATTTTTACACTATCATCTAAATTTGTATCATTAATTTCTGTTACTATAAAATTTTCAGCCTCATCAACAGGTATAGACATATTTTCTTTATCATCTTCACAGTTTGGTGTTATAAATTCCTCCTTAACTTCTACTTGAACATTTTCAAATGGATTATCATCACTAATAATATCTTCTTTCTCTGGTTTAATATCTAATATTAACTCATTAGTTTCCTCCTCTTTAATTTGCATATTGTCAATTAAACTCATTGAATCACTTGTCTGGTATTCAGAGCTTTGTGATGACATTTTGAATGATTTAAGTGACAATCTCAGTTTCTAGAATATTATGTGTGTATAAATCTGCAAAAAATATTAATTCACTGTAAGCACATTGGGAATTTATTTCATTTATTTATTATTTTAAGCATACCTTAATTAAGCAATTACATATACCACCATAATTGCCCACTGCGTTAATGTAACTTTTATTCAATGATAACCATGTCGTTTAGTTCACTGAGTACCCTTAATGCATTGAATTATGAGAAGAAATAATACTTATTGTTTTAACAATAGCTAGCCCGATGTTAATTAATGCTGTTAGACCGAGTTATTTTATAAACCTTAGTTACAACGATCAATCATTATGCTAATAAGCATTCTGTATGATACGTAAGTATATCCCAATGTGATTTTCTCTTCTTCGATTTTCATTTATACAAGAAAAATAAATAGAATAAAAACGTAAACATTAATTCACAAAGTTATGTTATTTTTGACGGCTACTTTTTAATTTAATTTTCATTTTTTAAATTAGTTTTAACATAGATAATATATTAAAATAGTCAAAGAGCTTACTTAGTCTTGAGTCTTGACGGAGATCATTTTTGTTTCGTTTAGCAAAATACAAAATTAAGTTGTAGGTTTGATAAATTATTCTATGATTTAAAAAATAGTTTTTCGAGTTTTGAACAGTTCCTACTTCCTTGATTCAGAAGAAAAGAATTATCGTTGTATTATCGATAAATTTATCGAAAATGTCATTGTGAAATTAATTGAAAATTATTTAATTTAATATCACTTACTTTATTTTACACAGTTAGATTTTTTTGTTATTAGTAAAATATACTTATTGCATTAAAAACAATATACCATTATTATTGAACTCTGAACTAGTGACACGATCAAAATGTAAAAAAACAAAATATGGCGTCGACTTTTGAATGAACCTCAACTTTACTGCTTAAGTCCAAGAACGCATCGGTAATTTATCTTTCATTCACTTCAGTGGTAGATTCTTAAATTTGACTTGATATTTTTGAAATATTCATTTAAAATTTAGGACTAAAATGGTTAATGCTGTGGTATTTACTGAAAGATTAATTTACAGGACACTTAAAAGAAAATGGCGAAGACTTTCGACTTACAAAATCTCGTAAAACATATTACAAATGGTACATTTGAACAAAAATTTTGTAGGATATGTCTCCTTCCAATAAAAGATTTATACGAAGATATATTTACCACTGTCTGTAAAGAAAATAGTCAATTTTGTGTAGCAGATGTCTTGGAACAGCTATGCAATATACAGGTATTTAAAAAAGTTATAAAAACAATAAAATAATATTTAAAATATACTATTATTGTAGTAATGAATTATTGTCATTTACTTTATAAATTTTATATGTATTTTACAGATTTGTGAAACTGATAACTACAGAGTGTGCTCTAAATGTTTTATTGCTGCTTCGGAAGCTTATAAATTCTATTTATTAGCTATAAGAAGTGAAAAAATTCTCAATAATTGCATAAATGAACTCCAAAATCAAGTAGATGTTTTATATTTACCACAAAAATTATCAGCAGAAAATCTTTGTATAACTTTGCCTGAACTGTCACCATCTTATGACGATGAATTGGATCTAAATAAATTTCCTTTTCAAAGCATTGGGACTAGTAGCATACAAGTAAATAAAAATAAAATGGTTGAAATTGATGTTCCTAAAATAAAAGTGGAGAATGAAGAGGATAATTTTGAGGAAAATGTTATTATTATAATGGGTGACAATGGAGAACCTACATTTTATAAACCACATAAAGATGGAACTTTGATACCTCTTAGTGATGATCAAAATTTAAATGAAATATTACAACAAATTCCTGAAGAGAGTGAGAATAAGAAAAAAAGGAAAAGAAAAAGAAACCCAATGGAGTATAAAATGTGTAGTCGATGTCCCATTCGATACAGATTTGTTAGAAAATTGAAAGAACATATGAAAGAGGAACATGGTGTGGATCTGTTTGTGTGCAAGGTTTGTATTTGCAATACTATAAATATATTTATTGTACTTCAGTAAAAAAAATGTATATTATATATTTCATTAATATCACAGATTCATGTAGTGCTTTATTACATTACATTAGTGTTTGTTTACATTTTAAGGTTTGCCAAGCAATAGTTGAAGATGAACAAGAGTTCAACAATCACTTGCAGACACACTCTGGTATACACACTTGTTCTATATGCAATGCAGTATTCAAAAAACGTGAGAATATCATAGCTCATTTCAAATGGCATGAACAAATGAAGGAGTTAAATAAGCTAGAAAGTGCACATGTTTGTGAAATATGCGGCTTGATACTGCAAAGTGATGAACATTTAAAGGAACACCATGATAAAAAACATGTAAATAAGTTTACCTGTTATTATTGTGGGAAAATGTATAAAGGGGAATTGAGTTTTGAGCACCATATTAAGAAGCATGAAATGAATAAAAATGTTGGGTGAGCTGGTTTTATCTTATATTTTCATACATATTAATGATGCTATTGTTATAATTATTGGAATTTTCCTTAAAAAAGTAACAGATAACCCACGAAATAATTAAAATTTGAGGTAAAAAAGCTCTTTAAAACCTCTATCAATGTTTTTTGTGTAGAACTAATAAAAAAAAATGTTTGATGATAAACAAGTCTCTCTATCTAGCACCCATTCTTACTTTTTAACCCCCGACGCACAAACGACAGGTTGTTATAAATTTGATATGTTTGTGTGTGTGTGTCTGTCTATGGCATCATAGCTTCCAAACAGATGAACTGATTTTGTTTTTTTTTTGTTTGAAAGGTGAATTAGTTGGGAGTGTTCTTAGCTATGTTTAATGAAAATAGGCCCAAGATGGTCAGGGGTTTTTTAAATTTTTAATTTAATTTAGTTATATTTTAACTGACTTCAATAAAGGGGCGTTCTTAATTTGGCTGAATTGTTTTTTATATTATGTAGTTTTTGTAATTGTAAACCAATTGTTATTTTTCATTATCATTATTTTTATGTAATCTGAAACTGCCAAAATAGCAGAGAAATGGAGTTACCATATTTATAAGGCAAAGTGTGATAGGAATAAAGACATTATACAAATCTACAATAACATTTTTCAGAAATAAGTTAGAAAAAGTAAAACAGGATACAAAGAGAAAACGGAAATACACTTGCTCTACATGTGGAAAGGATTTTGTAGACGAGAGGGCCTTATTGTGGCATGAACGGCTCCACACAAATGAGAGACCTTATGTTTGTGATGTGAGTGTTATGTTAAGAAAGGTTTTATTATTCTATTTTAAAGTACAATTTCTGTGTATATTCTTTAAAATGGAGTTAAAAATGAACCTAAATGTGTTTTTATAACATTTAGTTGACCTGACAGATGTTGCCCCATTCTGATTTTACTATATAAAGAGAACATTGTTTGAATGTGCTTTTGTTCAACATACGTGTCATTTTTATTTATTTTTTAGTTAAGCAATAATTCGCAATTCTTAGCCAACATTATGATAGTTTTTTTAAAGAATATAAAATTCCACCCCTAAGGAAGAAATTAAACAAAGTATACCTATTTACTTTTATTCATCAGAGGAACGCATTTAGCATTTTTGCTGCTATTCTACATGCACATAGTATATATTTATTTTGTCTATAAAATCGACTACTATTGTAAATGCGAAAGCTTGTTTATCAGTGTCTTTGTTTGTTAGTCCTTCATACAGAAATGGCTGGACAGAGGTTGTAGACCTGACAGGTACCAAATCGTAGGCCATGTTTTACTCCACATCGTAGCCCATCTGCATGCAATAACTTTTATTCAAATCCAGCCAATTGTTTTAGCGTCAAGAAGTACAAACATAAATTAAATTAAATGTCTGTAGGTCTAGTCAGTCCGTGAGGAATCTACCACCGGCTCGAAAAGCAGTTTTGCTGAGTAGACCCGGCGAGAAACTCATTGGCGTGATTCTCAATTCGACTGTTTTTTTTATTTTTTATGGATGTTCGGGCATAACTTTTTTGTTTACGAACTGATTTATTATCTATACTAATATATTAAGAGGAAAGATTTGATTTTTTGTGTGTTTGTACTGAATAGGCTCCTAAACTACTGAACCGATTTAAATGAAATTTAGTAAGAAGATAGATTGAGACTCTGGGAAGGACATAGGATAGTTTTTATCCCGGAAATCATCCCTTAAGGGGGTGATAATGGGGATGAAAAATTTGTATGAGGAATCAACCTAAATGTAAATAAACATAGTATGTAACAAAGGCCAACAATGCTTCCCTGTACCCGCAGGTGTGCGGGCGCGGGTTCGTGTCGCTGAACCGTCGCAACCAGCACGCGGTGTGCGCGCACACGGCGCCCGCGCGCCGCTGCCCGCTGTGCCCCGCGCTTTTCCACCTGCGCTCCATGGTCAACACGCACGTCAGGAAGGTTGGTCATGGTGATGCACCGGATATCCGTATCCGTATCCACGGATGTACTTGAAATATATGATGTACTTCACATATAAATGGTGGTAGAATCAATCATTCAACAATCTCAATGAAAAACTAGTGTAACATAAGTGTTACACTTGCTCATGTTGCAACATGAATGCTGATATATAAAAAAATAATTTGATTTGCACACTAATCATTAAGAACTTAACAATTTTTGACAAATGGATGGGATATGGAAGAAAAGCACCTTAAATAATAATAAAGTAAGTTATCAAGTTTTAATCAAAGATAACATTATTTTATTTTTTTAAATAAGAAAAAACTGCATTTAATTTTTTTAAAAGGTGTTAACGGAACTGGTGAAAATCAAACCAACTAAAAATGCAAAAAGTTCTTAAAAATTTAAATGCAGCTATTTTTTTTTTAATAAAGCAATGTTTTCTTTGAGTAAACTTTGATAACTTCAAACTTTAACGTACTTTTCTTCCAATTCTTCCATATAGTATCAGTTCAAAAAAATTAAATATATGTCATAAGTAATTTAGTTTATCATATTATTAGCACTTACGTTTTTTTCTATATAGGTGCATCTCAAAGCCCATAAGCGTAGGAACCGTACGAGTAAACATCAAAATGTGTTTTGGAAAACTGAAACAGTCCCCATACAAGAGTTGAGCGTGTCCATACAGAATGAGATATTAGAGTTGCAAGCTGCACAGAAGGAGGCTCAGGCGTCCAAATGGGTAAGTATCTTTGTTCTTTTGTAAAATAATTGCTGAATATTAGCAATTATTAGAGGATAGCAATTAACGACTAATACCTGCACAAAATTTTCCTTATTGTTTGAGGAAGTAAACTATCTATAATATGGTAAAATTGAAAATAGCAGCATAAACGTCAAAACACGCTACTATTTATGATTTTGACTTTTTTTGTCGAGCTATTTAATTATTTGGTTTGAGTGATTAGCATGTACGGCTGTAAACCCTAAGGTCAGGTTTCGAGTCCCGGCCCGGGTTAGTGGTCATGGAGGATTTCCTGTCAAGAAATTCACAGTAACAGGGAAGTTGCGCAGTTAATTGCAACACAATTCAGCTCCTCTTTTCGATCATGCCAGAGTCGTAACACCGAACATAGTAATGAAAGTAAATGAAACTATTATTTTACAAAGATAGATATAGAAGAATAAAATAATAGCTAGAGAGACGTGACAAATTAGACAAGCTGCCGTGATCCAAATCGGACAGGACTTTATTGTTAAAGTTAATTCAATTAGGGAATTTAAGTGTGCGAGACATCTATATTGAATGTGTTTCCAGCCATCCAGATACGGTTAATCTAGTTTAATAGTTAATAGATGTATGTGTTTTAGTGATTTATATATCTGAGTATATTGTGTTGGAGGTAGTAGATTCAATACCTACATGGGTCATAAAAGTTGAAATATGATGGTGTACAATTGTAATTTAAAAACTATTTTTTTTTTGTTATTAGTTATTACATTCTGTGTAGTTTTTAGAACTTATATTTAACACTAATATTTACATTATTTTACAGTGACAGAAAATATCTAAAGAACTAGAAACTACTTCCAGCCTAGCAATTCAGTCATAAAATAAATGACTATTACAGACATTTATGAAAATTATGAAGTTTTAATGCTTGAATATTATTTAAGTATGAGGTATCAACTAAAAATTAATAAAAATATACATATTTTAAAATATTGAATTATAATATGTCTCATATGATAAATAAAAGGCTAAAATAACATAAAGGTGTATAATTAAAACAACAATTCCCTTTTGTATATATTTATTTTTTTATTTGAATTTTTTCCAATATATTTTCTCATATATAATTATCATGAATTGGCTATCGATATATACAACTTACAAAATATCGAGAAGGTTCTTAGCAAGAACTACATTTGAGTCTTATTAACTAGGTGGAATCATTGTTTGCTAATATTAATTTTAACACTAATGTGTAACGTGATTTCTTTAAAACACTGATTACAGACAAAAATGTTATAAAAAATATAATTTTGATGACACATGTGACATTTCTTTTTTACTAAAGATAAAAATATATTTTATCTTTCAATATACCATACAAAAACAATTTATCAGGAAACTTCAATCTTTGCTAATTCCCTCTCACATTAATCAATTACATCTGTACATTTAATAGTAAACAAATTAAATATTTATTTCTGTTTTAAATTTCATATTCAATAATTTGATAAATATAAAAAAATATTGACTTTTTACTTCTTTTCTTCATTAATAGTGTAACTGTTATAAAAAATAAATCTGTTTTTTGTAATACTTTGCTAATAAAACATAATATATTATTGCGAGGTCTATCATTCAAATTTAAGACACATGTGTAAAAAAAAGTAATATTAATATATGTAATCATAAAAATTAAGCAAATGTAAGTGCCATTTATAGAAATAGACTTAAACTGCAATATATCCTCATGGCACTCGTCAACAGGTAAAAGAAATAAATGATTATTTATAAATATATGGGGCAAGTGTAAAAGAAATCACGGTACATTGTAATATACGTTTATTCTCAATATCCCAACACATACAATTTGTTCTAATTCGAGAGGAGTTTATGTACATTTGCATCATTCTTCTGGAGACTAAAAATCGAACGCTAAATAAAAAAAACCTAAAAGAGACAACATCTAAACAAAAAATAAATATCTTTATTCTAAGACAAATAATTAATTACTGTAATAATTGAGTAAGACACTTCATGAGTATTTAAATTGTTAATGTCAAATTAGCTTCTTACATTTAATGAAATTAATCATAATGGCATGTATATTTAACATAGCAAAAATATATCTGTCGAAGAATTTGCCAATTAGACAAGAACAATAATAAGGACAAGAAATATAAAAACCCATATATTGGTAAGTCTCAGATTTACTTAGTAAATCTTAGGATTTACCAACATGAGTTGGTAAATTTAAGGATTTTATTAAAAGTAGACAATGTCTTAGGCTTTTACCATCAGAGTATGGTACATTCTAGGTGTTACCAACGAGGGTATGGGGATTCTGGGTTTTATTTTTTAATTAAAAAAAAAGACCTAACGAGAACGTTAAGGCTTCTCAATCTACGTTATTTATGTCCGGCTTTTATCTCAACAAGGACGAATACGCAAATTTTTAGATAAACCAACATTTATAAACTCACGTAGGTAAATCCTAAGATATACTAGTAAAATCTAAGGTTGACCAATAGATGGACTTTTACAGTAACATATATAAAGATAATATTTTAATGTAACTACACTTTACAGCACTATTGAACTAAACTTCCATTAAGAAATACATTGATGAGACACTCAATATTTTTCAATTTAAGTACAGCTGATATGTCACATATTTACATAATAATATGTTATAAATTTTAGCATACTATAATATGGAAAGAAAGATTTATATTTATTTATTATTCCCTGTACTCTTTTCAATACAAAGAAGAATGATGCAAACCTAAGTTATTGAAAAAGATATTAAATTTTTGGAATAGTGTGAATAAACCAACAAGTAGAAGAATTTTTTTTCAATTTTATGTTTTAATAGAAACGGACACGAATTAAATGTAAAAAGGGATATAATAAAATATAAAAAACACAAGGTTAATGAATTATCAATAATAATTCACATAGTTTCTTCCACTTTGTACTGTCGAGGTGTTTGCAAGAAAACTATTTGAATCTGCTGTTGACATTTACAAGATAAAAATTCAATGAAATTTTCAAAATTGTAACTACTACAAAAAATTTGTATAAACCCTCTACTATATATTTTTTTTTTATTTCAAACATTTAAGCTATATAAGTAGTTAGTTTAAATAGTTTCCTCACCAACCCCATTAGATAGTCCTATCTATGGTTCAAACCTCTCATGTCAGCCAATCATTGTAACCTGCAATGAAAATCCACAAACACAATGGACCTTCACAAGTCAAATATATTAAAAAAAATTAACCTAACACTTTTTTTATTTCCTCATAGAAACATCTATCTATATCTATAAAATTTACCTGATCCGTGCATCTAACGAATAAATGGATAATAATAATATTCGTTATAAAATGTGACTAAGGCGCAGTTCATACGGCAACATACCATAGACATTATTAAAATTTGAATTTTCTTTTTTTTACGGTACCATCTGTTGTATTATGAACTGAACCTAATACATGACTACTTCAGTAAAATAGATAATAGACAATTACCTTACTTACCGACAAATGCCGCCTCCTGATAGCACGTCACTGTCACATCACTTAGCAAGTTACACTGTTTATGTCCGCATTAATCGTAACACTGATTGTTTAATCATATTAATCTTGAATTTGTTAATCTGTAAAGAATTGCCTCGCTCAGCTAGAGATTATTGCCATTAACATATAAGCAATTTTTTATTTTTGACATTTTTCTGTATTATGTCACCTGTCATTCTGAACTATCACAGAGCCCGCCATTTTTTATGTCAAAATCTGATCACAATTCATGCTTTCCAAGTGGGGAGCACTTTACTTACAATTTAAACACTAACACTGAGCGTTTAAGCGCGTTTCACTCTATACTTGGCGTTACTAGTTCCATATATGAACCGTTGACGCCATTCCTCGTACTGCTACGTGCAGGCGATACTGTTTGACGTGGATGGCTCTGTGGGCTGGATCATTGGTTTTTCATTTGATTTGTTTTCTGCTGTGTGTGCTTGGGTGCCGTTGTGGAGATTCACCTCATACACATTTGAGGAGTTTGAGTCTTCGTTGTATGACAGAACGCTTACTTCATCGGCCTGTGGATCAGAGAAGATTATCTTATAAATTTAGTCTTGTAAGATAATAAAATTATTTTTAAATATAATCAAAAATAATATATAGTGTATGTGATAGTGATCAAAATCTTGGATTATCAAACAGGGGTCAATGATAGATATGCAATTTGAAACATGTTTTTTTACAGTATTCTGTTATAAGCGTTTATGTACGCTTGTGCACAATAATATCCCCCGCGCTGGCTAGTTTTAGTAAGATTAGCTGCTGTGACCAAAATCGGTTAGGACATAATTATTATTATCACGTGTGCGGCATATGTATATGTATGTATGTGTATAGTATACTGACACTGCTCTCGGACAAACGCTTGCTCTTCTTGACGCCGGGCGGGAGCGCGTCGTGCTTGCGCTTGGCGGCGCGCTCGCGGCGCAGCAGCCGCGGCGACAGGTACTGGTGCAGCTGCTTGCGGCGCACGTGACGAGCCTGAAGCACAGACACACGCACCGACATACATACACACATGTAGTACTTAGTTACTTATACACTAAATAAATATAAATATGTTGGGACATTTACACACAGCACTTAAGCTTATTTCAATTGGTTCATAAATAAAAAAGTTACGTCAATTTAAAGAATCACCTAGGGACGAACCCGAGCGGAGAGAGGGTGAATCGCTAGTGTGTGTGTATATATATATATATATATATATATATATATATATAATTTATATACACACTAGCGATGTAAAGGTAAGTCCGCTTATATGTCTGGTCCAGTGGTTAATTCGTAATAATTTAATCAGTATCACTAGAATCTTCGTTTATATTTATTATAAAAGAATCAAAATCATTTAAATCGCACAGTTTAAAGTACTTAAAAACATTGTAAATTACTTGTCTTTTTCTGCTATGAATTATCGATCTACTTTTATTATTATGAATATGTGAGGTATTAATTTTTAAAATTTATTGTAGACTAGCATCGCCCGCGGCTCCGTCCGCGTTCAGATGACAAAAAACCAAATTCTTAGGTTTTACATATTAGTATACTCTTACAATGCAGTTTTTGTATTTTTTCTCAGAAATGAGATGTCTCCCGCGGTAAAAAGTATCCCATATGTTGACCCAGATAACCAGCTATCATCATATCAAATTTCATCAAAATCTGTCCAGTGGTTTTCTCGTGATGCGGTAACAGACAGACAGACAAAAATTCTAAAAACTATAGATTCCTATTCTGTATCGATAATAATGTCTATTTCAATTAGATTTTCCAAAAAATATTTAATGTACAGATTCGATTTAGTTACAATTTTATTATATGTATAGATAACATACAAGAATACATTTTTTTTAATAATAGTTGTGTAGAAATATAAGTGTCTGGACAAAACAATAACATATCTCATATCGAAAATATTAAAAGAAGATATTAAAAAACCTCACCTCAATAGTCATTCCTTCCCGTAGCATATTAGTGTTTTCAGCCTGATAGTGAACTGCTTCGGTAAACGATGAGATATCATATGTTAAGTCCACATTCACATTTGTCTTGTCAAATACCAAGCCGATGAACCACATGGAACACACGTTTGCTTTCACTTCACCCTTAAATAAATAAATATATTGGGACATTAACACACAGCACCATCTAGTTCCATGGTAAGCTACGAGGTTTTTGTTATGGATACTATGATAGTTGATGCACTACACATATATAACTTTAAATACATACATATTATAAATATAAACACCCATGACTGCAGTACAAACATTCGTGGTCGTCACATAAATGAATGCCCCCAGCGGGACTCGAACCCGCGACCGTTGACACAGCAAGTACGGTCAATGCAAACTCAGCCAAACGTGTCATTAAATTGTAATATTAAAAAATATAAATCAATAATATGATTTTTGACAATCATTAATATGAAAAGGATAATCTAGAATTTAAGCTATTTCCATTGTCAATTTCACACAAATTTGTTCATTCATAAATATTATATTGAATAAATATATTATTAGAAATATAGAGAAACTTACATTTTCATTGGCGTTCTCAGGTGGTACCGGTGTTCCTAAATAAAACAAAAAAAATTAAAGCAGTGTTGCATTTTATTACTAGCATTAATATTGTAAATACTTTACAATTGAAGTAAAGTTAGGTGAACTATAATAAATTGCTAAATTTAAAAATAATCCATGCTTAGTGGGGTTTATTTTCGAAATTTTTATAGGGCAACCCTTGATACATAAACTATTAATAAAAAACAGAATTATAAAATCAGTTAGCAATTGAAAAAGATATAGCGTAACAGACACATAAAACAATTAATATACAAATTGAGTACCTCCTCCTTTTGAAGTTGGTTAAGCATAGAATAAAATAAACATTTATAGTTATATATTTTAAATATCATTATGAACAATTATATAGGAAAACTAGCGTTGCCCGCGGCTCCGCCCGCGTTCAGATGACCAAAAACCAAATTCTTAGGTCTTACATAATTTAGTATACTCCTAAATTGCAGTTTTTGTATTTTTCTCAGAAATGAGATATTTTCCCGCAATAAAAAGTATCCTATATGTTTACCCGGATAACTAGCTATCACCATACCAAATTTCATCAAAATCCCTCCAGTGGTTTTTCTGTGATGCGGTAACAGGCAGACAGACAGTACTCTGTATCGATAATAATGTTTATTTCAATTAGATTTTCCAAAAAATATCTCCATGTACAGATTCGGCTTAGTTACATTTTTATTATATGTATAGGTTCATTTTTTTTTATACTATTCAGAATTAGTGCTTGACTACGTTCCACCTGATGGTAAGTGGTAACGCAGTCGTAGATGGTAAGTCGCACTAATTCAGTAGCCACCTATTCACTCTTGCCTTGAAGACACCCATATTATAATCGGACGGAAACACCGACGCAGGCAGGTTGTTCCAATCCTTAGCCGTACGTATAATAAATGATGTAGCGAAACGCTTCGTGCGGACGGGTGGAATGTCCACGACATAAGGATGGAGACCAGCCGTTCGTCGGGTTGTCCGATGATGGAAAGGGGATGGGGGAATTCATTCATGTAGTTCCTGCGCACACTCTCCGAAATGTAACCTATAGAATACACAAAGGCTGGCAACCCTACGTCGGTGATCGAGGCTTTGTAAGTTAGCTTTTTACCAGCGTAGGGTCACCTATAAGCCTTTGAGCACGCCTCTCAATCGAGTCCAAGGCTGACAGATGGCATTTCGCAGCACCAGCCCATATGTGGCATATAGGCAAAGTTGTGATGACAGCTGGTAGAATGTAATTATACAAGTACTACAAGTTACTATGATATTATAACTGCAACATAACACCACTCACTATCACTAAAAATGACTATGATGGTCTATATATGAACGATATTCAACTGAAACATTGATCTATATAGAGTTAAAACTGTATTTTAAACACATTTCGAGTGGGACTTTCTGACAGACCAAACTTAAAAAACTGAATGAGTTTGATTTCTATTACATTAAAAAAACCTCAAGTGCGTCCATAGCTCTCTAACAATATATGTGTTTATGTGTATATGTGTTACTCTAGCTCAATCTATCTGTATACTAATTTCCATCCAAAACCGTCCTGCCGTTTTATAAAGGAGTAACAAACACACACACATACAATTATTTTTATAATAATAGTCCGATTATAGAACTTTAAGTTCTATTTAAAAAAAAACATATACACAAAAAATCTCTTAACTTTTATATCAATTACAAAAAACAATAATAACATGAAACCATTGTAAAGGATTGCAAAAAATATCTTATAATATTAAAATGAGCAATTCTTGTATGTTACATATATAAATTTATTCCATACTAGCGACTATCCCTCGCTTCGCTCGGGTTCGTCCCTGGGTTGATTCCCCATACAAACTTTCATCCCCATTTTCAACTCCTTAAGGGACGATTTCCGGGATAAAAAATATTCTATATCCTTCCCAGGGTCTCAAAACTATCTTACCAAATTTCATCTAAATTGGTTCAGTAGATTCAGAGATTACCCCCTACAACGTCACAAACCCACAATCTCAGAAACTTTACCTCTTTATAATATTAGTATAGATATCTCGAAAACGGCTCTAACGATTTTGATTAAATTTTGTATTTAGATAAGATTTTGCTTTTAAGTTTATCTATATAGGTGGTCTTTTTTTATTAATTTTTAATACTTTCCTACTAACATTTTTATTGTGCAATTATTGTTTAATATCATAGTTTAAATATTTTTTATTAAAAATCAACGAACTAATAAGCATTTACATAAATTGCTATCTAATTGCAATCGCAAAAGCAATACGTAATGAGGCATTATGCTTTTGTATACCCACATTATTGAAACTGATGATTTCATTTTCCATAGTTCTACATTTTTATGTACCGCCTGTATGTTTATATAAGTAAATATTTACTATTAAGATGTATCTCGCTTTCTCAAATACTAAGTGAATTGTATTCTGTTTTTTGAGAAATAAATTCTTAAACCGTAATTAAAAAAAAAACAAAATAATAATAATAATAAATAAAAAAACAATTCAGAATCAAGTCTAACCTGGCGGCAACGCAAGCGGCTGTCCGTTGTTGGTGTTGAGCGGCACCGAGTTGTAGCACTCGGGGTTCACGTGCGCTATCGTGATGTGCTGGTTCCTCTCCAGCGTGGCTGCGGGAAAAATGTATACATATATTTATGTATTTAATATTTATTAGGCACATAAACTTTTTTTTTAAATTAAAAACTATCCACCTTGATCAATAATTAATACATTAAATGAGTACTAACTGACAACTGTCTATAATCTGACTATATTTTATATAACTTTAGGATCGACACCTATCATTAACTAAATTTATGTTTCCATCTAAGTGGCAATGTGTCTGTTTATGGAAATAAATATCTTTGAGCCGAAACCGAACAAACAAAGCTAAGTTCCCACTGATAGTAATAACATAAGCACTAACAGTAACAAAGACAAAGCAAATACAATTCAACATAGGTACCTACACAAAGATAGATAATCAAATTAACACCAAGTTTTCGAAAACATGTGAAGTCCGCCAACCCGCACTTGGCCAGCGTGGTGGACTATGGCCTGATCCCCCTTGTATTGAAGGGAGGCCCACCCCCAGCAGTGGGACGTTAAAAAGGGCTGAATACACATACAAATAAAAACTAATTATGGCATAACAACAAATGTGGCTACAGTGACATGCATATTGTACTTTCGATCCCTAATTGCTGTTGTTAAACTTTCTGTTTTCCGGATAACCAGCTATCACCATACCAAATTTCATCAAAATCACTGCAGTGGCTTTTCTGTGATGCGACAGACAAAAATTCTAAAAACTATAGATTCGGCCTCTGTATCGATAATAATTAATAACGTTTATTTCAATAAGATTTTACAAAAAAAGTTTCATGTACAGATTCGGCATAGTTACAATTTTATATGTATAGATTTTCTACATAATGAAATATTTAGAATTTGAAACGAATTTCCTTATCGTACGTTACTCGGCACACTCGGCTAATGAGACCTAGACGGGAACAAGTGTAATTAATTAATTGTAATTTTATTATTTACTACGAGCACCCCCTGTGACGTCATCAAAAGTACCAGGCGGGCATAAGTGTTGAGGAGTGTATGTAATAAGTAGTTTGTATGCATTATCGTGACGAGACCCCTACATCTATAATAAACACACCTTGAGGTCTAAGCTAGCGTAGTACTCATGACAAAAGTACCAGGCGACCATAAATGTTAAGGAGTGTATGCAGCTGGTTGGGCGATACTGGTAGCGGAAGAGAGAAAAATGTGAGAGTGAGAGAAGGGAGATGTGAGATAGAGATAGACTCACTGATGAGATGCCGTATCTTGCTCTCGACGAGTCCACACCACTGCAGCTGGTCGGGTGCGCGCGCGGATGACGCCATCAGCATGATGAAGTGCTTGTAGCGCGAGAAGAAGTTGGGCGCCTCGAACAGCCGCTCCCAACCGCACTTGCCCAACATTATCTCGTCCGTTATTGCGAGACCTGATCATAAAATCATAAAATATTAATGTGTTTAATTTAATAATTTTGTAGATTAACATCTATAATATAAAAATGAACCGCTAAATGTGTTGGTAAGCGCAAATCTCGAGAGTAGCTGAACCGATTTCGCTAATTCTTTTTTTAGAATATTCCTTGAAGTCCGAGAATGAATGAAATGAAATGGTTCTTACGGAGAGAAAAATTAAAAAAATTGCCTGAACAAGTCTAAAAACAACACTTTTCTATACTCCCATACAAAAGATTCGTAATAATACTTAAAAGTCAATTTGAACTTTAATACCATAACATAAAGTTTAAATGTTAGTGGAGAGGTTCCGGGAAGGCAAAACATTCATGGCAATTGAGTGACGTTAGTATCGTATAAATATTAATGTCAATATTTGTCAATATTATTAACAAAAAAAATTAAAATGTATATGGCTAACGCTGGCTAATAACTATTTAAATCTATTTAAAACGTACCTAGCGACAAACCCGAGCGAAGCGAGGGTGAGCCGTTAGTTTTAAATAAAACTATCTTTTCGGATTTATCGCGAGATTATTTTGATTTTGATTCACGACATTTTGAATGCTTTACAGCAAATGACGATCGCGGGAGAGACGATGGTTTTAGACGTCTCAAGGATATACCTTACAATTACAGACAGTGTCTACACACGACTTTCCAAAACGATTTCATGATAAAATTGTGCATCAAAATAAATAAATGTATGAATAAAGAGATAAACCAAACATGCTCACCAAGTCTGAACTCCTCCATGATGACAGTCCGAGTGGAGGCTGACACGTTGAAGGTAGAGTTTTGTTGCGGGTACGCCGGCGTGATGATGGGCATAAGGTGGAACCGGTCCGATACGTTCACCTGCAGGATAGTCACATTATCTCACATTAATTATTGTTTTATAACTAAATAACAATGACAAAAATATTTTAATTGATTTAAAATAATATATTAAAGTGTGGAAAGCTGGTATTTTATAAGCACAACAAATATATTTATCGCCTTTGGACATATCCTTGAACTGTGCAATAAAAAAGTAATCAAGTTTAATACTTGATATGAAGAATATATTATTGAAGTGATACTTCTTCAGGCGCGCCATGAGAGGGAAAAAAGGATTAACGTTACGATTATTGTAACGGAAATGGTTGTTACGGAAGTGAATAAATAGTCAATTGAAAATTATTTAAACTATTATATGAATATTTCAAATAATAAATAAAAAATTTATAGATATTAAATATTAAATAAAATTATAGATACTTATAAAAAAATACTTCTTTCATTTATTTTTAAATGAGCGATGGAATCATATCAAATAAACATTGTTATTATCATTCAAACCAAATCAAATAAACATTATATTTTTATACATTACAAATATTAAATATATATCTTTATTCATAAAAAAATTTGCATCCATGTATTATTATCTATTTTATTGGAGTATATAATTTATTGAATCATTACAACATTTTATTGAACATTAAATTTTATCTTATAACATTGTCAGTACTATGTGAATAATAAAATATTGTTTTCTTTTTAAATTAATAAAAATATTTTTTTAGTATCTTTTCCATCCCAATTAATTAAAAGAAACAAAACGTATCTATAACCTACAGAAGTTTCACTTCTTGCGCGTGTTGATACACGTACTGTTTAATTTTTTGAATAAAATTAAATTTCTACAAAGAGAACTCGTAGTAACTCTTATAAAAATTCAAATATACCACAACATTAACTTAATTATTCAGTTATATAAGCTATTAAAATAAGTAAAAGTCTTTATTCAGTAATTTGTTATATTTTTTAAAATTTAAATTAAATGTAAATATGTGTAAATACTTGAGAAAGGCAATAAACTCAACATTTGAATGGCTATGATCAGATTATTAATCATAAAAACAAATACACCTAGGATCTCTTACAATCACAAAATATAAATATGAATAAATATAAATAATGATATATATATAAAATATAAATGTGGAAGTTCAGGCATTAACAAAATATGGTTGTTCTAGCTGGCTAGGCCGCTTCCAGTAGCTAAAAACTGTTAATGACTAAAATCAAACATACCATTACATGTACAGGAAACCCAAGTTCATGAAGACTGGTTGTTTCAAAAGGCCCGGCTGACTGTTAATGAATTAAATACATATTTTTGGATCCCACACAGAAAAGCCCAAGTTGTCAGAGTCTAGCTATTTTAGGAAAAACACCTGACCATTAATGAAAATTCCAGATCAACAAACTCCGGCTGTTGCAGGAGAATCAAATGACCATTACTGAAAGAAAAACATACCTTCAGATCCCACATAGATGAGCCCAAGTTGATAAAGTATGTGTGTTTCAGATGGACCATTTGAAGATCGGTAATGAAAAAAAGTCTACATACCCTCTGATCCCAAACAGGAAAGCAGATGGAAGTCTGACTTCATCTGGAGCATCAGCTGACTATTAATGAAGGAAACAAACACACCGTCGTGTCCTTTAGAGAGAAACTTAATTTACAGGAGTCTGGCAATTTCAGATGAACCAGTTGAAGACCGCTAATAAAAAAAAAACCAAAATAAAAACATGTAGGCAGTGGTAGCCCAGTGGTAACGCGTTCGCTTGCGAAGCCGAGTGAAGCGGGTTCAAATCCCAGGTCTCGCACCTCAGCTTCATGTGCGATTCATTTCTAACATGATCACCACTTGCCTTAAGGTGAAGGAAAACATCGTGAGGAAACCTGCATGTCTGAGAAAATCAAGCAAGTTTTCGAAAACATGTGAAGTCCGCCAACCCGCACTTGGCCAGCGTGGAGGACTATGGTCTGATTCCTCTTATATTGAAGGGCGGCCCGTGCCCAGCAGTGGGACGTTAAAAAGGCTGAATACAATAAAAAAACTAACATACCCTCTCATCCCATGTGAAAGCCCAACATAACCGAGTCCAGTTCACCAGTCATTAACAAAACCAACATACCCTCGGATCCCAGACGGGGAAGCCCAGATTGACGGAGTCCGGCTGCTTGAGCAGCACCGGCTGCGGCCACTTCCACTGGCTGAACACCAGGAAGAACTTGTGCACGAGCGTGGCGGGCGACGCGTTGGGGTACAGCTGGCAGGTGCGCGCCACCAGCATCGCCCACGACACGCCGCCCAGGTAGCCCAGCGTGTTGGAGTAGATGCCGTGACCTGGGGTCACAAACAACCATATAAAACATCCATACTTCTATACTAATATAATATTATAAACTAGCGGCTTACCCTCGCTTCGCTCGGGTTCGCCTCTAGAAAAACAAATCTATCCCACGGGAACCGTAGATTTTTCCGGGATAAAAGTAGTCTATGTGTTATTCTGATGTATGAGTTATATTATTGTAAAGTTTCATTAAAATCCATTCAGTAGTTTGTGCGTGAAAGAGTTACAAACATACATCCATACATACATTACATTTCGCGTTTATAATATTAGTAAGACTAGAAAAGCACAAACAAATCTATTCCACAGGAACCATTCATTTTTCCAGGATAAATTGTAACCTGTCGTTTGACCCGCAATATAAGGTATCAGCATGGTAAATTTTACTATATTAGGTGCATTTGTTGTTGTGTTAGTTACTATAGTTTTTTAACTATCCCACGGGAACTTTTTAATATTCCAGAATGAAAAGAATATAAAATGTTGACCGGGAATATAATGTACCACCATGCAAATCTTTTTTTTTATGGTGAACATAATAAAAAAAGATTTCGACGAATTGAGAACCTCCTCCTTTTTGGAATTGGAAGTCGGTTAATTAAACAAAAACTCGACTTTAAAGAATGAAATAAACGTTTATAATAATTTAAAAGTTAGTATGATATGTAGTTAAAAAGTTAATAATTCAAAATTGATTAAATAGCACAAAAATTGTTTATTTTCCATACTTTCTGTCCCCATTTCCTATTTCTTTATTGTAAACATAAATACAAATATTTTTATTATGAGTTGAAAACTTTATCCGTGTCGCGACACGACCTTGAAATACTTATCTCTGTGCGGCCGAAATAGTTTCACTTTTACACTGTTCCATCATCAAAAAAAGGAATTCAAACAACACTATTTAAATGTTGTGAGAGCTCTTTGTTATATTCTCGTATTGTTTACTTATTTATTAATAGTTTTTTTTTTGGGTAAAGAATTTATATTCTGTAAATCACAATACATGTTACATGATTATGACTGTAATGTATCAACATTTTTTATATACATTATGTGGGTGGACAGTGGACACTGTTTGTAACTCCTATACAATAATTTTAATAACAGTTGAGACATCTAAAACGTCTATGACGTGACATTGACATTAGCGAAGTTATCTCTAGTCAAGTGACACACTTTGAAGCCATTAACGAGAAAAGTGACCTGAACTGACATCTAAACCCTTAGTTACTCCCATAACCAAGACTGCTGATAGTTTTGCATGAAAACCAAAATATAACCTCTCGGTTTTCGCAAGAACCGAAAAGTATTAAACATCAAATTTTCGCGTAAATCAATTATTTATCAATCAATCACTACTTTCGTAGCATCGATCAAAAAAGTACTAGATATATGATCAGCGACAAAAAATGTCCTCACCGAATGAGCGCTCATTTGAACATCTAAGCGCGCTTTTAATTTTAAAAAATGTTGGCAAAAAAACAACTTTAAGCATTACATTTAAAGTTCAATTTCCATTGTCATATATTTATTTCAACTAGAATAATTACTTAAACACAATGGTGACAGTTTTAAGAGAACTTTTGAATGGGATTATGTAGGTAGATCTAGTACTTTTTTGATCGATGTTTCGTAGTATATAATTAGGTACTAATATCAAGTGATCAACTCACGCTTAGCCCACAGTTTGATGGCCCGTAAGGTCAGCCTGAAGTTATTTATATTAGGCACCAGGCGCAGTATCTCGTCCGTGACGCGGCAGCCGTTGAGCGAACGCACGCACTTCTGGTCGAGGTTCTTCAACAGCATGTCATCTCGAAGGTCGAAGGAATCTAATCGAAGTTAGAAATATATCTATACAATCTACCAGTATTGTATGTATGCAGCCCTTACTAACGTCCCACTTCTAGGCGCGGGCCTCCCTTCAATACAAAGGAATCAGGCCATAGTCCATCATGCTGGCCCAGTGCAGGTTGACGGACACAATCTACCAGTGTTAGTTTAAAATATATGTATTAGTAATATTATACTTAAGGCAGTGGTAGCTCAGCGGTAACGCGCTAGCTTGGGAAACCAAGTGTAGCGAGCTCAAGCCCCGGGTCTCGCACCTCTGAATCAACGAACAACAACGAATGAAAGGAAAACATCGTGAGGAAAAGTGCATGTCTGAGAGAACCTAGAAAGGCTTACTCAGTATGCCCGCCCGCACATATCCAGCTTGGTGGATTATTTCCTGATCCCCCTCGTATTGGAGGCAGGCCCAACAATGGGAAGTTTTAAAAGGGCTGAATACAATTCTATATCATCATTCATACGTTATAGCATATTTATGTTACTCTGATGTATAAACTGTATGAGTGTAAAGTTTGATCAAAATATGTTCAGCAGTTTTAACGTGAAAGAGTTACGTAAAAAATATATAATACATCTACACTAATTTTTGTGTTAAATAATAATAATAAATAAAAAAATACTCTTTGTTGGTAAGAGAGCATCGCTTGGGAATAGCCAGGCAGATATGGATCCCCCCCCAACGTGCGTTCACCTTGTCGTGGTGGGGGGGCTCAGTAGTGCCCGGCAATACAGCCGGGCGCGAAGCCAAGAAACGCACAGGGAGGTGGCCGCCTTCGGTGGGCGGTGGGAAGTGGCCCTCTTCGGAGGACGGTGTACCATGCGGGTTGCTCCTGGTACTTCACTGATAGCAGAGTGGATTTTGGAGCAACCCCATGGTCGTTGTGGTCTGCCTCGGCAGACCTGCCGTCGGGGCGTCGTAGTTGAATGCGTGAGCGATCCTGCGACGCCCCATTAAGACGGGGAAAAGTTTTGTTAGGTTTTAGTGGGTAGTACTGGCTTTGCCGGTGAGTCTCACACCTCGTGCGTAAATGCATTTCCCAACGTTAAAAAAAAAAAAGAAAAAAAAAGGCAGATATGGATAAATTATATATCATTGTAATATGCATTTGTAATATTCCTAATAAGTTATTATGGGTAAAGGTAATATAAAACGTTATTATCTATTTAATCTTACATTGATTCTTTAACTTAAAATCATATAAATAATAAAAATATATAAAAGAAGACCAAGTGCTACGTGACTTAACTCTTACACTATCTCTTATTAAAAAAACATAAGTATTTAAAATTATATTTAATTAAAAAAAAACTATATAAAAGTAAGTGCTTTTGAAACATACCTGGTATTTCCTTGAGGGCAAGTCTCGCAAATAACAAATCTATTTCTATGCCATCAAAGTTCATTTTGATGACGGGCACAAAGGCATCTTCCACCGCCCTTAAATCTTTCACCTGTAAAGATAAATAAATCATTTACTTATAAACACTTGTTTTTTGTTTAAGTCATCTATAATAATTAGTTTGTAAAACAAAACAATGTAACAGCATTTTATGTATAGTATTTAATTAGAGACACTCTATGGCAGAGTTTCCCAACCTTTCTTCTGTTGAACCTCCCCAGATTAAAAAAATTATTTCAGGCCGCCCCTTATTTTTTTTATTATAATAAAATTTTAATTATTTTTTTTTAATTTAAGTTATACAAAATAAACTCTCTCTACACCCCTAGAGGGGCGCCGCCCCCCTGGTTAAGAACCCTGCTCTATAGGGACATGCACTGACCATCATACTTAATAATGTATTTATTGGCTAGGAATACAAAACCTAATCCATTCTCTTTATGTAAATTGTTAAGTATTATGCTTTTTTTTTTAATTATAATTTTATTATATTAGTTAATATTTTTTATCATTCAATTTGTTACTAGCATACTAAATATTCTCTTAATAAGAACTCATGAAGGTTTCATATTACTAGTTTTTCATGCCCATGGGCAATGGCCATGTACACCTTACCTGAGGTTGAGTCTTCAACAACTCATAGAAGGACTGGAAATAGTCTGATCTGTTGATGTGTCTGGGCGCCACGCAAAGTGCGTCAATATCGGCACCACGGTGGTGAACCTGTTAAAAAATCAAGAATATGGTTATGAAGACATTTTAAATAAAACTATTCCTTAGGATTTTTTTAATGTTGGTTCCCGATACGAAAACTTACAATAAAACAACGAAAAAAATAATTTTACTTACATTAAATGTCAAGTAATCTCGTAAAACAAGAAAACATTAAGTTATATTACGAGAACTTCAAAATAATTATAAACAAAAAAATTGCTTACTTAGGTTTCTTCAAATTTATATGGTAACATATTGATTTAAAAAATATAGACACACGATATTAGGTTTACAAAGACAAACCGCCTATTTTCAAACAATAAATAAATAAAAAATCAACTTACACCAAGTCTATAAGATCCAAACGTGTAAATATTACCGCCGACAGTATCAGCGACGCTCGGCGGCATGTTTTTTCTCAACGATTCATCTCTAATCCACTGACGCACAAGTCTATGCAGGGAACCCAACACTTCCATACGATGGTGCATTTCCGCCTCGGATTCGAAAACACCGAACGGTACTAGAGACTCTTTCAGTTCATTTGTCTTTTCTATGTCAATCGGTTTGGGTCCTATATATATAGAAAAATTACATAAAAAGAATGTTTGATAATTATCATTTCACTAAAGTTCTGGTGCATCCCTAGATGACTTTTAGTAGCCTAGGTTTTACCCTAGGTCATATGTCAATTTGTGTACTAAATTTCCATCCAAATTTGTCAAGCTGTTCTAGCGAGAAGCAGTAAAAAGTCTACAGTCTACACATACAATCTTTTACAATTATAAAAGTAGTATAAGTAAATAGATATCTAGTAGTGAGTACTTTCCGCAACTCCACCCTAGACTATAATATAATTGTCTTAAAACCTAAAGATGACGCCCTTTTCGTATAGGTCTAGAATTGTATTGTTATACAACTGTCCAAATATACATCCAACCAATTAAAAAAAAAACTTATATGCTTTGAATTAGATCATATGTGTCAAAAAATAAAAGTTTGATTTAATTATGTTCAACACTACTTGAATGATGTGCAATTAATCAGACATTATTATTGTACAATCCCACAGCATTGATAACACAAATTTAACAAAATTAACAAAACCTACATTTATATCTTCTATACCTGTCTAAATACTATTTGGTTAAAATAAAAAAAATATGTGTGACAGAACATACAATTGTCATTGACCTTGTATTACTGTTACATAAAATCTGATGTTTAATAAAAACCATAAGCAATGACTTACATATAAAAAATATGACAGTTAAGTTATGAACTCACATAAACTAGATAACAAAAGGTGTTTAAAAATTTTAAATGTGGTAAATATCATTTGTCATAAAGGTCAAAGGTAAACATCATATCCATGACCTTCCATTTTGTTATTTACTAAGTTTTTATTGTAGACAATTGAACAGTAATGTAAATAAAAAGTATTTCTTGAATTTATCTGTATTAGTGCTTTATTACTACCTTGCAAAAATATTGTTTGAAGAGGATAAAATAAAGTTAAATAAAAAATAGTTTCTGCTTTGGATTTATGAAGATACTATAGCAATGAAATATATTTTTTTATCAATTAGTTATTTGAAGTAAAATGTAAATAAATGTGTAATATAAATTGTTGGAGAAAGCTATACACAACTTTTTTCATTACTAACTTTATTATAGTTGTAAGTTACTACATTATTGTGTCAAAATCTTTATGCAAAACTTTAGCATTTTAGATTTATAAATTACCAAACTACTTGAGATAATATTTATTTTATATAATCCAAATAACTTTTAACTTTACTCAAAATATAAAGATGCAAGATATTAAAAAATTAAATAAATTATAAAAGCAAGTATAACAAATGAAAAATCATATACAAACCTGCCATAGATATAGCAGATGTCATGCCCAACGTCTTCAAATTCTGTTGGTTCTGATGTTCATTTGTTTTTGCAGCATTTTGCGCATGATTTGTGTGGGAGTACTGCGACGCTGGCCACATTTTGCTTACTTATGTGATACTTAGCAAACTAATGGTGGGTACTTGAACATTAAGCCTAAAATGCAATGGCTATATAACTAAATAGGCAACTATTGGGGCTGTTACCTAAAAAACAAAAAATAAGAATTATATTGAGTAATTAAGTTTTATATTTTTTGGTAAAATTTAGTTTTGGTAAAGTTTTATATTTTTTAATTTTGGTTATTTATTAAATAAATAACGTACCTATGAAACAATGATCTAATAAAAAACAGAGGCTCTGGAAAACATTCTATTTGTGGACGTCTATTTCAAAGTTCATTCACCTTTATACACTAGCATAAAAATATTGTTTATATACACGTTAAATAAACAAGCTATACTGAAATAAAACGCTTATAATCAAATAGCAAGAAAAAAAACTTCGTAACTTGCGGAATTATATCGTGGCAATACGTAGTCTCAAGACCTTTATTGTTCTTTACAGTAAAGCGCTGAGGTCACCAAATATGTGGTTTCATTCAGATTCACAGAAATCAACACGTTTCTCTACAAGTAATATATATCGACAGATTACTGGTTCCATTTTTTTTAATAATAAATACACGATTTTACGTTACAAAGATCACAAGCTCACGTTGTGCTGAACAATAAGTTATTACGTTACCGATTGATTTCTACATAATTATATCTAATTGATGTTATCACTCACCAACTAGTTTAATAATGTATATAACTTTTTGAAACTGGGCACTGACTATTAACCAAACTCATTATTGAAACGAAACAAACATTAATTTCTAAACAAGCGCCCAACAGTCGCCAACAACAAGGTAGCCATTTTTATTAAATGGCGCTTCTAAATATTGCCATTTAAATAATCATATTTTATTACACACAAGGAATGTAAGCATTCCACTATATTTTGCAAAAAAATATTATAATCGTATATGAATAATACAAAAATTAAGAAGAGAATTAATTAAATTACATTAATAATTATATATTTATTGTGTTTTATTTAAGAAAATGCTATTTCATTACCATCAAGGAAATCATCAAGAGAATATTTTATTAAACTCTAATTGTAAATATTTTTCAACTTTAATAAACAATAGGTACACGAATGCTAGGTCCATGTTTATTATTAATAAATAAATAATAGAAGAGTAATAAAATGAAACAAATTGATAGATCTACTAATTTAGTGTTATTGTTAAATATTTTTTTAAAACATTAAAATAAAAATGTAAAATATAATTTAAATCTGAATAATATATGAAACCTTGAAATTGTTAACATATACAGAATAATTTTAATATATATTTTTATTTATTTATTTATTATAAATGAAACGTTAAAGCTGCGTTCAATTTAGTTTGAATTCGTTTCTTTTGCGCATGCTTCATTGGCAGGTTTTTCTATGACGTATCTCGACGTATTTTATAATTTTGTTGAAGTCGTTCACATACAACTATCTCATTTCACATAGTACCAAAAGAAAGGGATTGATAGAGAGCCGGTTGATGTTTTCGTGTCAGCCTTGTGCCCATTTACGAGGAGTAGGTAAAATCCGCCATCTTGAGAGTGAATTCAAGAATATACGGACTTTTAGCGGAGTTAAGTGAATATCTTTAGTAAATTTATTATTAAATAGACGAACCTTTGGTCGTTACACGATTTCGTAAGGTTTATATGGGCGGTTCGCGTTAAAGAAATCGATTGATACGTCATTGTATACCCGAAACGCTGAATTCTTTCGTAGTGTTTATGTGACAGGAGAAGATACTGAGCTTTCTAATAGTTTTTTGCGTGTCTATTTCCGTTTTCCATCTCGACGATCGTTAGCATATACGTGAAAGTGAAATAGGTATTGGTTAAATCGGTTCTGTGGTAAATTTGTAATTTTGACGGTCAAAAATGCGGTTAGCTGGGCGTAGCAGTGTCGGTTCCGAGTGATCCGGGTGCTGGGCCAGTCGGGCACGGCTTCAGAGGATGCGAGCGGTGAAGGCGGAGTATCGAGGTGTATCGTAAACTGTTGAGGGGAAGATGTCGACTACTATGCGGCCTACGCTCCAGACGGTGCCGGAGGCTCTACCGGCGGACCACGTGACGGCGTCGCCGGCACCACCGACCACCGCTGCAGCGCCGTCTCAGCCGAGGCACCCGCGCCCTATGTTCAAGGTATGTGCCCTTATTTGTCAAGATTCCTCAGATGTCACTGAAAACCTGGTTATGTTATAGCATACAGCATACCACTTTCAAAGCCTATTATTTAGGGTATGCTTTAATCATATAATTATTTAAATTTGTAACTTCTGTTAATGTGGAGATATTGTGCTTTTTATGTAAATACTCAGATTTTAATTCATAATTTTGTTCATCAAAATAAAAGCCTATGAAAATCCAATTTATATATTAATAAATATTTTAAAAAATGAATCAAACTGGTGTACAAGGAAATCAACTATTATAATTAGGTTCATTACATAATTTGTTAGCATCCTTGTAACTGTCTTATATATCCTTATTGATATAGTGTTACATTTTGTTAGAAGTTAATTCTAAAACAAATTTAATTTTTAATTTTATAAAATTTATATAATTCTTCTCAATGTGGTTTAAAAGATATAATTTAACAATGACAGAAACATCAAAGATAACTATTTAATAAGTAATGTGCACCATATTATTATTTGCATTAACTGTCTTGGAAAGTGTTCACTGTTGCATTCAGCCTAAACTATCAAATTCATTAACTATCCAATCAATTATCTTATTAACCATGTTTATGAAACCTTAGAGTTTCTAAACTAAATTATGGATAAGAGGCATTATGAACTTTCTTGTTATTTATATTCAACAACCATTTGTGGTTAGATATTATAATATAGCATTACTTTGAGAAGATCTTTAAGAATTAAAATCCAATCGCACAAAACAATACCACTACCAGTAAAGAAACCACTAAAATTATTATTAAGTAAAATTGTTAATAAAAGATTTAAGAAATAGACAAGGAATTTACTAAAATCCAAACATACTATTCTTTCAAAATTTACTTTTATATTATAACTCATTAAATATAGTAGGTTAGTATTAGAACTACTAGTTTGCAGTGTACACAAACTGAAATAAGGATTATAATGATTGTACAATATAATTACAAAGAAGTTTCATATATGTACTTGAAAATTATTTAAATACATATAATACCGAATACGGCATACTTGCATATCATTAAAGAATGAATATATTGCAATATTTATATATTTCTAAATCATCAGTGGTTGCTTAATTTTATATTATAGGTAAGATGTTTGTAATAAATATACTCACTCATTGTGTAAGATAACACCTTGTTCACCAATACCTTATAATGCAGAATAATACCTAAAACAATAGTAACTAAATTACTTAATTTAAATATTATAATTATTGAAATATCATTTGTTCAATTTTCCTTGTATTTAATTTACTTTTTCAAGGAAATTTTTATTATTTATATTGCAAATAAAAAATTATCTATGAATTTATTATGACTCTTGCACAGCTTATCAGGAATACCATTGTGCCATATTTTTTTAATAATCACACTTTTGGCAGCCTATATGTTAAGTGGGTATAAGCTTTGTTTTACATTAATGAATGCATATGACTGAGTCATTTAGGTCTGAACATACAAATAAAAAATTATTAATCAAATAAACAAAGATATCTATACATATAATAAAAGTGTAATTGATCACTATCTGGACATGGAAGATATTTGAGAAAAACTATTTATGAATCCAATAGAAGCCAAAATAAGTTTGTGCGCGCTAATCTTAGAAATGGCTTAACCATTTTGGATGTGGTTTTCACTAATGTATTGTGGTAGGTGTCACTTAACATTTAGTGCTTGTTTTATTTTAATCGGTTCATAAATAAAAAAGTTATGTCAATTTAAATAATCACCTAGGGATGAATCTGAGTGAAGCGAGGGTGAGTCTCTAGTATAGAAATAAAACTATTAGATATTTTGTACCACAAGCCTTACTATTTTATTAAGAAACGTAAACTTTAATACATTTACAGTTAATGAAATAAAAGTTAAATATTAATTTTTATTCTTATGTTATAATACAAATTTTGTTGCCTTAATTAAGCTATTCAGAATGAAAGTTGCTTGAACTATTTATTTAGCCAATTAAATTACAGAGATTAGAATGGAGTTTATGTTTTCAGTAAATTTTAACTAAATTTATTAATATATTTTATATTCATTTATATTAAGTGAGGTGTGCTTAATAATCACAATATACAAAACAGACTTGGATATGAGTCATAATTATGTATATTTAATATTAATGGTCTGTTTTTGGATTTTATATTATATGTAGGTATGATAATTGTTTTTATATATATTTACAAAGTTATATTATAAATGTGAAAGTTTAGATTGATGTTTGTTTGTTCCTCAATCATGCCAGAACGGCTCTGGATGAGGCACAGAGATAGTGTAAAGTGTGGAATAGCACTTTTTATCCTGGAAAAATTTATGGTTCCCATGGGATAGATTTGTTTCTTTATTTGATAATAATTTTAGAAATTTTATTGTTTTTAGTATTTATCACTTTTATTATGAATTCATCATTTAAATATTCTACATAAAAATAATAATAATGTATTTAAAATCTTTAATATTTAAACAAAACCAGGTTTTCAGTATTTTTAAGTTAATCTGAGAGATCATTTTTATTTGCTTTTTGTAAGCTTTAAGCTATTGTGTCAAGTTATTTTCGTCTCGCAAATCGAGATTTTATGTTTGTGTATTGTGACGTTTATATGAAAATTGTGAATTTCTGTTATATGTATAGTGTGTGTATAACTTTATTACAGGTGCAATGTTTTAAGATATTAATAGATAGTAGGAAGAAAAACGTAGTCAACAAACGTATATAATATAATAACGTTTTTGTCATTCATATATTTTATATATAAAATCTAAAAAATCACCTTGTCTAAAATTGCAACAAGAC